CCCCGACCGCCCTTACCTGTACCCCAGCCCACCGACCCGACCCCGGCCACCCTTACCTGCACCCTGGCCACCTGATCCGTCCCTGGCCGCCCTTACCTGCACCCCGGTCCATCCCCCCGACTGCCCTTACCTGCACCCCGACCCCCTGACCCGTCCCTGGCTGCCCTTACCTGCACCCTGGTCCCCCCCACCCATCCCCTGCCCCCGATCCACCCTTACCTGCACCCCGACCCCCTGATCCATCCCTGGCCCCCAAACCCACACCCGACCACCCTTACCTGCACCCCGGTCCATTCCCCCCGACCGCCCTTACCTGCACCCGGCCCCCCGATCTGTCCCTGGCCCCCCGATCTGTCCCCGGCCGCCCTTACCTGCACCCCGGTCCCTCGCAGCCCCGGCCCCCCAACCCATCCCCGGCCACCCTTACCTGCACCCCGGTCCCCTGACCCGTCCCTGGCCGCCCTTACCTGCACCCGGCCCCCCGACCCATCCCCGGCCCCCCGATCCGTTCCCGGCCGCCCTTACCTGCACCCCGGTCCCTCGCAGCCCCGGCCCTGCAGCGCAGCCCGACCTGCCGTCCAGCGCGCGCTCCCCTCCGCGGGGGCGGGGCCCACAGGGGGCGGAGCCAGGCGTCCCGACGCGACCAATCGCGGCCAGGGTGGCGGGGAGCGGGGGCGGGAGCGGGGCGGAACGAGGGTGGCGCGATTGGCTGAACCCCGTGAGAGTGAGGCGGGACCATCGGGGGGGCGGGGCGCTGAATGACACCACTCAGGGCCAACCACGAGCTGGATACGCGCGGCAGGGCGGAGTTATGCTACCACACAAATAGGCACGCTGCGGAGGCAGGGTCGGGGCGAGGGGCGGAGTCCCAGAGCCGACTGTGTGACGTCAGGGGGCGGCGGAAAGGCTGTTGGCAAGTTCGAATCCCCGACTGGGGAGCTGCTTGGACGCTCCGGAATCTGACTTCCAAGGCTGCCCTGCAAGGGCAGGCCGTCCCTGCCTTCTCGGGCTGTGGGGGGCTGCTGTCCTGCTGCGGGGCCCTCTGCTCTTTATCCTCCTCACCTCTGTTTGATGTGCCCGGCCTGTCCCCTGCAGGGCAACCCCTGGCTCACCAACCATGCCGGCCTGGCCACCCCGCACAGCTCCGGAAAAGACCCTGGCAAACTTACTGCCACTTCAAATAAGAGGCATTTGAATTAGTGCCTGGCTAACTGGAAACCTTCTTCGTTTTGAACTAATTTTTAACATTTATTTTTATTTTATTTGAAAGGCAGAGAAAGATGTTTCACCTGCTGGGCCACTCCCCCACTGCCCACACCTCACTCTCCTGTTGCCCACAGCGGCCGGGACTCAAGACCCACAGCGGCCTGGTACCCCCGTCACTTGAGCACGCCTGATGCAGCCGGTTCAAGTCCCAGCTGCTCCACTTCCCATCGCGCTCCCTGCTGCTGGCCTGAGCGCCAGGCCACGGGTGGCCCCGATGGAGCTCTCCCCTCCTGACCTCGGCCTGGCCCGGCTCCCACTGCTGAGGGCACTTCAGGGGGTGAACCAGGGGCTTGAAGAATCTTCCTCTCTGTCTCTCCTCTTCTCTGTATATCTGCCTTTCCAATGAAAATAAAATAAAATTTTAAAAATTATTTTTTAAGAAAATGAAGGCGTGCCAGTGTCTCAGGTGCAAGCCCAGCCCACTACACCACAGCATCAGCCCCCAGTCATTTTTCTTTTTTTTTTTTTTATAAACAGGTGCTATCAGCATCAGGGAGCTTTGGGGGGAGAGCAGTGTGGAACCGGGCCGACCGAGCCTGCAACGCCACCGGCAGCTGGCTCGTACTGGGTTATTTCCGCCTGTTTTGATTTCTTTAAATGTTGCATTACCATACTGCTTAGCTGCATGCCGGCTCCGCCCCCCCCCCCATACCTTGGCATGCCTTTAAAATCTGAATTACCATATTGCATCTTAATTGTGGAATTTCTGTCCTCCTAAAATGTATCTATATATTTCCAAAAAATGTCACGTTGTCGACACCATCAAGATAGGAGGGGCTTTCACTGTTCCTGCTAGGACGGGAGGTGAACTGAGTAGGGCTGGCTCCTGGACCCACTGGTATGCGCAAGATCTGGCATTGGGAGAGGTTCTGATGGAGGAGCCTGGGCAACTCCTCGGGCAAGGCACAGTCCCTGCAGGTGAGCACAAGAAGCATGATAGGAAACAGCCCAGCCCAGACCAGGCCATGGGAAGTTTCCCACTGGCATACATTAGGCATGGGTCGGGGGCAGACCAGGCTGAACCTTGGGAATCAATCAATGGACAAATCTTCCTCTGTCTCTCCTCCTCTTTGTATATCTGACTTCCCAATAAAAATCAATAAAGAAAAAAGTTGGTGGTAGATAGAAGACCACCTGGGAGCTGGGGTTTACGGGGACAAGCAGGTTGGGGTCTCGAACTGGCTCTGGCTCTCACTCCCACTCCTGACTCTCACTTCAACTCCCAGCTCCCACTCCTGGCTCTCACTCACTCCCAGCTCCCACTCCTGGCTCTCACTCCCAGCTCCCACTCCTGGCTCTCACTCACTCCCAGCTCCCACTCCTGGCTCCCACTCACTCCCAGCTCCCATCCCACTGCCACTCCCGGCTCCTGCTCTCAGCTTTGACCTGCTAGAGTGGATTTGGAAGCACAGGTGAGGGGCACAGGTGACCCCAGCTTCGGGGTGTTGCAGGGAGTGACCCAGCCAACAGGAGCCTCTGTGGACACAGGGGCTTTCCTCTGCCTGGGCGTTCTGTGGGGTCTATACACCCTGACCAGGGAGCTGAGCGGATGCCAGACACCTGGCAGACACAGGGACACGAGGAGGTGGGCGTCACAGAGAGGACTGCGTGGGGGACAATGTTCCCAGACTGTGTGTTGGAGGTGGACGCCAAGGCTGCACACACGCTCCCTGCACTGTCCCTAGACACAGCGGTGCCTGCCATGCACCTGGGCACGGAGTAAGATTTCTACAACCCAGCTGGCTTGTGTCTGCCTACCAGGGAACCCTAAAACAGCTTCGAGAAGTGGGGGTGGGGAGGAGAAGCTGCAAGACTCCCACCGACCAGGGAGTTATGATGGCTCAACTGGCTAATCCACCAACAAGCACCAGCACACCATGTAGGTGCCGGTTCAAGTCGCAGCGGCCCCACTTCCCATCCAGCTCCCTGCCTGTGGCCTGAGAGGGCAGTGGAGGACGGCCCAAAGCCTTGGGACCCTGCACCTGTGTGGGAGACCCGGAAGAGACTCCTGGCTTCGCATCAGCTCAATCCTGGACGCTTCTGTGTAATGCTGTTGTCTGCATGCTGCTCTGCCGGGGTCCCCGTGTGGGTGCATCCACAGCCCTGCCCAGGCCCCCCGTGTGGGTGCATCCACAGCCCTGCCCAGGCCCCCAGTGTGGGTGCATCCACAGCCCTGCCCAGGCCCCCCGTGTGGGTGCATCCACAGCCCTGCCCAGGCCCCCCGTGTGGGTGCCTCTTTTCGTTTTTCCAGTCCTGGCAGTTGACCCTCTTGGCTGATGGGTCCCCTGTGCATGGTTGGGCTCGGTGTGGACAGAGTGGGTATGACCATGCGGTGTGCCAGGCTGACAGAGTCCCCCACCTCTCTCTGCATCCCCCACCCCCCCGCAGCACACGGGTCACCTGAGGAGGGCGGATCCACGGTTTATTGCAGAATGACTACAGTCTAGCAGGTCTATGCTACACGGAGCCCATGGCCAGGGAGACACATCACCCACATGCAGGCAGGAGGCCGGGCCGGGCAGGGGTGGCATGAGGGGAGCTGGGCACAGGGGTGTCCAGGGACGTTGTGCTATCAGGGTGTGTCCCTGAGAAAGAGTGTCACCCCCTGGGCACCCTGGAACCTGTCAATGGGGTGGGGGGCTCGCTGTGCTGCCCCAGGCTGGACCCCAGGCTGGACCAGGCTGCGTCCTGCGTGGCCAGTGTGTGCGCTGGGCATGGCCACACCACACACTCGCACTCACCCACCCACCCTGCCCTGCCCAGCACCCCGAGTGACCACAGGCCAAGGCTGCCCTCTGGTCCCCCCTGTCCGGCCCCGCTGTCACTGCGCACCCATTCTCCTCACAGTCCCTCCAGTCCGCCCTGCCCTCTGCGTGCCCTTCCACATACAGTGACCACTCCACAGGCCCCGCGTGTGAAGCCGCGCCTGGAGCCTGGGGGCTGTGCCCACCGTGACCCACAGTGGACGGCAGGACGCGCAGGGGCAGCGCAGGATCCGCGTGGACGCCGGGGCCGCCATGCCCTCCTCCCAGGCAGGTGGCCCGTCCACGCTCCCGGCCCTGAGGTCCCTGCTGGGGAGACCCTGCACCCCGAGTCCGAGCCGTGCTGGGGTCCCACACCCCGGGTCCGAGCCGTGTAGGGGACCCGCACCCCAAGTCCGAGCCGTGCTGGGGACCTTGCACCCCGGAGGGGGCCCGGGAGGAGTGCAGGCAGGACGGCGGGAGCCCCGCACCCCGGGAGTCACAGTGATGGATGGGTGGGGTGCGGGACGGAGCCCCCAGGGTGCAGGTGGACAGCGAGGGGGGGGGCGTCCAGGGGCGGGGCCCGCGTGCTGGGGGCGTGGTTTGGGCAGATGGGGCGTGACTATATTATAGGGGTGTGGCCAGGGTGCTGGGGAGGGATCTGGGTCGGCGTGCCCTTTGCGAATAGGCGGGGCCTGGTCGGATGGGGCGGGGCCTGGGCGTCGCCTGGGTGGGTGGGGCGAGGAGGTGGCGTGGGCGTGGTCCGCGCTGGCAGGGCGGGGCCTGGAAGGTGGCGTGGGCGTGGCCCGGGCGGGCGGGGCGGTGGCGTGGGCGTGGTCCGCGCTGGCGGGGCGGGGCCTGGAAGGTGGCGTGGGCGTGACCCGGGCGGGCGGGGCGGGGAGGTGGCGTGGGCGTGGTCCGCGCTGGCGGGGCGGGGCCTGGAAGGTGGCGGGGGCGGGGCCTGCCCGGCGGGGCGGGGCCTGCCCGGCTGCGTCACATGAGCGCGCACTTGCCCTTGGCCCGCTCTGTCCGCTTCTGCTTGCCGGCGCGCTTGCCGTCGATGCTGAGGCTCATGGAGCGGCGCGTCTCGAGCGTGAGCAGCTCCTGGAAGAGCTCCTTGACGTTGTAGTTCATCTTGGCCGACGTCTCCATGAAGGCGCACTTCCACTCGTGCGCCACGGCCTGCGCCTCGCGCGTGTCCACCTCGCGCTGCGTCTCGTCGCACTTGTTGCCCACCAGCATGACGGGGATGTCCTCCACGCTGCCCTTCATCTGCACGATGAGCCGGTAGATGGGGCCCAGCTCCTCCAGCGACTGCTTGCTGGTCACCGAGAAGACCAGGATGAAGGCGTGGCCCTTGGAGATGGACAGGCGCTGCATGGCCGGGAACTGGTGGCTGCCCGTGGTGTCGGTGATCTGCAGCGTGCACACGCTCTTGTCACAGCTGATCACCTGCCGGTAGGTGTCCTCGATGGTGGGGATGTAGGTGTCTCGGAACGTGCCCTTGACGAAGCGTAGCACCAGCGAGCTCTTGCCCACGCCGCCGGCCCCGAACACCACCACGCGGTAGTCGTTGCTTTGTTCAGGCATCTTTTCCTGGAGGGTTGGAGGACTCGCTGCCCTGCGGGGAGAGGGGTGTCAGGGGTGGAGCGGGAGAGGGGCGTGTGGGGCAGGGGCTGTCCACCCCCTGTCCAGGCCACCTGCCCTGGGGGAGAGGGGTGTCAGGGGTGTCAGGGAGAGGGGCGCGTGGGGCAGGGGCTGTCCACCCCCTATCCAGGCCGGCTGTCCTGCGGGGAGAGGGGTGTCAGGGGGTGTCAGGGAGAGGGGTGCATGGGGCAGGGGCTGTGCGCTCCCTGTCCAGGCCGGCTGCGGGGAGAGGGGTGTCGGGGTGGAGAGGGTACCTGGGGCAGCTCAGGTTCGCCTCCTTTCCACCTCTTCCCAGCTTCCCTCCCAACCACAACCATGGCTCCCCCATTGCTCTGCACCACAAAGCTTCCTAACACTGGGGAGTGGCCCTGCAGGGCAGTTGTGTGTGAGAGAGAGCATGGTGGGTCCTTGTGTGTGTGCATTTAGAATGCAGACTTAGGGCTGCGACCCCCAGATGCAGGGACCTGGCAACCTCCTGCCCACCCTCTGCCCCCTGGTCGGTGACAAACCAAGAACCACAATTTTGCAATCTTGGTTCCCTGCGCCCATGTGGGAGACTCGGATGGAGTTTCAGTTTCACGGTTGTAGCTGTCTTGGTGAATGAATGGAAGGTCTCTCTTTTTCTCCATCCTTCTCCTTTTCAAGATAAAAAGCTTGGCAGTATACCCCACATTTCCATGATGTACATGCCCCAGGCCTTTGCCTGAGAACCCCCAAAATCAACTCACATGACCTTCTTAACACTTATATGAGGGACTGACCCTGTGGCATAGCAAGCTAAGCCTCTGCCTGCAGCACCGGGATCCCCTGTGGGCGCTGGTTCAACTCCCAGCTGCTGCATTTCCCACCCAGCTCCCTGCTTGTGGCCTGGGAAAGCAGCAGAGGACGGCCCAAAGCCTTGGGACCCTGCACCCACGTGGGAGACCCGGAGGAGGCTCCTGACCCACATTGCTGGATTTGCTCAGCTCTGGCCAGCATGGCCATTTGGGGAGTGAACCAGAGGATGGAAGATCTCTCTCTCTAACTCTGTCTTCCAAATAAATACATTTTTCTGACTTGAAAGGATGAGACCAAGAGATGAATGGAGATGTCCCATCCACTAGGTCACTGCCTAGATGACCACCCCAGCCAGGGCTGAGGCCAGGAGCCGGGTACCGGGCCCCTCCTGGGCTCCTCTCAGGGTTTGTTGAGCAGGGAGCAGGAGCTGGCTGTGGAGCCAGGGGCTGCAGAGCAGGATATGGCTGCCGCCCCCGTTCCATGCTTGCCCCTGCTTCGGCTTCCCGCTCAGGGGAACAGAACCCATCTCCCTTCTGCCAGGTCCCCATCCTCCATGCTCAGAGAGGTCACACAGTCTGTCCACTCCCTATGCCCTGCAGCAGGAGGTGGGACTGGGGACAGAAGACCTTGTTCGTATCGCGCAGGGCGGGGGGCCGGTCACGCTCCTCCCCAGCTGGCTGTGACAGCCTCTCGGCATGGGCCGGGGTCTCCACACCAGAGGATGGCCTGGGTGGGGTGTGGTTGTGGGTGTCTGGTGACACTGGGGTCTCCACACCAGCGGACGGCCAGGACGGGGGATGGTTGCGGGTATCTGGTGACACCTTCCCGCCAGGGCCCCCCCCTCCCAGGGCCTCTGACCAAGTTCGTCAATGGGACTTGCAAACCCGTGTCCTTGGGCTCCAGCTGTGAAATGACAGCCGCCCTGGTGGAAATGGAGAGCAGTGACCACCATGGTCATTACAGGGGCATCAGAGTGGCCCAGGAAGGAAGACAGCAGCCCTGTGCATGCCCCAGCTGGCCAGGGTGGCACCGGCGTGTCTACCTTCTCAGTGACTGGGCTCCGGAGGGTAAGGGCTGCTGGCTGGGAGGCAGGGACCCCCGGGGGCTGCAGGCAGTAAGTTCTGCAGTTGCAGCTCTTCTCTTGTTCTGGGGCCCAAAGCCCCCATCAGAGGGGCTAGGCTCCCAGGGACCCCCACCCAAGGCCACGCCAGGCACCTGCAGGTGCTGCTGGCATCCCAGCCCCAGCTGCTGGGGCATGAGGGGTTGTGGGCATCGAGGCTTGGTGGGGCTGGGAAGTCAAGGTCACACAGAGCAGGGATGTGGCCACGCGCAGCAGGACTCAGCCCGTCCTGGACCATGCTCGGCCTTGGGGGTTCCTCAGCGGGTGCAGGGCATCCCACCTCGAGGCCTGGGAGACCACCTGAGGGCTGGCACAGAAAGACTGCAGCAAGCCAGGGGACAGCCCTGTCTGACCCGGGGGCGGGGCGGGCCGTGAGGGGATGCCGGACCCGCTGGCCACTGGATCGCGGAGGGCCTGCTCTAGCTGGGGACAGGGTCTCCCTGTACCTCAGCGGGGTCGGCGGGAGGAGCCAGCCCGGGGGCCGAGGGTCCTGCGGCAGGGGCTTGACCGAGGTGGGAGACGCGCGGCCCACGGCTGCCCACGGCGGGGGCGCTGGCACGCGCGCGCAGGGGACACGGGCGCGCAGGTGCTCCGTGCAGGGCCCTGGCTGCAGGCTCGGCGGGCTCCGAGGCCCCGGAAGGTGCCGGCCAGGACAAAGGAGGTCCGCGGCCGGTGTGTGTGTGTGTGTGTGTGATGCCCAGGAGCCTCGCCCCCCGCCGGGGCTCGGCCGCCTACCTGGCTCGGCTGTCCCTGCGGCTCCGGCTGCCGAGTCCGCTGGCGTCGCCGCCCCCCGGCCGCCCGCCCAGCCCGAGTCGCCGCGGCCGCCGCAGTCGCGCCCGCCCCGCCCGCCGGCCCCGCCCCGGCCCGGCCGCTCCGCCCCTCGGGGACCCGCACCCCGAAGCCGAGCTCCGGCCTGCACTTGCCACCCGGGAGGGGTGGGCTGGGCCACCAGGAGCCCACTGCCCCGGGTCAGAGCGGACAGCACCTTGAAGGGCTTCTTCGGGGGGGGGGTTGCACATCTCCGCCTGCCCCTGAGGGGGGTTAGCAGAAAGGACCCCCGCTACACACACCCCCAGGTGACATGAGCAGACTGGGACCCTCTGGCTCCTGGCTGACAGGGGTCCATTCTTGCCTGTTCACTGTCCCCTCAGGATCAGTGGGATGGGGGTCCCCTCTGCTGGCCACCAGCGCCCATCACCTCCCACACCAGGGCCCACTTTGCTGCTTGGCCTGGTGGCCAAGCCCTCCGGTGACTGGACCCAAGCTGCCCTGGGCACACCCGACCTTGCCCTGTTCTGCTCCGGCTCAGCCCGCATCTCACCCTTCACCACTGTGAACGTGCGGGTACGGTGCCTGCCTGTACGGTGGGGCTGCCGGGCCCCCGTGGCATCCTGCCTGCTCGGCGAGTGACCACGCTGTGGGCACCGGCCCAGGCCAGGGCAGCTGACTCACGCGGAGCAGCGTGGGCCGGGAGGCAAGGCCACGCTGCGGCTGCTATTTATAGCTCCTCCCGGGCTTGGTCCTGGGCCTCGCCAGCCCAGGAGGACAGGTCCCTGGGCCCAAGCACCCCTCAGGCACATCCTGGGGCTGGGCTCTGCAGTGAGTGGGGGTGGCTGTCCCCCAGGGGGACACTGCCCAGGACTGCCCTCCGTTCCAGCAGCCCGGATCCTCACCCCTCGTGTAGTCAGGAAGCATGGTGGAAAGGTAGATCTCTGGGCTCAGCCCCCAAGTGTCCACAGGACCGAGGGGAGCCTGGTTGGAGCTCTGAGCTCCTGGCTGCCCCCTGGGCCAGCTCCTGCAGTGGACAGTGAATTACAGACACCACGAGGTGGGTGTCGTGGCACATTTGGTTAAACCGCTGCTTGGCACAGCTGCACCCCGTCTGAATGCTGGTTCAGGTCCTGGATGCTCCACTTCTGGTCCCCCTCGCTGGCTGACATGTGCCTGGCAGGCCACAGGTGTCAGTCAGCTCGGCTGCTTGGGCCTCTGAGAGCCAGGCTCCTGTTCTTGTGGCCACGTGGGGAACGAGCCAGAGGGTCGGAGATGCGTGCATTCTTCCAAAGCGTGGCCGTCCTGCTCTGGCCTGACCCAGACAGCTGTGGCTTCCGGAGTCTTCCCAGACAAGCCCCCCTACCTTGCCTCACTGGCGGTGGCGGCGGGAGGGGAGGGGTAGTTATGGAGAGACCCACTGGTCGGGAAGCAAGGCCAGTTTATTGCTGACAGCTCGTTGGTCTGGCCGCCTGCACCTGCCAGGGTCCGAGCTGCACATGGCAGGATCCGTCCCCTCTCTTCTGCGCAGGTACAAGGGCTGTGGCTGGAGGCCGGAATAGGCCTGGGAACGCCGCCCGGCCTGCTGCCCAGGGACGGGGCCCCACAGGTTCCTCGGTAGAGCCAGCACCGAGACCATGGTGGTCACCGTTCTGGGACTGCAGCCGACTCCATCACCAGCTGGGTATGGCCTGTGTCTGTCTTCCTCTCGGGGCGCTGTGGAGCCAGCTGAGGCCTCCTGAGGGAAGCTGTCCCCTCCTGGGCAGGGCACCCAAGCCCAAGGGGGCATCCTCAAGCATGGGGGTCTTGAGACTGTGCCTGCCTGGGGTCTGCACAGCACCTGCAACCTGCCTGGCAGGCAGCCTGGCCACGGCCAGAGGCAGCACCTGGCGGTGCGGCTAGCAGTTGTGTGGACATCTACCTCCTGGCTCTGCAGCTCACTGTCTATCTCCCGGAGCTGACCGCAGCCCACTGTGGGTCCCCGGCCAGCACCACGAGTGGGGCAGTCCGCGAGTAATGCCCAATGCTGGCACTGCTATCTGTCCCATGGCTGTGACCAATTCAGTCTTGTGCAAACACAGTCACTGGTGACCACAGGGTATGCCAGGTGTGACCCCCCGGTCCATCCGCTGTCACGCTGGCCCTGCCCTTGCAGCTACGGGGAAGTGGGGCGCTGTGGGCTGTTCTGACCATTGCAGGTAGGGGCCATGGCCCCCCAGATGAGCAGAGGAAGCAGGGTCTGCCGTGTACAGCTGGTACTGGCAGTGGCAGCAGGGTACTCAATCTGTTTTTGGCAGGAATCGGGGATGGTGGGCCGTGGCACCAGGCTGGGGACCCGAGTCCCCCTCTGTAGGGACCCTACAGCACCCAACCCTATCATGCGGCCTCTGCCACCCCCGATCCGCAGAAAGGACACAGTTGGTTACGCAGCCGCAGGGCAGGTTCCTGGGCACAGAAGTTTCCAGAAATGGGCCTGATGCACTTATATTACCCAAGTGTGCTGAGGTGGGTCTCCCCGCAGCCACATTTCCTGCTGGGGCACAGCTGGACACCCAGGGCCATGAGGCACAAGCAGGGATGTGGGGAGTATGTGTCTGTGTTGGGGGGTGGGTGGCAGGCCTGGGGACAGAGCCAGGACTGAAACCCCGGCAGCTTCCTGCTGCGCCCGAGTGCTTGGAGCGGCAAACCCCGGGAGGAGGCCAGGGTCCCCAGCTGTGGCCTGGTTGCTGGGACGACAGCCCAGAGCCTGGGGCTCCCGGCCTCTGGGGACCTCCTGCCTGCCTGCCTGTGCCTGGCTCCTCCGGGCCCATGGGGGCAGGATGAGGCATTACGTGGCAGTCCAGCCCAGCCGGTGCTGAGCCCCAGGCCGGGGACCCTGCCCTACCTTTCCGTCCCAGTGTGGCTTCTGTGGGGGCGGAGGAACTATCCAGAAATGGGGGACAAATGGGGCTCCTGAGAGTTGGCGCAGGCTCTGAGCCTCAGTCCTCGCCACGGCCACATGAGGGGGCTTGCCAGGACCCACGGGGGGCCAGCAGGGCAGGGACCCAGCCACCAGGGAAGGGGCCAGGGTGAGAGGCCAGGCCGTGCAGGTTGACACACTTAGAGGTCTTCTTCGAGGAGTGGGTGCGGAGCCCCAGCAGGGGGCTCCCCCTCACCACTTGAGGAAGACCATGGCAGCCAGCACAGCGTAGCCCAGCACCAGGCACAGCACCTTGAGCAGTCGGTCGTTCTTGTCCTCCAGCTCCTTGGCCAGGATCTCCAGGAAGGTGACAAAGAGAAAGGTGCCACCTGCCAGGCCTTGCAGCAGCACGGACACCACACTGCCCGGCACGCCGCGAGCGCTCTCGATGGCCAGGCCCACGCCGATGCCCAGCGGGATCATGGCGCTCACGGCCACGGCCAGCTTGGCGGCCTGCCGCAGTGGCACGGCGCTCCGGGCCATGTTGACACCCAGGGCCACGGCCACCAGTGTCTCGTGCACGGCCACGCCCACGAACAGGCTCACCACCTTCTCACCTTCCTCCTGCAGGCCCAAGGCCAGGCCCTCGAAGACAGAGTGGGCAGACAGCGCCGAGACGAGGCTGAGCAGGCGCAGGGGCCCGGCGCCCGGCAGCTCCTGCACCCGCAGCAGCCCGGGGCCGTGGCCGTGCGGTTCCGAGGCCAGGAGGGCTCGGCCCCGCGCGCCACCCAGGAATGGGCTCTCGAACTCGGAGTCGCTGCCGGCGTCCGAGCAGCCAGCGTTGAAGGTCTCCAGGTCGATGAAGGGCGGCTTCTCCTTGCGGCAGCTCAGCACCAGCTGCTCCAGGAAGAGCGTCAGGAAGAAACCCAGCAGCATGATGGTCTCGGCCAGCGGGTAGTCAGTGCTGATGTGGCCCAGGTTGAGCACGCGCTGCAGCTGCAGGCCCGGGGCGATGGCCACGTCAGGGGCAGGATGGGGACGCGGTGCCCACGCTGGGCTCTGCTCCCGGCGGCTCGGTGTTGGGGCCCCTGCACCCCCCGCAGGGGCTGGGAGACCCTGAGGGAACTCCCAGCCACCGGCTCTGGCCCTCCCCGGCCCCGGTCATTGTTGGGGAGCAGAGCAGGTTGGGGTCCCCATCTACCTCTATGTCCCTCAAACAGAGTGAAAAACAAAACCGCCAAAAAAGTGGGTGCAGCTCTGACTGAGGGGGTCACTGAACCCCAAGAAGCCATGACAGGGGTGGTAGGCCACAGGGCGCCGGGGGCACTCAGGCGGAGTGGAGCAGAGGGCAGGGCTGGTGGTGTCTCTCCCAGGGTTCACGCCTGCACCCTGGCAGGTGAACCGGCTGGAGTCGTGGTCTCTGTGGCAGTGACGAGGTTATGACGACACAGGACACAGTAGGGGCCGTGGCATAGGGCTGAGCAGGGGAGGGGCAGTGAGGGCAGCACGGCCCTGCCGGCAGCGGGGTCCACAGGGAGACCACATGTGTACGTGGGCATGAGTGGAGCAGGACGTGCGGATGGGCCGGTGTGTGCTGATGGCTCTCCTAGCCTGGGTTTTATCAGGCGGCCACCTGAGGCCACATGAGAACCAGCATGGGCTGGTACCTCCTGTGCCTCCCTGAGAGCATGCCAGGCCCAGCCCCGCTAGGAGCCAGCCCCGGCAGGGCCTGTGCTGGGAGGCTGCCCGACCCCCACCACCTGGCCCCACCCATCCCGAGCCGTGCCAACCATGGTGTCCCCAGACATGGCCCGGCATCCCTGTCATGGCATACCCAGGGGGGGTCAATGCAAAAAGAGAAGAGAGGACAGAAGGGCCCTGGTCAGTGCCCGTTCAGCTAGGCGGCCTCCCAGCAGCTGCAGCCTGGCTCTGGGGGCTGGCCCGCTTACCCGATGCTACCTCCCGCAGGGGTACACCCAGCACCCCATGGCCAATCAGAGCTCACGGGGCGCTCCTGGGGTGCACAGGGGCCTCACCTTGTCCCGCACGGCCGGCAGCAGCGCATTGAAGCAGGTGGCCAGGAAGACGCCGCCGCCAAAGGCGTTGCAGAGCGCCAGTGCCTTCTGGGAGCGCTGCGCCTTGTCCAGGTTGGCGTCCAGCAGCCGCACGGGCAGCAGGGTGCCCAGCAGCATGCAGGCAAACACGCCCACCATGCTCAGCACCTTGGCCAACAGCAGGTGCGTCATGGTGGCGGTCCTGTGAGCATGCTGCGGGGGACCACTCCTCTGCTGGCTGCCTGGCTGCAGGGGTGTCTGCGCCTGGCAACAACAATGAGATCCACTGCTGCAGCCGGGGGACCGCCAGGGCTGGGCCTGCAGCTGGGGGTCCCCCAGTGTCTGCGCTGTAGCTGGGGGTACCCCAGGGTCGGGCCTCCTGCACCCAGGGGTCCCCAGTGCCTGGCCTGCAGCTGGAGGAGGGTCTCTCAGGGCCAGGCATGCTGCAGCCGGGTGTCCTCCAGGGCTGGGCCTGCAGCTGGGTGTCCCCCAATGCCTGGTCTGTAGCTGGTGGTCCCCAGTGCCTGGCCTGTAGCTGGGGGTCCCCCAGGGCCGGGCCTGCTGCTGGAGGAGGGTCCCCCAGTGCCGGGCCTGTAGCTAGAGGAGGGTCACCCAGGGTCGGGCCTGCTGCAACCAGGAGTCCCCAGGGGTGTGTCTGCAGCTGGGAGTCCCCAGTGCCAGGCCTGCAGCTGGAGAAGGGTCCCCCAGGGCCGGGCCTGCAGCTGGAGGAGGGTCTCTCAGGGTTGGGCATGCTGCAGCTGGGTATCCTCCAGGGCTGGGCCTGCAGGTGGGGGTCCCCCAGTGTCTGCGCTGTAGCTGGGGGTACCCCAGGGTCGGGCCTGCTGCACCCAGGGGTCCCCAGGGCCTGGCCTGCAGCTGGAGGAGGGTCTCTCAGGGTTGGGCATGCTGCAGCCGGGGTGTCCCCTAGGACTGGGCCTGCAGCTGGGTGTCCTCCAATGCCTGGCCTGTAGCTGGGGGTCCCCAGTGCCGGGCCTGCAGCTGGGGGTCCCCCAGGGCTGGGCCTGCAGCTGGGGGTCCCCCAGGGCCGGGCCTACAGCTGGAGGAGGGTCTCTCAGGGTTGGGCATGCTGCAGCCGGGTGTCCCCCAGGGCTGGGCCTGCAGCTGGGGGTCCCCCAGTGTCTGGCCTGTAGCTGGGGGTCCCACAGGGCCTGGCCTGCAGCTGGGGGTCCCCCAGGGCCCCGCCTGCTGCAGCCCGCCCCCACACCGTGTACCCCGCAGCTCGGCCCGGCCCTCGGCCCCGGGGAGCTCACCCAACTGGCCCCTGCTCTGAGCATTCCCTGCGCCCCCCGGTGGACCCGCCCCAGCCGCACGCACCTCTGTCCGGTCCGCAGTCCCCCCAGCCTGGGCTCCGCCGCCCAACGGCCGCGCTGACCGGACCCCTCAGCGGCGCCGGACCCTGCCGAGTCCCGCCGGCGCGATCCCGCCCACGGGCGCGCCGATTGGCTTTCCTCGCGCGCCGCCGATGGAAGACGCCAAGGCCATTGGCTGCTCGGGCTGAGAGCCCGCCCCTTCCGCAGAGCGGATGAGCGCAGCCACCAAGCGCCTCCGCGGGCAGTTGGGCCGCCGAGTAAGGGTTCCGGGAGGCCGTGTCCCGCACAGCCGTCGGGGAGCCGCTGCGGGCTGCCGGGCTTCGAGACCCGCTCTCCCTCCTGCGGGGTCGTGACAGCGCGGGGAGCGTGGCCCGGCCGCCCACGAGGGAGGCGAGCTCTGTGCTGCAGGCTCCCTGGCCCGCAGGATTCCGGGGACGAGCTCCTGGTCGGGCACTCTCTCCCCTTCCCTGCAGGACACCATGGCAGCACAGCGCTCTCGCCCCCAGCACCCTGGGCTCCTGCAGGGATCATTTTCCTAAGCCCTGACCCGCGCACCACCCGGCAGCTGGCCCTCACCTCCTGCAGGACGAGGGGCCCCCGGGGGCCACACTGCTGCGGACCAAGGCCCAGCTCATTCCAGAACCCAGGTGGGCGTTGCACCAAGCCCTGCTCGCTGGGCTTTTTTTTTTTTTTTTTTTGCTTTATTTATTTTGACAATCTTTATGTAGTTAATTTGGGCAAAAAGGGTCAAGGGCTACAGGAAAGTGGGTAAGACTATTATTTCCATATTGTTTCCTTCATATATCTGAGGTAGAGGGGGATATTGCGGGAGAAGCCCCACCCGGTTTCCCACCCACCCCAAGTCCCGCATGTCGGGCATGCTCCGAGATACTCGTTGAAGTGGTTTCAATAGGACACCAGTTTGAAATTGCTGCCAATCTTGCCTCTCCAAACACGATGAGGTTGTTGAAAAATCCATTAATTGACATTGTCCATCATGGCGTCTCTATTTGCCCGGTATTTTGTTGCCAACCTATAGCTGAGGTGGTTGATTAACTTGTTCCATCTTCTGTCCCTTCATGGTTAGGGTTCTGAGTCTGGCATTTCAATTGGGGAGATCACCAAAGAAACTTCGTCTGAGGTGTTCCCAGGCCAGATACTTGTATGCACCAGCAAGCACAGGGCCCAGCACGGTCCATCACCCGGTCAGCTGGTAGTTGCAATTGCTGGGTTGGTTGTTTTCAGCCCCGCCTTCTACTGGAACCAATGGGTGTTGCAGTCCAGCCTGGTTCTGCACAGCACATACTCGGTCTTAAACCAGTGGGAGCTGCATCCTGATAGGAGCGACCCACAATAACCCCCACCAGGCCCATCCCCTGCCCTGGTTTGCCAATGTGTGGCAGACCAGTCCAATCTGTCCCACATCCCCCCTGGCTCTCGTACATGGCAAATAGCATTGAAGCTTGGATCCATCTAACCAGCTCAACAGTCAAGCCTTCACGGGTGTGGTTGAGTGCCTCTCTGTCTAGCTACCCCAGCCCCTGTCCTAGTTCTCGTGCCTTCCTGTGGGAGTGGTAACCCAAGAGGGGGGAACCCACTATTTCCTTCCCTGCTCACTCCCGGATTGTGCACTTTCCAGGTGGTTCTGCAGTTTGACTTGACAGGATTAGCCCCCAGTGCCAGTTTCTGCCAGCTGATGCTACGGCTATGCCCAAACAGCCCTCTCCCATTCTAATTGTAGGTTGCACCCATAGGAACAATCAACCCATCCTGGCTTTTCCCTGGTCTAGGCCACATGAGGCCCACAGGTGTTGTAGCCCTGCTTAGTCTGGTCTGCCCCCATCCCAGTTCGTGCTCTCCAGTGGGAGTAGCTGTCCAGCAGGGGAACCACCCCTTATTCCCCCGCTGGCTCTGTCCCCTCCCTTCCTGTTTCTCACGTGTGCTGGTTGGGCACTGCAGTCACATCCGGCACAGTCAACCTCACCCTGGCATTCTGTAGTGTGGACTGGTTTTTATCACAACCAAACCTGGCTCGACCCTTACTCTGTTCTGGTGCTCGGATTTGCCAGTGATGACGTTAACTGATTCAGCCTGATCGGCCCCCAATCCATGCCTAATGTATGCCAGTGGGAAACTTCTTGTGGCCTGCTCTGGGCTGTTTCCATTCATGCTTCTTGCGCTTACCCGTGGGGTCTGTGTCCTGCCAGAGGAGTTGCCCAGGCTCCTCCATCAGAACCTCTCCCAGTGCCAGATTTTGCACATGCCAGTGGGTCCATGAGCCAGCCCTACTCAGTTCCTGACTAGCTTTCGACCCAAGCTGGTTCTTTTTTTTTTTTTTAAAGATTTATTTTTATTATTTTTTATTGGAAAGGCGGATATACAGAGAGGAAGATCTTCTGTCCGATGATTCACTCCCCAAGTGAGCGCAACGGGTCGGTACTATGCCGATCCGAAGCCAGGAGCCTCTTCTGGGTCTCCCACGCGGGTGCAGGTTCCCAAAGCTTTGGGCCGTACTCCACTGCTTTCCCGGGTCACAGGCAGGGAGCTGGACGGGAAGCGGGGCTGCCGGGATTAGAACCGGCGCCCATATGGGATCCCGGGCGTGCAAGGTGAGGACTTAACCACTTGCGCCACCGCGCCCGGCCCCCAAGCTGGTTCTTGTTGTTGGATGTTTCAGCCCAGCCACGGCTCATCCAGTCCATTCCCACATACGGCTCACACATGGTTCAGTAGGGGTTGCAACCTAGGCTAGTCCGTCCCACGTCTATCCTGGTCCTCCAGGAGCACCAGGCAGTGCTGGGGTCTGGTCCTCGCTGGGCTTTTGTTCTGAACCTCCGGAAGGGTCCCAGCAGGCCCTTGCAGGATACAGCCGCAACGGGGTGGGGGTTGAACCCTGGTACCCGGATTGGGGTGAGCAGCCCTCCACAGGCCCCCCAATGAGAAGTTTCTGGAGAGTCAGCCTGCTCGCACTCCTGCAGACAGGTGTAACCTGTCCCTTGGTCAGAACGCTGAGCCACTGGGGGACATCACATGGGACCTCTATTTCTCCCGCTCCCCCTACAGAACCCCTCGGCCCTCTACGCTGCACAGGCCACCATTCACACGTTCTGTTCCCAGCTCCAGGCTGCCCCTGGAGGTGGGAGCCAGCCACCTAAAGACCCCGGGAGATGGGCATGAGGGGCCCCCCAGGCTTGTTGTACACAGGTGGGGGAGGCCCCACAGAGCAGTGCGCAGGCCCAGGGCAGAGGCCCAGAGAGAAGGAAGCAGGCATGTGGGAAGCAGGGGCATTGCAAGGGGTGCAGTTGGGCCGGGGTGATGGCCGGGGTGGTCCAGCAGTGCAGCTGGGCCGGGGTGATGGCCGGTGCTGTTCGCTGCCCTGACCCAGAAGCAGGTGCATCCTCTCTGCGATCCCTGGGGTGCAACCCAGATCCCAGGAGCTCATGGGGAGCCCACCTTCCCACAGAGGAGCCCCCCACTTGCAGGTGGCTCTATGCGCGCAGCCTGGGGACACTCCTAGCTAGCACCAGGTAGGGGGGTCCCCGGGGAGGCCAGAGCACACACACTGAGCAGAGGTCACGATGTGTTTATTCTGCAGGGGTGCACACAGTGCCCGTCGCCCACGCCAGGGGCTGCAGGCGGGCGGCTGCACCCCTCCGGACTGGCTGCCCACAACCCTGGGCAGTGTCCACACCCTGCCCCAGGGGAGGTGGGTGGTGCTGAGCACGTCTGTGGGACACACAGGCCAAGGGCCCAAGGTCACCACGTGCCAGTCGCTGCCGTGAGGACTGTGAGGGGAGGTGGGAGAGGCGGGCGCCTGTTCCCGCTCAGCCAGCCCAGAGGCCACTTCCTGACCCACTGGCAGGGAGGCCCGCTGGACGGCCCAGGGCCATGGCAGAGTGGGGCTTGGAAACATGAGGGTGAGGCTGACATGGATGGGGTGGGACTTAGATAGGGCGGAACTTAGAGACACACAGGGTGGGAGTTGGACAGACAGGACAGGGCCTGGGGTCCGCAGCCACAGGTGGCGCCCAGGGTGCTGGGTGCTGGGCCCGAGGGGGCGGTGCTGCAGACACCTTGCTGGCTCTTTGGGGAGGAGCTGGGCGCGTGAGTACAAAAGGGGAAGGGGCGGGGACCATCCATCCCGACAGGGACATGCGGGTCCAGTTTCCTGTTCTTTGCTCTCCGGCAGTCCAACGTGGGGGTGGGGAGGGGGCAGATGGCAGACACGCGGCTTGCTGCCGGCCAGGGACGGCTGTGGAGGGAGAGGACGGTCAGAGGGGAAGAGGGCGTGGAAGGCTCCCTGCACGCAGGGGCGGTGGGTGCCGGGGCCCTCACCTGCCGGGCCGGGGCTCACTCCTGCTGCTCCTCGTTGGCGCTGGGCGTCCGGCTGCGCATCTCCCTGCGCAGCTGCTCGATGAACTCGGGGTTCTGCTGCTGCATCTGCTGTGCGAACTGCTGGCCCCTGTGTGGGCACGGGGGTGCTCAGCCGGGCACAGGGGGCGGGTGGGGGGGGGCTGGCTCAGCGCAGGCTCCCCTTCCCCCTGGCCGCCCACCCCTACTCACGCCTGGATGAGGCTGGCCAGGTCATTCTGTGAGGGGCTGGTGCCAGGGGTACCCAGAGGGTTGTGAGCGCCTGAGATCATGCCAGACATTCTGTGAAGAGAACGCCATACCTCACGCCGAGCCGGGCAGCCCTGCCCTCCCAGTGCACCCCGGGGAGCTCCTCCAGGCCACACCCTGGAAGCCCTGCCCCCTGTAGCACACCCCCTCACCCTGTGAGGTGGCTCTGTGCCCTTCCTCCCCAGGACCATGAGGTTGGCTCCTTGGGGATGCCCCTGACCAGCCTGAGTGCCATGGGCCTTGGCCAGGGTATGCCTACCCCAGGGGACGCGGGCCAGGAGCGGGGCACCTGTTGACACATGTGCCGTGTGTAAACGGCTGCAACAGGGGAAGTCTGGGGGTGGGGCAGGAAGGGGGCACGTGGCCACCAGGGGCTGGGCCTGATGATGTTGTGGCATTGCTGAGCCGCACCCTGGGGACCGTGACAGGGTGCTGCTGTGGCTCGGCTCACTTACAGCTGCTGCAGCTGCGGGTTGTTCATCATGTTGGAGGCCTGCGGGAAGGACAGGCCGTCAGGAAGCCCCGCCCGGGCGCCCCGGGGATCACAGTCCCAAGCCCACCCTTGACCTCGGCGCCAGGGCCGCTGCACCCACCGTCGGGCATCGGAGGTGCCGAGAGGCTGGGGCCCGCCGGGCCCCTCCCAGGCACAGAAGAGGGGGCAGGGCATGGCTCTCGGGGGGCCCCAGGACAGATGTCGAGTGCCTGGCACCCGGAGGTGGCGCCTGTGCCGTGGGGTCCCGTGGGAGCTGGTGGTGGCAGAGGCCTGGGGGCAAGGCCAGCTGCGGGGCCGCCCCGGTCGCCCACTCACCATGCTGATGAAGCTGGGGTTGCTAAGCAGGCCGGCGATGTCGAAGCTGCCCGTGCCGCCCGTCTGCGGGTGAGAGGGGGCCTGGTGAGCACGGTGCTGCCGGCTCCGGGGCCCTCCCGCACCCCCGCGTGCTCCACTCACCGGGCTCGGGGCCTCCCGCAGCTTCTGCTCAGCGATTCTGAGGTTGGACTTGTAGGTCTCGTTGTCGGGGTCCAGCTCCAACGCCTTCTTGTAGTAGGCCACGGCCTCCGCGTGCTTGCTCAAGCTCGACAGCGCCAGGCTGCGGGGCACAGGCAGGAGGTGGGCATGGGCCGAGGATGGGGGGGCAGGGGGTGTCAGGTGCGGGGATGGGGGGGTCGCCTCGCTGCTCACCCCATGCGCCCGTAGGCCTTGCTGTAGCACGGGTCAATGCAGATGGCGCGTTCACAGTCCCGCACGGCGCCCGTGTAGTTGCCCAGCTTGCTGTAGGCCGCGGCTCTGCGGAGAACAAGGCGGGCAGCTTTCACTGGGCTGTGGTCCACGTGCCCACGCACACACAGGAGGCCGCTGGGAGGCCACGGGCAGCCACAGCGTGGGGACCTGAGCTGCTCCCCAACACTCAGCGACGAGGGCTCCAGGTCCAGCAGAGGCGGCCACCACCGTGCCCGAGGCGGCCAGGGTCTGCGGCCACTCTAAGGGGTGCGTGCTTAGGAGCCTGGGGTGTCAAGATCTTCCACAGGACACGCTCCAGGGGCGGGGGAAGAGAGGCAGGCACGCTGGCCAGGACCTCCTGTGACAGCTGCGTACCATGGGGTGGAGAGCCGGGGCCCAGCTCACAGCTCCTGCCACAGGGGCGGCTGCCGCAGGACCTGCCTGTGGTCCCAGGCGCTTCTCACAAGGGAGCAGCCCAAAGGGTGAGCATGGTGGGGCAGCGGGCAGGGTGCCACCTGCAATGCCCACTCCAGTTCCCCTGGAGAGCAGCAGAGGACGGCCCCAGCGTTTGGACCCCCGCACCCACGTGGCAGACCTGCGTGGCGCCCCTGGCTTCCACCCTCCCCGCACCTGTTGCAGAAGTAGACGGCGTTGGCCGGGTTCAGCTCGATGGCTTTGCCGTAGAAGTGCACGGCGGCCTCGAAGTTTTCCACCTTCATCTGTTCGTTCCCTAGACGGGTAGAGGAGAGAGAGGCCCAGCTGCCCCGCTGCGGACGGACGTCCCCAACGGGCACGGCAGAGCAGGCAGATGCCTGCCATGTCACAGCGCCGCTGCCAAGGGGGTGTGGGCACCTGGGGCGGGTGGGAGTGTTCTGGGGCATGTGATCCCCGGCATGGCGGGCACTGAGTCACGCGAAGTTTAGCCAGGAAAATGTGAAGTCGGGGGGTTTAGGTTCAACCTCTACTGCGCTCCAGAACATTCTAACTACCCCAAAAGGATCCCCCACTCCATCCTCGGTCCCTGCCAACACCCACTCCTGGCAGCCCACCCTACCTCACCCCATCCTCTCCCGGTAGCCCACTCCACCTCATCCTGTTCTCTCCCACCTTCGGTTTTAAGGCGCTCGGCCTCGGCAGAGTCTTCCTCTGATGGTGGGGTCCGCTCTGGGCTCCTCAGGTCAGGTGGAGGCTCCTGTTGGGACACAGCCCACGGCCTGCTGTTCCACCACCCTCAGGTGCCGGGCCCAGTGTCGCCAGCCCCCATCACCGCTGTCCCCAGACTCACCTTGCCACTGGCAGCCGCCTCAAAGATCTCTGGTAGCGTCTGGGGGAGAGCCAGGTCGCTGTCTTCCAACGATACCCCGAAAGCCGTCTCCAGACACTGGATGGCGACTACAAGAGCAGAGGCCTTGCTGTGAGGGCATGCCAGGCACTGCCCGCACCGACCCTGGCAGAGACCTTGCTGTGAAGGCATGCCAGGCACTGCCCGCACCGACCCTGGCAGAGGCCTTGCTGTGAGGGCACGCCAGGCGCTGCAAGCACTGACCCTGGCAGAGGCCTTGCTGCGAGGGCACGCCAGGCGCTGCCCGCACCGACCCTGGCAGAGGCATTGCTGCGAGGGCCCGCCAGGCGCTGCCCGCACTGACCCTGTCGCTGCTCCCTTGTAACGACTCCCAGGCCCAGGAGCCCCCTGGGGTTTGCTCTGGGTTCCTCTTGCTACTGTCAATCTTGGCAGCTCAACAAGGACACTGGGCCTCCCCGAGGAGCTGCCAGCTAAGTGTGCTGGGGACAGGAGTGCCCCTGGCAGCTCCAAGGGGACCTGAGCCATCCTTGTACATCTGTAGGACAGGATTTATAGCAGGAGTCAGGCCTGGGGCGGGATGTGCTGGGAGCCCTCAGGCTGGCCAGTGCATTCAGCAAATGGCGTTGTGTAGGTGTTGTCTGCTCTGGCCGTGAGCAGCCCGTGTCAACAGCCTCCTCCAGCCCAGGGCCGTGTCCACCCTGGGGTGCCCTGCACGGGCAGCCAGCCCCACGGCCGTCCATATACAAGTGCACCGAGGCCTGGCAGGACCTGGCCCTTGGAGCTGCGTGACCCTTCGGTATCAGTGGCCCTGGTGGGATCAGGCTGGGTGGGTGGGGATGGCACGATGGAAGGAGCCTTTCTGTGTGGCTGGTGAGCACAGAACATTCTAGAAGTGCACACTAAGAAAAAGGGGCGGGAAGGAGGTGACGGTTGATGGATGGCGGCTATGAGGCCGCCGTGCCCCTTGGGGTGGCTGTACCTTCTAGGCTCTCCTGCGCGTCCGAAGAGAGCCCGCCGTGCCGCAGCTGCTCATGCAGGAACTGGATGATGGCGTAAGCCAGGCGCTTCTTGTTGTCCATCTCGAGATGGGGTCACGGGACGCCGGGCGCTTCCACCGTCTGTGGGTTCCAAGGCCGAGAGCATGAGGCCCCAGAGGTGCGGGCTGGCGAGGGGTGAAGTGGTGTGGGCCCACCTGCTCCCACAGCACCCACAGGGATCCCCAGACCTGAGTCGAGGCGGAGGCACTCGAAGCACCCATCCCGCTGTCCCACGTCACAGCCCAAGAGCTCTCGTAGTTTACCCACAGGCTGGGCACACCCCCCACAGCTCCCGGGGGCCCCAGGCTGTGACAGAGAGCCAGGGTGCCGGCAAGCAGTGGGCTACAGCAGGACACAGCCATTTCTCAGGGTCCAGACCCTGGAAGGACTTGGGTCGCAGCGACCACCCTGGTGCCACAGACGCCTGCGCACGTGGCCTGGTGGGTGGGAGGGGTTTGCCTGGTACCACCAGGGTGCCTGTGTCTCTTGGGAACTGTGGGTGCCAGAAGCTCCTGGGGCTGTACCCCGGACATGGAAGCCAACAGGCCCCAGCTTCTCCGCCACGTGTCGGGACCCTTTGCCTGAGACCCCACTGGCCGGGCACAGGACTGGCCATCTGTTCCTCCGGAGCGCCTGCAGTGCAGCGTGTGCCGAGTGGGCTCTGCATGCTCCCAGATGAACTCGGGGTGTCGCTTCCCCAGAGTCGCAGGGTGTGGAACAGTGCCCCCATACTTCTCCCCTCTGTGCCAGGAGCCTGGCTGTCCCCAGAGGCCACCGGGTCAGCCCCAGCTGAAAATCACGACCACCAAGCGATGCTGGGAGAGCCGGGCACGGGACCGCAGCTCACGCCCGCCTGCATCCCACCAGCTGGGGCTGCAGGCTGGAACTGCCCTGACCACTTTGGGCGTGAGAACCAGGGCAGCCTGCAGGGCTCCGGCCGTGGGGCAGCGGTCATTCCTTCTGCGGCCGTCACCAAGGCCCGACCCCAGCTGCCCTGGCTGGGATCTGGAGTCCCCAAACCCGACACAGCCCAGGAGCCTCCGTCCCTCCCTGCCCAGAGCCCATCACTGGGAGCAAGGCCGAAACCCGTCCATTGGGGTGTGCCCCCTGTTAGCCAGGGTGTGACTTGCATCCACGACCCCTGCCCATTGGGGCGGAACCCCATTCCGAGATTCCCGTTCAACAGGCCGTGCGTGACCCCTGTCCATCCGGGCACTGGGGAGACCTCTTCTGTCTCCCTCAGACCCCCAGACCTGCTGTGAACTCAGGGCAGCGTCCACCCCTCGGTGGGCTCCGGGACCTCACTGTCTAGCTCAGGGTGCCAACCTGGGGTTCCTGCTCTGTGACCACACAGGGACAGCCTCCACCAGAGCAGGGAGCCGAGGAGCTGGTCACTTGGGTATGGGGGACGGGGGCAGGGGGGGTGGAGACACTGGCCATGACAGTAGTCCCCCAAAATGGGGTGCCAGGGACAGGATGGGTCCCCAAGTCACAGAACCGGAGCCAGCGCCTCACTACGAGTGGGGTGCCCTCGTCAGTGGTCGGAGGGACCCCCCCATCCTGAGGGGCTGGACCTGCCAGGGCATGGGGACGAGTAGGGCCGCCCCCTCCGCCGCCAGCCTCTTTACTCCCAAGTATCCAGCTCTCAGGCTGAAGCCCCCTCAGGGCTCACTGCCCCCTGAGCCGCGGCCATGGACAGCCGAGCCCCACGACCCCGGCCGCGGACACCCCCTGCCCCCCGAGCCCCCCGGGCCCTGCCCGTGGACACCCCCTGCCCCCCGAACCCCGACCGTGGACACCCGAGCCCCCCCAGCCCTGGCCATGGACAGCCGAGCCCCCCGACCCCGGCCGCGGACACCCCCTGCCCCCCGAGGCCTGGCCGCGGACACCCCCTGCCCCCCGAGCCCCCCGGGCCCTGCCCGTGGACACCCCCTGCCCCCGAGCCCTGGCCGTGGACACCCGAGCCCCCCGAAACCTGGCTGTGGACACCCCGAGTCCCGGCCGAGGACACCCGAGCCCCCAAGCCTTGGCCATGGACACCCGAGCCCCCCCAGCCTTGGCCATGGACACCCGAGCCCCCCCAGCCCTGGCCATGGACACCCGAGCCCCCCGAAACCCGCCTGTGGACACCCCGAGTCCCGGCGGAGGACACCCGAGCCCCCAAGCCTTGGCCATGGACACCCAAGCCCCCCCAGCCCTGCCCGTGGACATCCCCTGCCCCCGAGCCCCCCGAACCCCGACCGTAGACACCCGAGCCCCCCCAGCCCTGCCCGTGGACACCCGAGCCCCCCCAGCCCTGCCCGTGGACATCCCCTGCCCCCCGAACCCCGGCCGTAGACACCCGAGCCCCCCGACCCCGGCCGCGGACACCCCCTGCCCAGGCCCAGCGCCGAGGACCCCACACTCACCTCTCCGGCGACCGAGCCCCGACCCGACGGCTGCGCCTGCGCTCCGCGGCGCGCCGGCCCAGCCCCCTGGAGGAGCTGCGCACGCGCAGCCGGGCCCCGGGTGCCGGTAGGCCTTCGCTGGGCGCAGGCGCGTCCGGGGGAAGTGATGCAACCGAGAGGGCGGGAAGCCGCGACGGGTGTGAGGGCAACTGACCTCGGCGACCTGAGGGAGGCCGGAAATGGAGTCCGATTTCCGGTCCCGAGCCTACAGCGTCGCCTGCTCGGACGACCGCCGGTGCCCGGAGCCGACCACGTGCGGCGGAGCGTGTCACGTGATCCCGCCGTGTGCCCGCACGCGCTGTCGGGCTCCGCGTGCTCTTGGAAGGGTGACGGTGCACTAGCGGCGGCCGTTTCCATAGAAACCGCGCGGCCCGGACTGAACGGGAGGAACCGGACGTCGGAAGCGGTGCTGCGCGTGCGCACGGCGGTTCCGACGCTGCTGCCCGGCCTCCCGGGTCGGGCGGAAGTGGGCGGTGCGCGGGCGCCCCGCCGTCCCGGCATGCCACGGGCACGTGCCCCCGCGGAGCGCGGCGAGCGGGCTGCGGTGCTCGGCCGGCCGCCATGAAGCCGCCCGCAGGTATCCGGCCGTCCGCTGCGGGCCCCGCGTCCTCGGGCCTCGTCGCTCCTGCCCCGGTCAGCGCGGGGCGGGGACCCTCGGCCCGGCCTCCCCGGGGCTGCTCGAGGAGGCACCGGGGTGCGCAGGCAGCCTCAGCTGCGTGTCATTCATTCTAGAACACGAGTCCAGGAGCTGTCCGCTGCGGGCGGGTGCAGCCACTGGTGGCCGGGGCTGACCGGAATGGACCGGGGTGGCCGGGGTGACTGGAATGGACCGGGGTGGCCGGGGTGACTGGAATGGACCGGGGTGGCCGGAATGGACCGGGGTGGCCGGAATGGACGGGGGTGGCCGGGGTGACTGGAATGGACGGGAGTAGCCGGCGGTGACCGGACGGAATGGCCGGGGGTGGCAGGAGACGCGCGGGTGCAGCCCCAGATGGACAAGGGCAGCCGGGTGCATTCTCAGCATGGCCAGGGGCGCCGGGATGACCTAGATGACCAGCGGCGTCCGGGGTGGACAAAGGTGGCCAGGTGCAACCAGGGGTGGCCAGGGGCAGCCGGGTGTAACCTCGGCATGGCTGGGCGCCAGGAGGTCCCGGACTGCACCCTCTTGCAGCATTAGGGTGTCGTGTGTGGGGTGGCCGAGGAAGCCACGTGACCCCGTCCCGCGAGTCCAGCAGGTTGCATTTGTTCAGGTTGCAGGAAAGGTTCGCCTACTTGTGCTTGGCCCCTGGCCAGGAGGGCAGCCCGTCGCGATCCTGTTAACACTGAGTCGGGCTGCTGGGTTGGCCAGTAGTGGCAGGGCGCACACGTGCCGGAAAATGCCCGGCAAGGCTAGACCGTGAGGTGGGCACCTGCGTGCAGGGTGGTGGGTTTTCAGAGCCTCGTGTCTCCCAGGCTGCTCCCCACTGGGTGACCTGAGGTTGGAACCCATTCCCCCCCAACCGGGGTTGGCAGGTGGCAGAGTGGGCAGGGGATCCGGCTGGCCCTCTGTCAGTCTCCTGTAGGGTTTCTTTTTGCCTGAGAGGGGCCCCATGGTGACACACACACACACATCCTTATAGCATGGGTTGGGGCGTCACCCTGGGCACTATGCACCAGCAACGCATGTCTCTGTGTCGGGTCGGGGGTCAACCCCGGCACTGCCTGCCAACACCCTATGTCCCTGTCGGGTGGGGGAGGGTGGGCAGTATGCCCGGCTACTCCCCCCACAGACTGCTCTGAGCAGCCACCCCTGCCCCCCTTCTCACCTGTGCAGCCTGCGCGGGCGGCGATGTCCCGGACGCGGCCGCGGCGTGCGCCCCCGTGGACGCGCTGCGCTGGGACCTGGATGCCCAGCAGATCCAGGCGCTCACCCAGCAGCTGATGGCACAGACCAAGCGTGTGTACGACCGGGTGGGCGCCCAGTCTTTCGACGAGGTGTCCTACGAGAGCACCCTCAAGGCGCTGGCCGACGTGGAGGTGACTTACACAGGTGAGCCAGGGCGAGGGGCGGGCAGGGGGTACGAGGTCCGCGCCTCGGGGTCAGTGGCGGCGGGGGCTGGAGGGCTTGAAGCGTGCGGCCTCCGGCTGTCCCTAACACAGAGCCGGTTTCCTTCCTGCCATATCCCCCGGACCCTGGGCGTGTGTCCTCGGCTTCCCTCCCGTTCACGTGCCACGAGTGAGGCAGACCTCCCGCGAGGGCCTTGCGCTCTGTCCGTGCCAGGCGGAGGGAGGGACCCCGTCCCCTGGAGGAAAACGGGTGCCCCGGCCCTGCTGACACGGTGGGGGCGGCCGGGCAGGTCCTCACGCCTGTCCCCTCACCCCCCTCGACCCTTCCAGTTCAGAGAAACGTCTTGGACTTCCCCCAGCACGTGTCCCCGGCCAAGGACATCCGCGCGGCCAGCACGGAGGCCGACAAGCAGCTGTCGGAGTTTGACGTGGAGATGAGCATGCGGCAGGACGTGTACCAGAGGATCGTGTGGCTGCAGGTGCGGCAGCCTGGCGGGGGGCGTGGACAGAGGGGCACCCCAGCTTGGCCAGACGTCCACCACCCTCAAGGTCACGTCCACCCCCAAGGTCACGTCCTTAAAGTCCCAGGCAGGCGACCGTCGGGGCTGTCCCCGCAAGCTGTGTTCTCGCGCGTGGGTGGCGCGTGGGTGACATCCTGGAGTCCCGCTCGCCCACGCCCTGTGGCCGACATCTGCCTATTTGCCACAGGAGAAGGTTCCCAAGGAGTCGCTGAGGCCGGAGGCGGCCCGCTACCTGGAGCGGCTGATCCAGCTGGGCCGGAGGAACGGGCTGCACCTGCCTACGGAGACCCAGGAGGCAAGCGCCCCCTTGGAAGGGGACACCCAGCCTGGAGGGCAGCTCGGTCCCCTCCCACGGGCCTGGTTGTAGGAAGAAGGGCCCAGGCTGACAGAGGGGCTGGGAATCACCCTGACAGCAGGGCAGGGCACCAAGCAGGCTGTGCCGCCCCCCAGTGTGGGCATTCCAAGGGTAGTGCCAGGGGGTGGGGTGCTGCGGGTAGGGGAAGCTGCCATCATCATATAACTGGATGGGGCTGTGGGCACTCGGGGGGCCAAGCGTGGAGCTGCTGCTGGGATTCCTCTGGGAGGAGGGGGGTCCCGGCCAGGCTGCAGGTGGATGCCCCCAGGCGCAGCAGGGCCCCAGTCAGGACCCTGAGGAAAGGGCTGCCTGCTGCCACAGTGCCTTTCACGTTGGCCGCCCCGGGTGGGGCCCTGGGGTGGTGGGGTGACCTCGCACAAGCCAGGGGAGTAGCGGAGGGACAGGAGAGGAAGGGAGCCGCCCTGGGGCCATGCCTGTGAATGGGCCTTGGCCTAGGAGCTGGACCCAGGTACCCTGAGGCTGCCCTTAGCCCAGAAGGGCTGAAGCATGTGTCCCAGGGCCTCTGCTGCGGTCCACGTCCTATCATGGTCACCTCCTCACCCTGCAGAGCGGCCTAGTGGCCATGCTGGAGATGACCGCTTGTCTGGAACCTGCATTGCTGGGGTTGCCTTTTGAAAATGGCCTCTGGACCTGTGTTGCAGTGCGGTGGGGAAAGCCCCGGCCTGCAGCGCTGGCGTCCCCTGTTGGGCGCTCTGCGTCTGTGCAGCTCCCCGCTGATGGCCTTTGGGAATGCAGCGGAAGATGGCCCAAGGGCCCAAGTTGCTTCTGACTCCCGGCTGTGGCCTGACTACTGTGGCCATCTTGCGGTGGGGGTGGGGGGAAGGCACCCGCATCGGGCCCCTGTGGCCATGGCCTTGTGCCCTGGCCGGCCAGGCGGGGAATTCAGCTGGTTAGGATCAAGCCAGGCCAGTGGCCTCCCAGGTGCCCTGCCTCTCACCTGCCTTCGTGTTGCATACGCCCCCTTGGCCCTGGAGCAGCAGTGTCAGATCCCCGAACCATCAGCAGGGTGCTTCCCCGGCTCCCCAGCCTCCCCCTCACCGTCCTCTGTGTCCTCACCGTCCTCTGTCTGTGCAGAAAATCAAAAGCATCAAGAAGAAGCTGAGCCTGCTGTGTATCGACTTCAACAAGAACCTCAATGAGGACACCACCTTTCTGCCGTTCACGCGCGAGGAGCTGGGTACGGGGGAGTGGCGTCCAGCCTGATGGGGGGGCCATCTCTGGGAGGCCGAGGCATCGAGGTGGTAGCACCCTGGGATGCCGGAGCTCTCTGTGCTTGAGAAGTTAAGCTCAGGGACGTGCTGCCAGAAGGAGCCAAGCCCAGAGGCAGGAAGGGTGGGTGCTCCTTGGTGCTGGGTCTGCCCAGGCCAGGCCCAGGGAGCCCAGTGGGCGTCCAGTGTCCCAGCCCACGCCAGGGCTGCCACAGGCCCATGGGAGACTGCCTCACATTGGAGTCCTCCCCCCAAGGGTCCCCGGTTCCTCTACCCCTCCTGTGCCCTCTAGGAGTTCCCCAGGTGGGAGCACGCTGACCAGCAGGGAAGGGGCGATCCCACTGCCCCAGCAGTTGTAGTCTGTGTGAGGGGCTGGGGCTAGAGGACGGAGTGCGGTGGGTGCCCACGGCCATGGCGGGGCAGGGCTGCCTGCAAGGAAGACCCCCGCCAAGACGGCTCCCCAGAGGTTGACGGGTGCCCCGCTCGCCCCCAGGCGGGCTCCCCGAGGACTTCCTGAGCTCCCTTGAGAAGATGGAGGACGGCAAGCTGAAAGTCACGCTCAAGTACCCGCACTACTTCCCCCTGCTCAAGAAGTGCCACGTGCCCGAGACGAGGAGGAAGGTGGAGGAGGCCTTCAACTGCCGCTGCAAGGAGGTGAGTGGGGCGACCAGGGTCCCCCCCGCCCCCAGCCCCCAGGCCTGGACCCAGTCCTGCCCCCTGCCATCAGCTGCCAGAGGGCCGCCCCGTGCCTTCCAGCTCCCCCCCAATCCTGTGAGGCCTCCGATTGCAGGCCACCGTGAGCGTCTCAATCCAACCAGGGTCGGGAGAGGGCGCCTGGGGGCTCCCTTGGCGGTGGCGGGAGCACCCCCTCTTCCCATTTGCTCTCACTGCACTTGCGATTTGGGGGCCCCGGGTCCCTAGGGAAAGCCCTGCCCTTGGGAATGGTGCCTGGAGCACCCGTCCCCACTGCCCGGGTTGGCGGCAGCAGCACAGGCCCGCTGGGGTCCGGGCCCACAGGGCCATGGTGTGCCACTGCCTTCCCTGCCCTCCCTGCGGTCAGCAGCAGGCCCTGCCCTGACCAGCCGGTGTGCAGTGCTCGCCCAAGTGGGCAGAGCCCCTGGCACGGCAGCCACACCCACAGAGGCCCAAGACCTTCACCACGTGCCCCCTTTCTGGGTCATGAGACTGAGGGCAGACGCTCCTGGGGGCAGGGGCTGGCGACACCCGGGGCTGTGTGGCTGACTGCCGGCTCGCACAGGAGAACTGCGCCATCCTGCGGGAGTTGGTGGCCCTGCGCGCGCAGAAGTCGCAGCTGCTGGGCTTCAGCACGCACGCCGACTACGTGCTGGAGATGAACATGGCCAAGAGCAGCCAGACCGTGGCCACTTTCCTGGGTAGCCGTGCTGGGGGCCCTGGGGAGGGTGGGGAGATGGGGGAGCCCTGGGTGGCCCCTGGGGAGGGCTGGCAGCCCCCAGGGGTGGGTAGGCAGGCTGTGGAGAAAGCCGGTGCCCCAGCTATGCCCATGTCTGTCCGGCAGACGAGCTAGCCCAGAAGCTGAAGCCGCTAGGGGAACAGGAGCGGGCTGCCATCCTGGAGCTGAAGCAGGCCGAGTGCGCCCGGCGGGGCCTGCCCTTCGACGGCTGCATCCACGCCTGGGACCTGCGCTACTACATGAACCAGGTGGAGGAGACGCGCTACCACGTGGACCAGAACCTGCTCAAGGAGTATTTCCCCGTGCAGGTGGTCACGCAGGGCCTGCTAGGCATCTACCAGGAGCTCCTGGGGCTCACCTTCCGCCTGGAGGAGGGCGCTGCCGTGTGGCACCCCGACGTGCAGCTCTACACCGTGCATGATGCCGCATCCGGGCAGCTGCTGGGCAAGTTCTACCTGGACCTGTACCCCAGGTGGGCGCGGGCGGCGGGGCTGCGTGGGCGCCGGCGGGGTCCTGTACCCTCCCTCCCCAGCCCTGAGCCTCACCCCGCCCACCCTCGGCCCCAGGGAAGGCAAGTACGGGCACGCGGCGTGCTTCGGCCTGCAGCCGGGCTGCCTGAGGCCTGACGGGAGCCGGCAGATCGCCATCGCGGCCATGGTGGCCAACTTCACCAAGCCCACGCCGGACGCACCGTCCCTGCTGCAGCATGGTGAGGTGGAGACCTGTTTCCACGAGTTCGGCCACGTGATGCACCAGCTGTGCTCGCAGGTGAGTGTGGGGCACGCCGTGACCCCACATATGCAGGGACCCCACACACACGGCCACGTGACCCCCCCAGCTCTGCTCAAAGCGGGGGGGGGACTCCCATGTGGGTGCAGGACCCAAGCTTCCCCAGGGACATTGGCAGGGACCCAGCGGGGAAGTGGGGCAGCCGGGGCTGCTAGTCTGCGCTGGCCTGAGGTGTGGCCATCACAGGGGGTGGCTTGACCGGACTGCCTCAGCCCCAGCCTTAACGTCCTCATGTCCACATCTGGGGGCACCAGGAATCGGGACCGCCAGCCTGGGGGAGCTGCGTGTGGGAGGGTGAGACTCGGCTGGCAAGTAGCAGAGGCCCGACCCCTAGCGAGCCACCGTCAGCGCCGTTGCTGCAAGACACGAGTGGGCCCGCGGCAGCCATGGTGCCCCAGGAGGCCTTGGCGCGGTACCCGAGCTCCAAGAGCGGCTCAGAGGGGCCTCGCTAGGGTTTGCTGAGCCCTGGGAGCTCATTTGTCTCTGCAGTCTCCGCTCACAGGAATGCCCGTGTCTGGGGGTGGGGCGGGTGGCATGCCGGTGGCCCGGGTCAGGCGGGGACTTGGGGCTGGGGTCCGGGAGGACGTGGCTGAGCCCCGCACCGCCCCTGCAGGCGGAGTTCGCCATGTTCAGCGGGACGCACGTGGAGCGGGACTTCGTGGAGGCGCCGTCCCAGATGCTGGAGAACTGGGTGTGGGAGGAAGAGCCGCTGCGCCGCATGTCACAGCACTACCGCACTGGCAACGCGCTGCCCGCAGAGCTGCTGGACAAGCTCATCCGCTCCCGGCAGGCCAACACTGGTACAGCCGGGGCCCGGCCTGGGGGGGTGGGCGGGGAGGAGCCCGGCCCAAGGCACCCCGCCAGCCCCACTGCTTCCTCCCGCCCACCCAGGTCTCTTCAACCTGCGCCAGATAGTCCTGGCCAAGGTGGACCAGGCCCTGCACACGCAGACGGACGCAGACCCGGCCGAGGAGTATGCCCGGCTCTGCCAGGAAATCCTTGGGGTGCCCGCCACGCCAGGTGTGTGCCGTGCAGAGCTGCCACCCGGGAGCCCCTCCTGGGTTTCCCCAAGTGGCCGTGGCAGTCAGGTCCTGGACCTCCGTGCTGCTGTCCCAAGGGTGTGGGCAAGGAGCTGGAAGGGAAGAACAGAACAGCTGCGTGTGTGTGGTCCCCACATACGTTGGCACGGGTGGGCACACTCCCATGTTCAGCTGACTGGGCAGTTAGCAGGGCCAGCGCACGACAGTACCCGCGCTAGGGACCTTGGCTGGTGCCACAGCCCCCCTCCCACGGGCCTTGCAACGGGCACCAGTGTGTCCTGGGGCCGCGTCACCCACCTGCTCCCTGTCACCTGGCGGGGACACTGGGCTGGGACCTGAGCCTCGCCTGCCCACTCCAGGGACCAACATGCCTGCCACCTTTGGCCACCTGGCCGGGGGCTACGACGCACAGTACTACGGCTACCTGTGGAGCGAGGTGTACTCCATGGACATGTTCCACACGCGCTTCCGGCAAGAGGGCATCCTGAATGCCAAGGTGAGGGGACGCTGCACCTGCTGCCGAGGCCCCGGGACACCCCCACCTCCACCCCAGGCTGGGCGCCGGTGACCGCTGCTGTCCCCTGACACTGCTGCCCTGGCTGACCTGGGCAGGCCGCTCCGGCTGCCTCCTGTGCCAGGCGACAGGCAGCCGTCCCTGCGCTGCGGGCCCCGCTGCCACACATGCTGTGTCAGCCTTGGCCGAGGCTGGGTCCCCTGAGCTCAAAGCCGATGGGGTCAGCAGTCAGGGAGACGGCCCGAGAGTCGCCCAGCCACGCCTGGCCCCTCCAGTTGTCCTGCCGTGGGTTCGGCCCCCTGCGCTCGCCCCGCCCGCCTGTGCTCCTGCCTCAGGGGACCCTTGTGCCCCCACAGGTGGGCATGGACTACAGAAGTTGCATCCTGAGGCCCGGCGGCTCCGAGGACGCCAGCGCCATGCTGAAGCGCTTCCTGGGGCGCGGGCCCAAGCAGGACGCCTTCCTCCTGAGCAAGGGGCTGTGTGTGGAGGACAGCGTGTCGCCTGCCCTGGTGCCTTAGCCTGCCTGCCCCGGGGCAGCGCTGGAGCCTGTGCGGGGTGCCCAGGCACTTCTCACCTCCATCATGGGCCACCTCCAGGGGTTAGCTGGTCCCCTCCCCCAGAACCTGCCATCATTAAAAGTTTTAACCAGAAGGTGGGGTGCCCGGCCCATCTTTGCTGCTGGCCCCTGTCTGCCAGGTCAGTGGCTGGGGGGAACCCTGGGAGGGCGCCTGCCCCCCCTGAGCGGGCTGGGGTCCCAGCGTCTCTATCCGCAAGTTCTGCTCCCCAACCCCGACTTCGTGAAGGAGCAGGCGTGGCCTTCCCGGGACCTGCAGCTGGACACAGCCCCATTAGTGCCCTCCACTGTGCCAGCCAGCCAGCACGGTCCTCCTTCTAAGGGTCAGCCGGATCTGACAGGAGCTGGGCTCTGACGGTCTGGCACGGCCAGCAGGGAGGATGGAGGCCTGTCTCTCGGTGCAGTCCCTGGGCAGGGTTTCTTACGACCAGCACAGGTAGGCATGCCCCGGCAGCCTGTGGCATCTGTGACCGGGAGCTTGGGGGCAGTCCACCTGCTGTTCATGGCCCGTCCTCCTGTCCCCTCACTAGGAGCCATCCTGCCCCCGCCCCCAGAGGGGTTCGTGGGGCAGGACCAGCCACCTCCACCGCCACCACCCCACCTCTGGGCCACTGCCTGTCCTCTCACTCCCGTTGCCGCCCGCTGGCTCGGCCTCCAGTGCCCGTTTCCATGACAATTACGCAGGACAGGCGGCCACGTGGCCGGGGCAATAATGCCGAGTACGTGCCAGCCGAGCCCGAGCTCACAGCAGCTGCGGCCACCCCCGCACAGGGCGCCTTGCGGCACTCTGCCCCTGACGGGCTGCGGGCCTGGCAGGGGTGATTGTGGCCTCTGCCCACATGAGGGGTGACTGGGCCTGTCCTCTCCTCATAGCCAGGCTCCCTTCCCAGGCACTGTAGATTCACTGCTGCTTTCCTAACTTTTTAATAAAAATGTAAATTCTTTCCTAGTTTTCAAAGGCAGAGAGAGGTCTTGTGCAGGTGCTGGGTCGACCCCGAGGGTCCATGAGGGTGGCGGCTGGGCCGGCCTGGCAGCAGGGACCCCCGGGACGTCCCCACACACACAAGAGACAGCAAGAGACATCTCTCAGCTGCTGGCTCACTCCCATGTGGCTGCCATGGCATGCTCCATCCGGCTCGCCCCATGGGTGCAGGGGCTCAGCACCAGGCCCTCCACACTGCTCTCCCTGTGGCGCCATCAGCAGGGAGCAGCCGCACCCAGCTGGCTCCCTCCCATGGGGTGCAGGTGCCTCTGGCCACGGCCATCCCCACAGCGTGATGTTCCAACCCACGGCCTTTGCTTGCTCAGTCCGTGAGGACGCGTGGAACTGAACAACCGCCCTTGCGCTGGACACCTGGCCCCACCGGGGTCTGTGCTGGGCAGAGGGGGGCTAGGGGTGCTAGGGGTACGATCCTCCATGACCCCAGAACTGGGTCGCCATCTGTGAAAACCCGGGAGGATTGAAGCTGGGGGCTCGGGACCAGTCAGGGTGTTGATGGCGGGCACTGTCTGGAGTGCCAGTCGCTGCCCCTGCTGTGGCCTGGCCCGGGGCTGAGGCCTCCTGAGGGCAGAACCCACAGAGGGACAGCTCTGTCCGTAACTGCCTGTGGGGCACATCCTTGAGGTCGCCCTGGGTCCCCAGCACACACAGGAGCCTCTGCCAGGGGAGAGCCTGAGTGACAGCACAGAGCCCCGCGCACACCAGAGGAGAGCCTGAGTGACAGCACGGAGCCCCGCCCACACCAGGGGAGAGCCTGAGTGACAGCACGGAGCCCCGCCCACACCAGCGGAGTTTGAGTGACAGCTCACATCCACTGTGTCGGGCCACAAGGTCACCCAGCCAGGACTTCTGACTCAGCTAGGATCGCTGCCCGCTCCCTTACCCCTTCCTGCCTGCCTGGGCCTGGCCCCAGCACGGCCTGCTACAGCACCCCCATGTGCGTGAAGGGTCACCCCTGTGAGGGCACAGTGGGGAAGGACACTGCCTGCCATGCCGGTTCAAGTTTAGAATTCCCCGAAAGTGGGGGCACCCTGCTAATGCTCCTGGGAAAGCAGCAGAAGCTGGTCCCATGGCACCCCCGTCATGGGGGACCCAGATGGAGCTCCTGGCTCAGACCTGGCCTCTGTGGTCGTTTGGGGAGTGGCCCAGCACTTGAAAGCCCTTAACCCTCCCAGCCCAGCTGCAAGGCCCTTCCCACACTCTCCTGGCCCCCATGGCACCTGCCCCAGGTGTATGTGGTTCCGGCTGCTTGTATGAGCATCAGATGGCAGTCCCAGCCCTTAGTGCACCCCAAGTTGTCCCCGCACCTGGGAGGTGAAGTTATGCTGCTGCAGCTGGCGGTCCTCCCAGGAGTCCCAGCAGCGCACCATGCCGTCCAGGCCGCCTGTCCACAGCCAGGTGCCATCTGAGTAGCCCTGGAACTGCCTGGAAGGGGCTCCACCGGCCATCTGCCTTGCCACGCAGCCCACCTGACCATGGTCTGGTTCTGCAGGTCCCAGACCACGATGTTGCCAGAGCTTGCGTCGGAGCTGATGGCCAGGGCATAGCAAGCAGGGGCCGAGGAGGTCAGTTCTGCCTTGATGTGGGGCGTGGGTGCTGCCAGGTCCCAGATGGACAGAGTGCTGGCCTCACCGCCCAGTCAGGCTCCAGCCATCCAGCTTGCAGGAGCGGATATAGTTGTCTCTGTTCTGGGGTCAGAGGAGAGAAGAGGTGGGCTGGCTGGCCCCAGGGTGGGGTCTGGGAGCAGCCAGAACAAGATCATGGGGCTCTGGGTTCTGGCCCTAGGCACAAGCCCCACCCCAGCTGGTCAGCTTGCTGATGCTGGCCTTCAGGTGCTGCCCTTACCGCGGAGGCTCTGTCCCACCTGCGGATGCTTCGAGCAGCCTCAGGGGGTGCAGGTGCAGGGGGTGTGGTCTGGGCGGAGAGGGGCGGAGCAAGGCAGGTCAAAATGCCGGCATGGGGGGGGTGGGCGTAAGGAGGCGCTGGCTGGCTGCACCTGCTGGCCACTGGGACTTCCTGAGCCTGCACGCCTCACCAGGTCTGTGTGGGCTTCTGTGCTGGAGGGAAGGCTGCTGGGCAGAACCGAGGGCTGGCTGCGTTGGGGAGAGAGAAAGCAACCCTTTGCTTTCTGGGGTCCCGGAGGCCACCCTGCTCGCCCTTCCCTGGCCAAATTCCCCTCACCACACGGGGCTGTCTGGAACACTACCTGTCCCCTCGCTTCAAGAAGCTGTGCGAAACCAGGCTCGCCCATCCTGCGCTGTGTCCAGGCCCATCTTCCCCGCACCTCGGGAGCCCCACGGGACACCTATGACCGCTGGGCGGTAGGGTGTTTGGGGAGGACCTGGCCTGAGTTTGTGCTTTGGTCCTGAAGGGTCAGGGCTGCTGTGGTCTAGGTGTGTGTGCACATGTATGGGGGGGTGCTAGCTTCTTCACTGGGACCTGCCTTCCTGGTACCTGTAGGGTCTTTGGCCACACCGTGGACATGAGGACTCAGGAATCAATTAGCGCGGGGCAGACTCTCACCCTGGCTGCAAGCCAGGTAAGCAGGGCCCCAGCATGGCGGTGGAGAGGTGCCGCTGGTGGCCACCTGTGCCGGACTTCCCTGGCAGCAGCTAGAGGCAGTTGAAGCCCCTGGCTGCCTCACCTAGAGACACGTGTAAAAGCCGACAGGTGCATCCAGTAGCCCCTGGTTGGAGGGAAACGCCCCCTCGGCAATGTGCCGAAAACAGGTTCTGGGGGGGCTTGACGCCCCTACAACCAACCCCGGGGGTGGTCAGACCCCAAGTGGGGTGCCTCTTGGATGGGTGTGGCTTGCGACTACCTGCCTGGCTAGCCCCGCCCCGTCTCACCTTGGAACTCCTGCCTCCGCCCACCAGGCACTGCCCATCCAGGACGGTCGGATCATGGTGGACGAGCTCCAGCAGCAACTTCCCAAGTGAGGGGCGCTCGCTCCGGGACGGGAGAGGGGGCCGGCTGAGGGGAGGGGTGACCTCCAGCCGCCTGTCTGTCCCTGCTCCATCCCCCAGATTCTCACTGAAGGTGACGGCACTCCTGGAGAACATGTACTACTTCGTAAGTGGCGGGGGAGCTGGGGAAGGGCCAGCTCTGTGTGCTGCCTGCCTCACTGCTTTCTAGAGCATTCCAGAAGGCTCCCTAACTCCAGTGTTGCACAAGGGACCCTAGGAGACGGTTGAAGCCTTGCAAACACAGCTGACAGAGCTGAAGAGCTCATGTTTTCCTTCTCTGGGAAACTTGGCGGAAAGGCAGCGTGAGAGATGGACAGTGTAATGGATTTTGGACCTGTTGGTCCTCCATGCGCTGGCTCACTCCCCACATGGCAGCCACAGCCGGGGCTGGGCGAGCCAGAAACCGGGAGCCAGGAGCCCTGTCCAGGTCCCCCCATGGGGGAGCAGGCCCCAGCACTCCGGCTTTCCTGGGTCTGCAGGTGTGGGTGGAGAGCGTGGCGCCCAGGGCCTCATGGGGCACAGCCCCTACCCCTGCTCCCTGGTGACCCTCTCTGTCCTTCCCCCTGTAGTGCCACAATGTCCGGCGTGACCTCCAGGACTTCCGGGAGCTGGTGAGCTGCCCAGCTGGAGCACAGAGGGAGTGGGCGGCACCTGTACCCAGAGCCCAATGGGTCCCCCATCCTCAGGGGCCCTGGGCTCTTGCATGGGTCAGCTGCTTCTGCTCAGAAGGGCCGGAGTTTGTCCTAGCCCTGGCTGCCAAGGGCTGGGGAGTATGTGTGTGTGCACGCACATGTGGGGGTTGCAGCGTCTGCAGGCCCCCCTGCTTCCTCCAGGATGCCCAGCCGGCCACAACGCGCCCTCCTGCCACCTGGCCTCCTTCCTGCTGGGCTGCTGGCCGGGCCAGCTGTGAATGGCAGGCAGCCAGGGCCATGTCTGCGCCTTAGCAGGGGCCTGGTGTGGGGAGCAGGGGGAGGGCCAGGAAGCCACGGGAACATGGTGATTCATTCATCAAATCTTTATCCACTGCCTGAGTGCTAAGGGCTGTCCCGGGTACCAGGATGCCCCAGCCGAGTGCCCTTGGGGTGAAGGGAGTGTGTCCCTCATGGGGGCCTGTCTCTCCATGGGGTCTGTCAGGGGCCTGGATGGATGTGGTTCAGTGGCTGAGGGAGTCAGCTGAGGTTACAGCCAGGGCTGGGTCAGACCTAAACCAGGAGCTCCATCTGGGTCTCTCCTGTGGGTACAGGACCCTCACTGCTGCCCCCACAGCAGGGAGCCAGACCAGAAGTGGACTGGAGCCCACCCAGAGGGGCATGGGGGGTTCTCAGCTGCTGCCCCTGCCCCTCCTGCAGATGCTGAGCCCAGGGGTGGTGTCCTCGGGCAGGCAGACAGGCAGAGGATGTGATCTGCTGGGTGACTGCCCCCACCCGGTGGCCCTGGCTCTGCCTGGGGTGTCCCCCATGCACCCCCGGACTTGACCATGACCCTGTCCACCCTCCTCAGATGGACAACTTCTCCGAACTGCTCAAGGCCTGCGACATCCCGGCACTAGAGGTAATGCAGTGAGGCCCCCCAGGTAGGGGGGGCAAGTCCCCAAGCCTCTCATGACACCCCTCCCCTCTGCCCAGCAGCCCAAGGTGGCCATGCCCTCACCCAGCATCAGTGATGACGCGGACCAGGTGGTACCCGAGCTGGTGCCTGAGTCGGAGCCAAGCACCCCCGAGGCCGCCCAGGAGGTGCCCTTCGAAGCCGTAGCAAGAGCCAAGCTGTTGTCTGACTGGCCAGAGCTGGCCTGGGCCCAGGACGGTGATCCCTGGCTTTGGCAGGATGTGCTCAGCTGGCAGCTGTGGCGGGTGTTGGCAGGACCTGGTCACACTAAAGACAAGGAGCCCAGGCATCTGAGTGAGTGTCCGGGGTACAAGGGGGGCTGGGGGCTGTAGGGGCCTCAGGCAGCACCATGATCGCCCCCCCCCAACCCTGCTGTCCCCCCGCCACTTCATGCCTCTCTGCAGCCCCAGAGAAGGAGGAGGAATCAGGACTGGTGAGTGAACTGGGTCACCGGGACCCTGTGGGCTGCCTGGGCTGGGACATACAGCAGAACTTGTCACTAACCTTGGCAAGAAGCGGGGTCCCCGGGCAGTGCCTGTTCAGGCCACCTGAGCCTGCCAGTCGGGCAGTGGACCTGACTCAGGCCTCCGTGTCTGAGGGCAGGAGGATGACAAGCTGGAATCTCACGACTTGGGCACCAAGGCCAAGGACACCAACTCGCGTAAGCTTCATTGGGAGGGTGAAGGGGCCAGCGGCTCAGCCCTAGGGGCACCTCTGTACTCACTACCCTCCTGCACCACCACCTCTCCCCAGCTCCCCAGCCCCCGGAGACCTCCAGCTCCTCGGAGGAATCCCCAGGCACCCGAGCAAGCCCAGGCCTGTCCAACGTAAGACCCCGGTTGCAGAGATGGGGGCAGGTGCATGGGAGGGGGTGGGGCAGCTATGTTCTCCTCCCACCTACAGGAGACCACGAGGAAGGTCCAGCGGCTGCTGAAGCTGCTGTGAGTGAGGGCTAAGTTGGTGGGGTCTGGGGTTGGGGAGCTCCCTGAGGAGGGCGGGACTGGGTGAGAAGGCCTCCCCCAGATGGGGCAGGGATGACAGGTGAGCAGGAGTTGGCCCTCAGGAGACAGAACCTCCCAGGCAGGAAGGGGAATGGGCAGAAGACCCCCTCCTCCCAAACCTGCCACCAGGCAGGTCACCCCAAGCCTCCCCTCTCAAGCTCCTGGGACCCCGAAGACTTTGAAGGTGCCGACCGGCGATGCTGGCGCCTGGGGGTCCCGAGCAGGCTGGAGAAGAAGCGGACGCTGCGGCACGGGGAGCCGGTGCTGGCTGTGGGGGTGAGCAGTTTCACTCGGCACGCCTTCACCTGCGGCCGGGCCGGCATCAAGGTGTGGAGCCTCGCGGACCTGGGGGTCGAGGCCCGGCTCCCGGAGAGCTGCTTGTTCCCGCCAGCACAGGTGAAGGGCAACTGGGCATGGGGCAAGGCGGGGCCGGGGCCAGTGGACACTCCACGGCGGGTGGACACTCACGGCTGCCCCGACCCCGCAGAGCTGCGAGGCCTACCTGCGTACCTGCCTGCTCACCTCCAATAACAGGAGCCTGCTCGCAGGTGGCCACAGCCTGCCCAGCGTGAGCCTGTGGGACCTGGCGGCGCCCTCCCTGCGGATCTCACACCAGCTGCCTTGTGAAGGCTACACCTGCCAGGCCCTGGCTGCCAACCTGGATGAAAACCTGGCTTTCGCCAGCTTCACCGACGGCACGGTCAGGATTTGGGACCTGCGCAGTCAGAGCGTGGTCAGGTACGCCCGGAGCAGGGTCCTTCCCTCACGCCCCAGCAGCCTTAGCACCCAGCGTGCCCTGCTAACTCACTCCCAGCATACCCTGCTGCCTCACTCCCAGCATCCCTTCACTCCCAGCCTTCCTCGAACCCGAGCTGGAGACGGTGGGAGAGCATGGTGTTGTTGCCCCACATTTGCTGGCCTCGGTTTGTGCATGTGGCCGGGTGGTTGACATACTCGCGTGTTCTGGGGAGGGGAGAGTTGCACAAGTTTGTGGCGCCCACACCAAGGTCGCCGTGTATGTGGGAGGGATACAGGGCAGCCCCAGCCTCCTCGCTGGTCCTGGAAGGTGGGCCTGGTGGCTGTGCAAGCTGTATCCTCACACTTCCCAGCCCGTGTGAACTGGAGCTGCCCAGGGCGCAGCTCTGGGATCTAATGTCACGTCAGAGCCCTGGGTGCCCTGGGGTGAGCTGGGAGTGTGCAGAGGTGGCCACGGGCAGGCAGATGCTGGACACTCAGTCCCACTCCACCCTCACTGCAGGGACTTCCACGGGCCACCCCACAGTGCCAAGAGCCTGGTGGTGAAGGCCCAGCAGGTGTGGACAGGGGGCCTGGACGCCTGCCTGCGGGGCTGGGACCTCCGCGCCCCAGCCCAGCCCCTGCAGTGGCCCATGAAGTCTCAGGTTTGGGGGTTCAGGGCTGTCCCAAGGGGCACTACAGGGAGGGATGGGGTCTGCACTATTTGGGAGATAAGCGGGCAGGCGGTCGCTCACCCAAGCTGCTGTCCGTGTGCCCCCTCAGATCATGAGCCTGGCCCACTGCCCCAACGAGGACTGGGTGGTCCTGGGCCTGGCCAGCGGCGAGCAGTGGCTGCATCCAACCAACAGCGGTAAGACGCGTTTGCTGGGCAGCCAGGAGAATCCCATCCTTGGCCTCAAGTTCTCCCCGTTTGGTAAGCAGCTGGGCTGGGGGGCTTGTATCCACTGTACACAGTCTAGTTTCCTGCCCGGCCCCGCCCCGTCCATCTCGCTGTGCCACCCGCAGCCAGCATCCTACCCCGTTTCTCCTGCTAGGCCGGTGGTGGGTGAGTGTGGACACCGATGGCCTGGTCAGCATCTGCTCCATGCCCCTGGGAGCCAAGGTGGTCCAGGTAGGGTGCAGGGTGTAGCCTGGATGGGTGCCGGGCTCATGCCGGGTAGGCACCGCCCCCACCCCTCAGCTCACCCCTTCTCCCACCCAGGTACCCGAAAACTCGTCCGCCATGTGCTGTGACGTGTGTAGCAACAGCTCCCTGGTGGCCGCGGGGACCGGGGACTGCGCCTCTGTGTACCAGGTCGCCTACTGAGTGGCCGTGGCCGTCCCCTGGCATGGGCTCCAGCCCCTGTCATGAGCCTTGAGGGGTTGGGGGGTGGGTGGTTCCCGTCAGCACCGTGAGGTTTAAGTTCGGGGTCCCAGGTCGTCTTTGCTGTGGGTCACGAGGAATAAAGCATTCAACAGAAGGCAAGAGGGGTTCCGTGCTGGCCGGGGGTTGGGGAAGGTGGTTCGCCTGTGGTCGCCCTGCTTGGGCCCAGTCCAGCCCCGGGTGGATGCTGTGCTCATCAAATCTATCTTGAGTCGAGAGCCAGGAATGCCAGGGCTTGAGTGGGTGGGGGCAAGGGTTATCCCTTCCCAGGGTGGGAACCACAAGGCCCAGGGGCCACAGACAGAGCAGGACAGATGTGTGCCTGGGTCACCTGCAGTGCCCCCACCTCAGCTGCCCCCTCCCACCCAGCTGCCTGCGGTGCTGCCTGCGGTGCCCCCCAAGATGCCCCCTGGGAGGCAGCACATGCAGGCCCAGGACTTGGGCCCCTGCACCCAGTGGGAGACCCAGATGGAGCTCCTGGCTTCAGCCGCTCAGCCCTGGCCGCTGGGGGCACCTGGGGAGCCGCCCAGGAGGTGGGGGTTCTGAGAGCAGCCCAGGGGGCCAGCTATGACTGTTGTCACTTGGTGATGGAAGGACCAGGTTCCTTCACCTGCACCTGTCTGTGGTGACCAGGGACTCAGCATGCCCCACTACCCTTGCAGACAGCCCCTGTGCCAGCACCCCGAGGCAGCTGTGATAAATGTTTATTTCCATCCAGGAAGGGCAGGAGGGAGGCAGAGGGGTGGGATGAGCACAGTCAGGGGGCATGGCCCAACATTGCCACCTTGGGGTACCAAGGATAGTGGGGTAAAAGCGAGAGAGCCAGGAACTGGGGCTGCCAGGGCCACGGGTGCCCTGCAATCCATCAATCTCCATTTCCCTTCTGCTAACCATGCTTTGGGGGTGTGGGGAAGGGCTGTCTTTGGGGACGTGTAAAAAGACGAGGCTCAGGCAGACTCAGGGCACAGGACGCCTGTGAGGCCGCCAGGCATTCCCCCAGCTTGAGAGGTGCCAGGCAGGACAGTGTCCCAGTTCCACCCTGGGCACCCGCGACAAGTCCAGGTCCTGTATCCTGTACCGCAGAAGGAAGTTGGGTGGCCTGGCTATGTGCCTGTGGGCACCAGTGTGCAAGCTCAGGAATACACCCTGCCCCAACACCCCCCGCCCATCAAGCAGGGGGTGGCCTCACCCGTGGGAGCGTGAGGACGCAGCCACAAAAGACCCGCCCCATAGATGGCGACAGAGACCACGAGTTAGCCCCAACTGAGCTCAGAGGGTTGTTTTCTGTTTTTGTTTTGAATTTGGGAAGCAGAGACAGCCAGGGAAGAGGAGAGCTCCCCTCTGATTCAGGGTTTCTCCCCACCCCCCCAACTTCCTCAGAGGCTGCAACAGCCTGAAAAGGAGGGGAAGGGGCTGGGGCAGGAGTGCACTGGGATCAGCGTGACCACCCCACACACAGCTTGTGGGGGACATGCGGTGTTGTGTGTGTCCAGTGTCCTCTTCCCTCCTGGTTGCTCGCCATGGCAGCCCTGTACCCGGCTGGAGCTCCTGGCTGCTGCCATCAGCCTAGCCTGGCCCAGCTCCAGCCGTGGCGGCCGTCCAGGGGTGACCCAGTGAACAGACTCTAAAAAGGCAGAAGGGCATAGCCCCTGCCTGGCCAGGCTGCAGGGTCAGTCAGGTCAGCCGGCCATGAGAGGGCCGTTCAGGCCTTGGCCCTGCCCCCACGTCACCGCCGGGAGGAGCCTTGCCAGGCAGGGACTGTACCTGAACCAGGCTGGGGCGGAGGACATCACAGGAGCACAGGTGGCCATGCCCACTCCACAGCAGCTCCCTGCGGGGCTGGATGCCAGCACCAGCCCCACCCTCCAGCCCACCAGCCTCCAGGCCCCGCCCTCCAATGCTCCACCCATCACAGACCCCGCCCACCAGCCTCCAGGCCCCACCCTCCAATGCTCCACCCCTCACAGACCCCACCCACCAGCCTCCAGGCCCCACCCTCCAAGGCCTGCCCACCAGCCACCAGGCCCCGCCCTCCAATGCTCCACCCCTCACAGACCCTACCCACCAGCCTCCAGGCCCCACCCTCCAATGCTCCACCCCTCACAGGCCCCACCCTCCAATGCTCCACCCCTCACAGACCCCGCCCACCAGGGCTCCAGGCCACGCCCCTCAGGCTCCTTTGCACTGGGGTAGCAGCCGGAGTGGGCAGCGGCCCAGGTGTCCCAGCGTGGGCACAGCACAGAACTCAGCCAGTGCCAGGGAGCCCGAGTGGGCTGCTTCCTGCCTGTGGGTCCTGCAGGTGCTGCCATCCCTACCCTCCTGTCCCCTAGTCCAGCTCAGTGCCCTGCCCAACCCGGAGCCACTGGGAGAGGCAGGGCTGGCCAGGGTTCCCTTGGGATCCCCTCTTGCCCCTGTCTGTTTTATGGTATGTTTCCTTTATTGAACGATGTATTTTTTTTTTTTTTACTTATTTTTTTTATTGGAAAGGCGGATATACAGAGAGGAGAGATAGAGAGGAAGATCTTCCGTCCGATGATTCACTCCCCAAGTGAGCGCAACGGCCGATGCTATGCTGATCCAAAGCCAGGAGCCTCTTCCGGGTCTCCCACATGGGTGCATGTTCCCAAAGCTTTGGGCCGTCCTCGACTGCTTTCCCAGGCCACAGGCAGGGAGCTGGAAGGGAAGCAGGGCTGCCAGGATTAGAACCGGCGCCCATATGGGATCCCAGGCGTGCAAGGTGAGGACCTTAACCACTTGCGTCACCGCGCCGGGCCCAAGATGTATTTATTTTTATTGGAAAGTCAGATATACAGAGAGGATAATCTTCCATCTGCTGATTCACTCCCAAAGTGGCCACAACAGCTGGAGCCAAACCGATCCGAAGCCAGGATCCAGAACCTTCCTCCAGGTCTCCCACGCAGGTGCAGGGTCCCAAGGCTTTGCGCCATCCTCGACTGCTTTCCCAGGCCACAAGCAGGGAGCTGGATGGGAAGTGGGGCAGCCAGGACGCAAACCTGCGCACCTATGGGATGCTAGCACTGTTAAGCCAGCATGTGGGTCCCCTGAGGTTCTGTTTCAAAGTAGCCCTGGGCCAGGAAGCAATAGGGACCCTGTCCTCCACCACAGCCTGATGGCTCCCCCACCCCAACCCCTGCCTCTCCAGGTGTCCCAGCCAAGGTTCAAATCCCTGCACACCTCCATCCTGGCTGGCAACCCCCCACACAGTGGGGGAGGAGAAAGACGAAGAGCAGAGGGGCCCAGTAACAGAGCCTGCTTCTGGGAAGGCCCAAGGAGTGCCCGAGGAACAGACCGGCCTTGGCTGTGACCCCACAGCTCGGCCACAAAACCCTGGTCCCTGGGGCGAGGGTGCTTCTATTGCGGTTCCCAGGGGGCAAAGCACCTGTTGGGGGGCAGTTTCTGTCCCAGATCATAGGGGGTGGGGGAGAGTCCTACTAGAGGACCCCAGGGAGGAGGGGGCTACATAGCAGGAGGCCAGGGAGGAAAAGGAGGGGGTGGGGTTGGGGTGCAGCTCTCCCAGGGCAGGGCCTGTGTCCCGGGCAGCTGAGAAGTTCGCCTGCGGCCCCAGCACCCTGCGCTGTGCTCTAACACCCCCTTCCTTTGCAACCCCACAAGGGGCCAGAGACCAGCCCCTCTCCCAGTCCCGCCCAGGGTGAACCCTGGCCCATGCCCACGGCTGCCCCAGGCCCTGCACACTCCCGCCCATGGGGCATCGGAAGTCCCCCCCATCTAAGAAACCCACCCCAGCCCCATCTAGTCTATCTCCTCCATCACTTGCTCTTCGCTGCTGGGATTGCAAGGGTTACGCGAGAGGCTCTGTGCTCGCTGAGTGACAGCCAGGCTGGAGGGCCAGGCACAGCTGGCCAATGGGCGCAGGCGGGCCGTGGCACACGTGGGCCAGCAGCCTGGCGATTGGTGGGTGCCGCTTGCCAGCCCACGTGCGGACCCAGGGAGCAGGCCTTGGGGTGCAGGTGCAGGGGGTGGGGCCTGGTGTAAGGGGCGGGGCCAGGCTGCACCTGCTGGCCCCTGGCTCCCTGGGCCTGCACCCCTGCCAGGCCTGTGGGCTCCTGCGCTGGAAGGAAGGGTGCCGGGCAGAACCGATGGCTGGCGGCGTTGTCCTGTAGGGTCAGCTCCCCCATTCCAGTGCCCTGGGCTCTTGCATGGGTCAGCTGCTTCTACTCAGAAGGGCCGGCGTTTATCCCTGGATGCCACGGGCTGGGGTGTGTGTCTGTGTGTGTGTGTGTGGCTGCCAAGGGCTGGGGTGTGTGTGCACAGGTGTGTGTGTGTGTGTGTGTGTGTGTGTGTGGCTGCCACAAGCTGAAAGAGGTGTGTGTGTGGCTGCCACAGGCTGGGGTGTGTGTGTGCACACACAGGTGGCGGTTGCAGCGTCTGCAGGCCCCCCTGCTTCCTCCAGGATGCCCAGCCGGCCACAACGCGCCCTCCTGCCACCTGGCCTCCTTCCTGCTGGGCTGCTGGCTGGGCCAGCTGTGAATGGCAGGCAGCCAGGGCCATGTCTGCGCCTTAGCAGGGGCCTGGTGTGGGGAGCAGGGGGAGGGCCAGGAAGCCACGGGAACATGGTGATTCATTCATCAAATCTTTATCCACTGCCTCAGTGCTAAGGGCTGTCCCGGGTACCAGGATGCCCCAGCCGAGCGCCCTTGGGGTGAAGGGAGTGTGTCCCTCATGGGGGCCTGTCCCCCCATGGTGTCTGTCAGGGGCCTGGATGGATGTGGTTCAGTGGCTGAGGGAGTCAGTTGAGGTTACAGCCAGGGGGTACTTGGGACAGGCAAGCTTGCAGGTGTGGGTGGGACAAGGACGGGCTTGCCCAGGAAGGACTTGAGTGCTGGGCCCTGTGGGCAGGAGCTGATTCCAATGGACTCTTGGCACCTGGGGTGGGTAGGCAGGCGGAGGGCCCTGCAGCAGCTGGCCCCTCCCCCAGCCTCTGCCTCCAGCCTGCTTGGGCTGTGCTGCTCAGAGCCACCCTCCCCAGGGAGGCCTGGGAGATGGCAGCGGCACGGCACAGGAGCGCAGTAAAGTGCCGCTAAATTGCACATTAACAAGCCGGGGTGCGAGGGGGAGGACTCCCCTGAGCTTTCTCTGCAGCCGGGTAGGCGGGCTCAGCTGGCGGTGTTGGGGGTACACAGCCCCAGGAGGTCAGGGCTGAGTTATGGGGCTCCCAGGAGTACCCCACACCCAGTCCCCTGCGGTGGCCCCCCCAGCTGCCCCCACCCACCCAGCCCCCTGTGGTGCCACCAGGAGGAGGCAACACAAGCAGACCAAGGCTTGGGCCCCTGCACCCAGTGGGAGACCCAGATAGAGTTTCTGGCTTCACTCAGCCCTGGCTGCTGGGGGCACCTGGGGAGTTGCCCAGCAGGTGGGGGCTCTGGGCTGGGGGCAGCCCAGGGGAGGGCCAGCTGTGGTTGTCATCACTTGGTCATAGAAGGACAGAGACACCCCCCCCAGGGTCCCCTCAGGCCTTGTTTGCACCTGTCTGTGGTAACCAGGGACTCCAAGTGTGCCCCGCAGCCCTGGCAGACAGCCCCTGTGCCAGCATCCCGAGTGGCTGTGATCAATATGTTTATTTTCCATCCAGCAGTGCGGGAGGGAGGCAGAGGGACATGGGGGGCCGGGCTGTGGCCGGGGAGCGCCCCGGAGGGCAGGGCTGTGGCCGGGGGCGCCTGGTGGGGACGGTCCTCAGTACACGACTTCGTACACCGTGGCCTTCTTGTCCCCCGAGCCGGTGACGATGTACCTATTGTTTCTGGAGATGTCGCAGCTGAGGACGGAGGAGGACTCCTTGGACTGTGGGGGAGGGGGACAGAAAGAGGGGGTGGGGGCGCAGCAGAGCGTTCCCATCGTGGGTTACTATGTGGGCTCAGAGTGGGGGGAGGGAGGGTTGGGAGACGGAGTGGGAAGACCCAGAAAATGAGAGGAAGAGACAGAGCAAGACGGAGGGAGGCAACGATGCCCAGAGCGGAAGGGGCGAGCTGGCAGCTGCGGGCGCGCCCACTCATGGGACCACAGGGTTCCCACAGGTGCTCCAGCGAGGTGGACCCCCGAGGCCGGCGGGCTGAGGGACACGCTGTCCTCTATGGGAACCACTCCCGGGATGTCTGGGGCAAGGCAGAGGGTGCTGGGTCCCTGGGATAGGCAGGAGTGGGAGGGGACAGAGCTCCAGGCTGGGGAGAGAACGTTGTAGAAGCCAGGGCAAGGTGCAGGGAGGTGTTCAGGGGGCGGGGGAACGCCCTCCCCAGCCCCAACCTGGAAGATGCTGGCCCCGTACGGTGTCCGCCATGCGTTTAGCAGGTTGTCCTTCCCAGTGCTCACGAACCAGCGACCTGCAGGACACAGTGAGCCGGAGTGGTGGGCTGGCGGAGAGGCCTGGGCCCACAGCCGGCCCTCCTGCACCTGCCGGCCCTGCGGAGAGCAAGGGGCCTCTCTCTGCCTCTACAATTGCAGTTACAATTTACACCCCAGGCCAAGGACTGTGGGGCAGCCCCACGTGAGCTGTTGCCTGCAATGCCACCATCCCGTATGGGAGACAGTTTGAGTCCCAGCTGCTCCATCTCCTGTCCAGCTCATGCGGAGAATGGACCAAGGACTTGGGCCCTGACTGTGCACCGGAGACCTGGAGGAAGCTCCTGGCTCCCGATCGGCACAGCTCTGGCCGTTGCAGCCATTTGGGGAGTTAGCCATGGAAGAACACTCTAACTTCCTCGTTCAAGTAAATTCCAAAAATGTCTTAGGCTGTCACTGTGCTGCAGCGGATAAGGCATGGCCTGTGGTGCCGGCTCCACAGAGGAGTGCTGGTTCGAGTCCTGGCTGCTCCACCTGACATTTGACTCCCTGCTAGAAAGCCAAGGAAAGCAAGCAATAGAGGCCACTGCCCCTGCTGTGGCCTGGCCCTGGGCCTCCTGAGGGCAGAACCCACAGAGGGACAGCTCTGTCCATAACTGCCTGTGGGGCACATCCTTGAGGTCGCCCTGGGTCCCCAGCACACACAGGAGCCTCTGCCAGGGGAGAGCCTGAGTGACAGCACGGAGCCCCGCCCACACCAGAGGAGAGCCTGAGTGACAGCACGGAGCCCCGCCCACACCAGAGGAGAGCCTGAGTGACAGCACGGAGCCCCGCCCACACCAGAGGAGAGCCTGAGTGACAGCACGGAGCCCCGCCCACACCAGAGGAGAGCCTGAGTGACAGCACGGAGCCCCGCCCACACCAGAGGAGAGCCTGAGTGACAGCACGGAGCCCCGCCCTCACCAGAGAGCCTGAGTGACAGCACGGAGCCCCGCCCACACCAGAGGAGAGCCTGAGTGACAGCACGGAGCCCCGCCCACACCAGAGGAGAGCCTGAGTGACAGCACGGAGCCCCGCCCACACCAGAGGAGAGCCTGAGTGACAGCACGGAGCCCCGCCCACACCAGAGGAGAGCCTGAGTGACAGCACGGAGCCCCGCCCACACCAGAGGAGAGCCTGAGTGACAGCACGGAGCCCCGCCCTCACCAGAGAGCCTGAGTGACAGCACGGAGCCCCGCCCACACCAGAGGAGAGCCTGAGTGACAGCACGGAGCCCCGCCCTCACCGCAGGACGCGAACTTGAGTGACAGCACGCAGCTCTCGTGCAGGTGCAGCTGGTACTTCTCCGGCTTCCGCACATGCAGGATCTCCACATTACTGCTCTCCATGCCCACGGCCAGCCAGTCCTGGTTGGGGCAGTGCCCCAGCGAGAAAATCTGGGCCGGGGGAGAGGGGACACAGGGAGAGGCCACGTGGGGTGTGTATGCTCCCACAAGCCCCCCGTGCGGCCCCCACTTATCCACCGGCAGGGAGGACGGGGCGGCCGGTAAGAGACAATCGCCCCCTACAGCAGATGGCTGAAGCCGGGCCAGGCAGCCAGCGCTCAAGGTCACCCAGCCAGGACTTCCGACTGCCAGCTAGGATCGCTGCCCGCTCCCCCCACCTTCCTGCCTGCCTGCCTGGGCCCAGCCCCCGTCCCAGCAATGCCTGCTACAGGACCCCCGTATGCAGGAAGGGTCACTCGTGTGAAGACCCTCTCTGGGCTTCGCTGGCGCATGTCCCCCAGGTCAGCAACTCCCCCCAGGTATGTGTCCCTTGGTGGCAACCCCAAACCTTCGGGCTCCCCGAGCTGACCCAGGGAGCCGCCCCTGCACCTGTGAGGTGAAGTCATGCTGCTGCAGCTGGCGGCCCTCCCGCAGGTCCCAGCAGCGCACCGTGTTGTCCAGGCCTCCCGTCCACAGCCGGGTGCCATAGTCGGAAATGTCTATGCAACTGGCACCATCCGTGTGGCCCTGGAACTGCCTGGAAGGGCAGGAGCCGCTGGGCTCCGGCGCTGCCCCCAGACGCCTGGCCACCCATGCTGCCCGCCCACCTTGCCACGCAGCCCACCTGACCATGGTCTGGTTCTGCAGGTCCCAGACCACGATGTTACCGTCGCTGCAGCAGGAGAAGCAGACCTTGGCGTCGGGGCTGACAGCCAGGGCGTAGCAAGCAGGGGCCGAGGAGGTCAGTTCTGCCTTGATGCGGGGCGTGGGAGCTGCCAGGTCCCAGATGGACAGGGTGCTGGCCTCACCACCCACAATCAGGCTCCGGCCATCAGGTAGCAGCTTGCAGGAGCGGATGTAGTTGTCTCTGTTCTGGGGTCGGGGGAGAGAAGAGGTGGGCTGACTGGCCCCTGGGTGGGGTCTGGGAGCAGCCAGGACAAGGTCATGGGGTTCTGAGTTCTGCCCCTTGGGACACAAGCCCCGCCCCTCAGGTTGCAAGCCCCACCCCTATGGCACAAGCCCCACCCCATGCCCCTGGATCACCCCGAACTCCCCCTGAACTCCCCGGGCCCTCACCAGGCAGTCGAGCTGGGCCACGGGTGTCTTGGTGCCAGGCTGGCCCACGTCCCAGACCTTGACACAGCCCTTGCCCCCCGTGTAGACGTGCTGCGTGGAGCCGCTGATGGTGACGGCGCAAACCACCTCTCCGTGGGCCAGCGTGTGTACCTGCCGGGCATGCCGCGGGATGCCGGCTCCCACGAGCGCGTCAGATGGAAAGGGCACGGGCTGCACCTGCCCATCGGCGGACACATGGAAGGAGTAGGCCCTGGGGGCAGGGACCAGGGACAGGAGACCACCGATGTGACGCCCCCAGCGGGGCCTGGTGCCTGCTGTGTGGCCCATCAGGCCCCCCCCCCCACCACATCCACCTACAATACAACCAGGTACTCACGGCTTCCCCCCAGGGACGCTGCTGGGCAGAGGGGAGATGGATGAGCCGCGGAGATGTGGGTGGGATTCAAAGGCCATCTGGCAGAAGGCGGAGAGGGCATCAGGGGCTGTGGCAATCACAGCCGTGCCCTCCCCGACCCCGTCCGTCCTGAAGAGGCCCACCCTGGCCAACACTCACCATGGGGGAGCGTCCATACAGCACGGAGCTGCTGACCTGCGGGGACAGGTGGAGGCTGACGTAGGCACCAGGCACCGAGAGGTCCCCGTGGGAGCCGAGGCTGAAGGATGCAGTGAAGGAGCTAGGCACCGTCAGGGGACTCCGCAGGGCTGAACAACAAAGAGCCGGGTCGGGACTCCAGGCTAGACAGCCGGAGTGCGTCCCACTGCTGGGAGGGGCATGCATCTGTGCCTGGGGGTGCTCACCTGGGGCCAGGGACACACACACACACACACTCATGGCTCCCCCAGCTGGTCGGCCAGCCCTGTGGCTTCTGAGAGTCAGACACACCCAGACATCCACCTGCTTTTCACTGGGTTACTCTCCACTTGTCCTCAATAGCTGGGGGCCTGCTGCATGGCAGGGTCTCCCCCACTTCCCATAGCTACCTCCCCAGAAGCCTGGACTCGCACCCTGAGGGGTCTCGACAGCCAGGAGCAATGCCTGTCCATGGGGATGCTGGGACACCCTCTCCTTCTGGAAACTACTTAGCTTGGTTTGGAGTTCCGGGAACCAAGTCCCACTGGGAGCTGGCTGTCCCTGACCGGGGCCTGGCTGCCTCCACACCCCAAGGCTCAGCCTCTCTGCCCCACAGGGGGCTCCTCACCGAGGCTGTCGGTGGATGGTGTGGGCTTGGTGGCCAGCTGGCACAGGTGAGCGGCCGAGCTGGGCCCGGGCGTGGGTGCATCCTGGGGCGGGGAAGAGTCACAGGACTTGGAGGCAGGCGTACTGGTGGGCAGATCATTCTGGAGTGGAAACACAGGACCAAGGGCCAGGGGGGCGTCAGGGCTGTGTGGGGGGGGAGGGGTTACCCTGTGTGCCCACCCCCTCGTGCTGACAGCCCAAGCAGGTGGCAGGTGCGAGGGGGCACGTGCCCTAGGATGCCATGGGCACATCTGGGCAGAATGTGCACCTGATGGGGAGAGGTGGGCATGGCAGCACCCAGGCAGGGAGGGACCTGCCCTCACCCCAGAGGCTGGCGGGGTCTTGGCAGGACTGGAACTGGATGCCCTGGGCTGCAGATCCCCTCCCCAACTGGGGGCAAGGAGAGTCCCCAGTTCCCGACCTAGCAGCAGGCCTGGCACAGCCCGGTCCTCTGCCTGCCCCGATCGGCATGTCCAGGTGTGTGTGCCCACACACCCCCCCCCGCCCCCAGCCACCAGTCACAGCACAGGGTGCTTGCTGCAAGGCCCAGCCGCCCCAGCCTCCTCTGAAGGTCTTCCCAGAACTGGAGCCCCAACCCTTGGCGGCTGCCATGGCAACCTGGGGGGCGGGGAGGCCTGGAAACCGACAGGGCAGCTCCCGGAGAGGACAAGGCTTGGAGGGGGGGAGAACGTGGGGAGGGGGAGCATGCAGCTGGCACGGGAGGGTTCCACCTCTGGGACAGCCTAGGCCTGTCCACTGCCTTCAAGGTCCCCGGATGCCTGCCTGGGGTCGCCACAGCCTCCCCGGGCACACCCAGACTTCTCTTTATTTCAAAGGCACCTGCTGGTCACCGGGTGGACACCCATAAGGGCCAGGGATGGCCTGGGCCAAAGCCAGCAGCTCAGAGCTCCATGCACGGCTCCACTCCAGGCCGATTCCCTGCAGACCCTGAGAGCGGCAGGCCATGGCCCCTGGCCTGGGGGACGCGCATGGCACTCCAGGCTCCCGGCTCCGGCCTACCCGGGGAAGAGAAGCAACCTGGCCCAGCATCACTTTGCCTTTCAAACACAAACCTTACCCCAAAGCTGCTCCTGGGGATGACCAAGTCAGGCACCAAAACATCACCAGGAAACCGCAGGCGACACCTGTCGCCTGACAACGGGATGGCGACCGTTTCTAGGCCTCCCCACCCCCCAAGGAGAAAAAAATGTCTGTTTCAAGGCATGCCTCCCCCTTCCTACCAGGACAAGCTCCTTAGCTCTGGGGAGCGGAGAGCCGAGGCTGGAGGCCAGGGAGGCTGGGCTGTCCACTAGGTCCCGGCGGGCGGGCACGCAAAGGGGTGCCTTGCCACAGGGGGTGGTCGCCGGGCTGGGGGGCTCCGAGGGCTGGTCCTAGGTGTTGAAGGGAGCACCGCTGAGGCACAGGGGACTCTGCCCTCACGGGACCCCTGCCCACCCAGAGGCCCCCTCCCGCCACGCTCACCTCGTCCACCACCAGGTTGTAATCACTTTTGTCCTCCTCACTCTCCTGGGGGAGGGGGAGAGCTGGCTGGGCAAGGGGTACCCCACCTGGGGCCCTAACACCCTGTCCTAGGGCAGGGGTCCCTGCTGGGGGTGCGGTCGGCTGCCCAGCAGCAGACTCGGGTTTTGGTCCCAAACCAGAGCTGAGACCAATCCCAAGCTTAGCTCTGCTCTGTGAGAACCGGTGAGAACCGGGGGTGGGGGGGTGGGGGGGGTGGCGGGCAAGGGGGTGTCCTGCCCCACCCCGATGGCTTCAACCTAGCCCCCTGCGGGGCCACTGCAGAGGACCCTGTGACTCCGTCAGGACTCTGATAGGGCACTAGCTCTGGGGAGGCAGTCAGGGAGGGCTTCCTGCAGGAGGTGACATCCGGCAGTCCTCCAATATAGAAACTGGCTTCTGAGAGGGAGGGGAGGGGAGGGAAAGGAGGAGGAGGGAAGGGTACGGGCTGCAGCTACAATGAGAAGTCGGGCACCAGTAGGCCTCCTCATGTCAGCCAAGCACCCCAAGAGCCTCGAGGAGCTGTGGGAGGCCAGACCAAGCTGGCTCTGGAAGGCCCCCCCAGCTCACATAAGGTCCCGACACCTCCTTGTCGTCCGCCCTCGGCTTGCCGCTGCCGCTGCTGCTGCCGCCACCGCCCGGCCCACCCGGCCGTTCCTCCTCCACCAGGCTCTCCGGAGGTGAGGGTGACGCACTCCGTGGAGACGGAGGCTGTGCAGGCAGGGACAGAGCTCAGGAACCAGGGGTGGGGGGAGCGGGGTGTGGGAAGCTGGGGGGATCCCCACTGCTACACTCCATGCTCCCAGCCGGGCCCTGCCCTCCCGAGGGGGCACTGGAGGCCCAGTTCCCTGGCATGCACACACCCGGCTCCCGCCTGACTCAGTGCTGGACACTGTGGGCACTCGGGAAGTGACCCAGCAGGTGAAATATCACATGCTGTCTTTAGCTCTCCCTCCCCGCTTCCTCTGTGTTTCAAATAAAACATTCCTGTCGGTAATTCTTCCTGCTCAAAGGTTCAGGCCGAGTGGAAGGCTCTGGTGCTCCATGGCTGGCCCTGGTGCTCCCTGGCTGGCCCTGGTGCTCCCTGGCTGGCCCTGGTCCTCCCTGGCCAAGGCCCTGGTCCTTCCTGGCAAGCCTTGGTGCTCCAAGCCCCATCAAGGTCAAGATGGGAAAATGCAACAACCCCCCCCCAGGGGTGTTTGCCCTCATAGGAAGGCCCCAGGGCGGTGGGGGAGGGGCTGGTTGGGAGCCCCACCCACTCAGGACCCCCACCTCAGCGCCCCCAAACACAGTGGATCTCCACTTACCCTACTGGAGCCTCTCTCCACTGGCAGGTTCAGGGCAGCAGAGAGAGAGAGGGGAGGGGAGGGGAGGGTCGGCTCGCACAGACCCCCCCACAACAGCAACCGGCCTGCAAGCCACCCCCCCCCCACACACATACACACACACTCAGTCACTACCCTAACCCAAACCCTAACCGCCCAGCTCACCTCTGGCTGCCTGGGCCTCCGCGCCTGCACGCTCCTCCTTGGCAGCCACCAGCTGGGCCTGGGCGGCCAGAGCTCCGGACAGCGTGAGTAGCCCGGCCGGGCGTGGGGTGAGGGGTACGGTGGGGGCGTGGTGGGACAGCGGCTGGAGCTGTTGCTGCTGGAGCGGGGGGGTGAAGGTGGGCAGGGCTGGCCCATGCCTCCCCCCTCACCGCCCTCCCTGGGTGGGCAGGGGCGTCTCTGTGCCACAGGGGCCTGGAAGACTCACCCCGATGAGGCTGTTTAGTTCCCCTACAGTCACCTGCTTGGCGCGCTCCACGGCCTGCAGCACCTGCTGCTGGTGCTGGGGAAGGGGCAGGAGGGACAACAGGCGCTGAGCTCAGCGGCCGGGGAGTGGGGACGAGGGGACAGCCGCTGAGCCAGTGGGCAGGGGGACAGGCACGGCACGGAGCCCACTGGTTGGGGGGATGAGGGGACAGGCACTGAGCCCAGCTCCAGCAGTGTGCTAACATGGGACACCAACTCCATAGAGCAACCAGGCGAAAGCCAGGAGCCAGGTGCCTGTGCCAGGCTCTCCCGGTCGCCGTCAGTGGGCAGCTGGGGTGAGGAACACAGCCAGACTGACTCAGGCAGGCTCCGGCACCGGACGTGAGGGGCCCAGCCAGCGGGCATCTTGTGAGCTATGCCAAAGGCTGACTGGGACGTGGCCTCAGTCCCCAGCAGGGCAGGAGATGCCAGATGCAGCTATGCCAACATGGCATGGGGGCATGTGGATGCCAGTTCATATCCCGGCTGCTCCACTTTCCATCCAGCTCCCTGCTTGTGGCCTGGGAAAGCAGTAGAGGATGGCCCAAAGCCTTCGACCATGCACCTGCGTGGGAGACCCGGAGGAGACTCCTGGCTCCTGGCTCCGGCCTGGCCCAGCCCGAGCTGTTCCTTTGGGAAGTGAGCCAGCAGATGGAAAATCTTTCTGTGACTCTGCTTTTTCAAACAAACAGATCTTTAAAAAACAAAAACAAAACAAAACAAAAAACCGAAACTTTGTCGTCACGGCTCCGAGAAGGCCAGCTTCAGCCCGTGCACCTCCGTGGCGCCTGGCCGGGCAGCTCACGGTTGCTGGGTGCACCTGGCACCCTCCGGGAATCTGTGCACCTGCACTCTCCATGGGTCTCCATCCTCCCCAGAGGCCACCTGGGCCTCAGCCACCACAGTGCACCCCGCATGCTGCCCTGCATGGCACCCCGCTCCTGGGCCGGGTGGGGACCTGGAACACAACGCCCCACTTTCTGTTTTTACCTTCCAGCTTTCAGACAACTCCTGTCAGAGGCTCCGGGGAGGCCTGAACACATCCCGCCCCGCCGGCCAGCCTTGCAGCTGGGACACACAGCTAAAGCTGCTTCCAGAACCTTCTCTAGGTTCCAAACGCACTCTAGTCCCCAGCTGCTGGCACCCCCCACTCCCCCAAGCAGCCCAACGCCAGGGCCTGGGGACGGGGTCGGGAGGTCGGCACCGGAGCTCATCGCCCATGCAGAGAGAAGGGGGAAGGTCCTGGTCTCCCCTCCCCTCATCCGACATGTGCCCCTCACCTCCTGCGTCAGAAAGGGGATGATCTGGGCGCAAATCCCACTCAGGCGCTTCACAATTTCAGCCTGGAAAGAGGACACGCGCTGGGGGTGTGGACGATCCACGTGCCACCCTCCACAGTCCGCCATCCTGGGCATCTGTTGCCCGAGGCGGCAGGCTCGCCACCCAGGCCTTGCCCCATCCATCCTTCTGCCCACGGCTCCGGCTCTGAGTAGGGGACCCCAGTGTCTTTGCAGCCCTCAGGTGCTCCCCTAGAGTCTCCCCAGCTCTGGAGGCACCTGTGGACCTACCACCACCAGGGCTGGGGACCCTCGTGCCCCCAAATCCCAAGCATGAGCGGTCTCAGCACCTCGTATCCCGGGGTGGAGGGGTGGGGGTGAAGCTCAGAGCTTCCGGTCCAGCTCAGGATCCCGAGGGCTATGGTGGGAGCTGGGTGAACCCCAGAAAGTGCCATGCAGCCACAGCAGCCTCTGGTGTGTGTGTGTGTGTGTGTGTGTGGAGGGGGGCAGGTTTCAAATCCACATGGACCACCCCCAGCACCCCGAGCCCGGCCCCGCCCCCAAGCACCTGTTTGTGCATCTCAATGTTGAGCCCGTAGGACATCTCATAGTACTGCAAGGGAGAAAGAAGGCAGCTGGGGTGGCCTGGACCGCGCAGGACACCAGCCCCCCACTTCGTGGGGACAGGAACACTGTGTCCGCTCGGGGGCGGCCAAGGGGGTGTCCAGCAGATCCCCAGAGGTGGCGGAGGGAGGCTGGCTCCACAGGGACACCCCCCCCCACGCCCGGGGCCACGGGCAGCCTGCAGGGCCAGCCGGCCCCATGCACAGGCAGGAAGGACGAGGCTGACCACCCAGCAGCCCTGGCCCGCTGGGGGTGGGAGGGACGGAGGGACACACGACTCGACTCGCACCATCACGTAATGTCTCTGCATCTCCGTCTTCTCGCTCGCCAGCTTCTCACATTCCAGTTTGAGACTGCAGGGAGAGAGGGCAGGGGGTCGTCCCCGGGTTTCCCAAGTGAGGGTTGGAGCCTCCCCCTGGGGGCGCGCTCTCCCTTCGCCCCGGCCCCCGCCGCCCGCACCTGTGGTACTGGGCCTGCAAGAACTGGAATTCCTCTTTGATGCGGTCGCAGATCTCCAAGACGGAGAACTTGAAGGGCTGGCCCGACTGCAGCGGGGTCTACGGAAGAGGAGGATATAGGGCAGGGCCCCCCTTGGGGTCCCGAGCGTCTTGTTCCCCCAGCCCCGCAGCCCCAGGCGCCCCCCACTCACCGGGTGCCGGCCTTGGGGGTACATCCTGCAGTCGGCTTCCAGAAGCTCCCCCCTCTCCAGCAGCGCCGCCACCGTCACCGCCGCCGCCGCCGCAGCTGGACAATGTGGGGAGGCGAGGGGGGCGCGCGGCCGTGGGAGTGCGGGGGAGGCCGGGGTGGGTGAGGGGATCCGAGGAAGAAGAAGAAGAAGAAAAAGAAGGAGGGGCAGGGGTCCTGGAGTCCCTGCCCCGGCGGGCGCGCACCCCGTACCCCGGTGGCACGCGCGAGCGCGCCCGGGCGGCCGCGACCCTCCCCGGGCAGGGCGCAGGCGGCGCGGAAGGCGCGGAAGGCGCGGGGCTCGGCGGGGACCGGGGATCGGGGACCCGGGCGCCCCGCGAGGAGCCGCCTCCCTCCGGCGGGGCTCGGCTGGGAGCCGCGGGCTCAGCCGCCTTAAGGTGGCGCCGCGCGCGCCGCGCCCCCCGCCCCTGCTCCTGCGCGCCCCGCGGCGGCAACTTTGTCCCCCACCCCCTTTCCCGGGGAGCCCTCCCTCCTTCCCTGCCAATGGTGGTGGCGGTGGAGGGGGACGATGTCGCGTCCCTCGGCTGGGGGGGCTCACCTCCTGGCATGGCTGAGCTGGTTGACCAGGGTGGTTGGGTTAGGGGGGGACACGTTCCTTCCCAGCAGTGCAGGAAGGCACTCCTGGGGTGCTCAAGGCTGGGAAGGGAACAGGGGGAGCAGACCAGGGCCCCACCCCGCCCACCAGGTACCCCTAGAGGGGCCAGGAGCAGTGGCTGCACAGGCCAGGCCATGGGCACCCATGTGGCGGCCACAGCACCCCTACCCTCACCCTGGCCGCTCCACTTCCTGTCCAGCTCCCTGCTGATGTGCCTAGGAAAGCAACGGAGGACAGCCCAGGTGCGAGGGGGCCCCCACGCGGGAGACCCCGATGGAGCGCCTGGCTGCAGGCCAGGTCGTATGTCAGCATCAGTTTAAAACTGTGGCGTATCCCCTACCATGGGAGCTTGGAGGGCATCCTGCACCCCCCGCCCCCTGGGGACCCCTAGGGACAGACAAGACAAAGGCATAGCCTGGTTACTATGTGGGTGCCAAGGGAGGACTGGGGCATCGGCCACTTGGCTGGACCAGGAGACGTGGTGGCAGAGGTTTGAGGCCGGAGGGGGAGGGGCCCCAGGGTGCCCATCCACCCCACACACATACATACCTGACCTGGCCAGAGTCTGCCCCCACTCCCTCCATGGTAGCCCCCTGCTCCTGCCCACCCCGGGAGGAGGGCTTGGGCCCCTGCCACCCATGGGGGCGGCCCCAGATGCAGTGGGAGCAGCCTGGACTGGTGCAGCCCCAACCCCTGCTGTGGGCCTCTGGGCCTGAGGCCTCCTTTGCCTGTCTCCCTCTACCTTCCACAATCTCCAAAACAAGAGAATATATCCTGAAATTTTTTTTTCAAGATTTATTTTATTTTTATTGCAAAGTCAGATATACAGAGAGGAGGAGAGACAGAGAGGAAGCTCTTCCGTCCGATGATTCACTCCCCAAGTGAGTGCAACAGCCGGTGCTGAGCCGATCCGAAGCCAGGATCCAGGAACTTCCTCCAGGTCTCCCACGCGGGTGCAGGGTCCCAAGGCTTTGCGCCGTTCTTGACTGCTTTCCCAGGCCACAAACAGGGAGCTGGATGGGAAATGGAGCTGCTGGGATTAGAACCGGCGCCCATATGGGATCCTGAGACATCAAGGCAAGAACTTTAGCCTCTAGGCTACTGCGCCAGGCCCAGGAATCCAAATTCTAAACCCACAGAGGATCCAGAGGGTCCCTCCCTGCCCTGTGGGGTCATGCGGCCACCGCCCCCCATGCCTAGGGGTCCCTGGAGCAGCTGCCAGCAGCCGTGGATCCTCCAGACCCCGGCTCCTGTGGCCTGGAGCTCCAGGGGGAGGTGCTGGTCCCGAGCCCTTTGTGTGTGTGTGTGTGGGGGGGGTTGTTCCCTGTATGGCTCTTGAATCTGGGCAGAGTCAGGTATACAGTGGGTGCACACTAAGTGCACAGGCCACAAGGAGGCGACACCACAAATCCAGCCAGATGCAGCCGAGTCTTTCACTCACTGGTTCTTCGTCCCATTCATTTCTGGGTTTGAAAAGACAGAGACTGAGTGAGCTTCTATCCACGGCTTCATACCCAGGCCAGGAGCCAGACGCTTCCTGCGGCGTGAGTACACGGCCTGGGGCTGTGCCAGCGGTCTGGGGTGCAGGGCAGGCCGTCTGGGGGTGCAGGGCACGCGGAGGGGACCTGGCCAGACCTGACTCCTCCCACCCGGCTTGCCACCCCCACCATGGCCTGCCCCTCCACTCCACACCCCTTCCACCACCTCCTCACCTCCCAGTGCACCCAGCGGCCCCTCTCCCCTGCCCTCCTAGGCTCACACCTGGGCCACCCAGGCCCCACCACCCAATGTTATCAGGAGGAAAGATGGGAGGGGTTCCAGCCTCCAGCCCTGGGGGTATGGCCATCTCCTGAGCAGGTGTCAACGTTAAAACTTTTTTTTAAAAGATTTATTATTATTATTTTTATTGTAAAGTCAGATATACAGAGAGGAGGAGAGACAGAGAGGAAGATCCTCTGTCTGATGATTCACTCCCCAATTAGTTGCAACGTCTGGAGCCAGAGCTGATCTGAAGCCAGGAGCCAGGAGCCTCCTCCGGGATTCTCTCACACAGGTACAGGGTCCCAAGGCTTTGGGCGGTCCTCAACTGCTTTCCCAGGCCACAGGCAAGAAGCTGGATGGAAAGTGGAGCAGCTGGGATATGAACTGGTGCCCCTGTGGGATCCTAGTAAGGTGAGGATTTAGCCAGTAGGCAATCATGCCAGGCCCAGGTACCAACTTTTGCCCTTGGCCCTGGCAGCCCCGGCTGGCCCTCCTGTGGCTGGCACCATCCCAGGACGCCCAATCCCCTCCCTTGCGGGGCAGATCCCTATGGCCAGAGCTGTCCTGTGGCCTGCAGCCAGCCCAGCTTCCTGCACAGCTCCACCAGCAGCCCCTGCACCGTGATCTCGGGGTGCACACATACACACGCTTGGGGGACACAGGCTTTCGGTGCTGCTGAATGTGGGGTTCACTGCCAGGGCAGTTTCCCGGGAAGAGGAGGGGTTCTGTCCGCAGCAGCTGGGCAAGCCCGCACACACTGCCCAGTGTCAGGGAGAAGGCCCTGGGCAGCCAGAAGCCAGCAGCACCGCCAGCTCCCTGCAGACCCCAGATGTGCTTGGAGGCCTCATCCGACCACAGAGGCCCACCCCACCCCTGCCTCAGTTTACCCATCTGCAAGATGCCAAATGGGGGTGGGGAGGGCCTGGGCCCCTGAGTGCTCCCCTGTGGCTGTCCACAAAGGCTGCTGGTTCCTGGCTGGGATTTTTTTTTTATGATGTGAATGTGGGTTTGGGGAGAGAGAGGAAAAAAAAAAAAAGGAAGAAAGAAAAAAAAAAAGCTGCGAGGCGGCTCTGGGGCCACGGATGGCGCAGACCACCTTAAATCAGCCCTGCTACTGTGGCAGCGCTCGGCGCTCGGGGTTGGCTGGACGCGGCTGGACGCGCCAGCCAACGGGCGCGCGCTGCTCCCACCTGGGTCCCTGACGTGCCCACGGCCGCCGGCCTATGGGGGCGCGGGCAGCAGCGGCCAATGGCAGCAGGCCCTGGGCTCAGCCTCGCCAATGGGGAGGCTGCAGGGTGTCGGGGGGGGGCGCTTGGAGGAGCGGGGACCCGCGTGGACACCCGCGATCGCGGTGTAGGGGAGACCCTCCCCGTGCCCACGCGTGACCTTGCCCGAGCCGGCTCATGCGTCGCAAATGGATAAACTTGACGCCAGCAATGCCAGACACCTCCCAGGGAGGGACCCCCTGGGCTCAGCCTTGGGTGCCCCCCTACACCCTCACGGAGGGTGCACCTCCAGCTGGGGGGTCTCCAGGGCGCGCAGGCCGGTCGGAGGGGCGACTCGTGCTGAAGGACTACGCTGCCCAGAAGGCCTCGCGCGCAACGCCCGCCCGAGCTGTCCATCAAAGTAACGTGGGGCGCTCCCCCGCCCGCCGCGCCTTGCCAGCTCCCGCTCCCTCCCCGCCGGCTGCGGGCCCGGCGCGGTATAATTACAGCCCATTGATCCGACCCGGGCCGGGAAAGCGGCTCCCTCGGGGGAGGCCCGGCCTCTGGCTTCCGACATGGCCAACCCCTGCCTGCCGCGCCCCCAGCTGCGCCGCCGGGCCACCAGCCAGGCCTGTCCCCTCCTGCTGGCCAGCGCGCCGGTGACCTCGCAGCAGCTCCTGCGGGGAAGGAGGAGGGGGCTCCCTGCCAGGCCTGGCCTGCACCCGGCCCCTGGAGGCCTGGGGATGAGGGTTGTGCCTCTGTGCCTCGGTTTACCCAGCGGTGGGGTGACACTGCAGTGCAAGGGGGAAGGGACAGTGGCCAGGTTGGAGGAGCCCTCCCCCCAGAGTTTGGGAGATTGGGTCCTGACCCTCACATCTCCTGCAGGAAGGGGTCCCTGTGCCTGGTGGGGCCAATCTGGCCCCACAACCCCCGCTGCCCCTGCCAGCCCTGCACCTCGCCCTGCAGTGGCCTGGCATGGCCAGCTCGGGGTGTCCGGGCACTTCCTATGTGTGTGTGTTGGCATGGGGGGAATAGGTGGGTCCCAGCCCAGGGCCAGGAAGAATACCTGCTCAGATGGACCCTGGCAGGCAGCAGGTCCCCTTCTGCCACCCACGAGGGGGACCTGGCCGGTGGCCACTGTGGGCCAGTGGCTGGGAGTCTCAGAGGTATAAACAGGTGAGCTTGCAGACCTAGCTTGCCGCAGGCTGGCCTTGCAAACACGCAGCGCAGGGTGCCCCGTGACCTGTCCCCCTGGGCAGCCGTGGATGGCAGTGGTGAGGAGGGGCCTGGGGTAGTGTCATTCTGCGCAATGGGCACAGCAGCCCTTGTGGGGCCCTGACACGGGCCCACGTCCAGAGCTCCTGCTCACGGCATACAGGCCCCTGGCACCCACCAGGGAGTTGCATAGCCAGGACCCAGCTCACTTTCCCAGTTCTAGTGGGTAGCGAGACCTACCGTCCTGGCTGGGCCTTGGTTTCCCCTGAGGTTGCACCTGCTGAGATTGGCAGTGGTGACACAGGCAGAGAGCGGACGTGTTCCCCATCGGGGTCCAGTTCTGCCTCTCCCCACCACTCCCAGGCAGCCCCAGGTTTCAGGGGCCTGGTCCTCCCCTCCCCATGGCCCAAGTGACCCCAGCCCTCCAGCGCCCCCAGCAGCCTCCTTGCTGACAAGGTCAGCACCCAGTAAAGAGTCAACATGCAGTAGGTGTACCCCAAAACACGGGGCCTGGCCTGGGGTGAGAGGACCCTGCCTCTTCCTGTCGGCCTTGGTGACCAGCCAGGCCCAGAGACGCCTCGCAACTGTCCCAGGGTCACACGTGGGCACTCTGGGTGGCCCCCTTGCTTCTCATGGGCCCCGGGCAGGGGGGAGGAAGGGCAGGGTCTGGCGGAGTGCCAGTTCCCTGCCTCCTCGGCCACCCCTCTTGCTCCGGGTCAGGAACCCGCCGGGAACCACAGCCTGGGCCAGGAACCACAACCTGGGCCCAGCATGAACCCCGACAGGCCTCAGCAGGCCTGGGGTGAAAGGGGAGGGGAGGGCAGAAGCTGGCAGGGTTCCAGCAGCAGCAGTGGGACCCCAGGGGACCAGGGAGGGGGGTGGCTGAGAGTAAGAAAGGCCTGGAAGGAGAGGACGGGATGGTGGGGTGGGAGTGTGCAGCCCAGAAACCAGGATCAGGGCCTGCGAGGTGGGGGTGTCTGGGGAGGCAGGGGAACGCCCAGAGCAGGCAGCACTGGGCCAGCCAGGAGCCAGGAGCCAGGAGCTCCTTCCGGGTCTCCCACCGTGGCTGCAAGGTCCCAAGGCTTTGGGCCGTGCTCCACTGCTTTCCCAGGCCACAGGCAGGGAGGCGGATGGCAAGTGGAGCAGCTGGGATTTAAATTGGTGCCCCTATGGGATGCTTGTGTCACAGGCATAGGATTAGCCAACCATGCCATCATACTGGCACCACGATTATTTATTTTCAAGACAGAGAGAAATCTTCCATCTGTTGGTATGCTCCCCTGATGCCCACAGCAGCCAGGGCTGGGTTCCATCCAAGTCCCCAGCACTGCGTCCATCCTGATTGCTTGCCGGGGGTATCAGCGGGAGCTAGGCGGGAAGTGGAGCAGCCGGGACTCAAACCTGGTGCCCTGGACGCTGGTGTGAGAACGGGGTTGACTCACTGTACTACCAGGCTCGCATCCCCTTCAGGGTCTGCCCTCCCCGGGGAGGGGGCCTGTCCTCTGCCATCTCACTCCAGCTCTGCCTAACTGTCTTCCCTTGCCTGAGAACAAGCTGAGCTCGGATTCCCCCAGGAGCTGGGGTCCTGGGTAAGAAGATGGGATGGGGAGCCAGGAAGAGGGGCTGCAGGCACGCGGCATGCTGCTGGAGGTGGAGACCGGGCTGGCAGCGTCCAGGACAGCCCTTGCCCCCTCCCGCTGCACCCCTCACCCCTCTACCCGCTTCCCTGGGCGGCCCTGCTGGCCGCTGGCTGACGGGGTTACCGGGGCAGCTGCGCCTCCATGGCCTGGTCCCACCCCCAGAGGATCCTGGGGCCTCTTGTGGTTGCTATGGTTACCGCTGGCTTCCTCTGGCTCCATGGGAGCCTGGTGGCTGGGTGGTGGTGGTGGTGGTGGTGGTGGGGCCCTCCCTCTCCGCCCCCCAACACCCTTCCTCTGGCCTGGGGACTCACTCCACCTGTGGGTCGCTGAGCCGTGCCAAGTCCCCTCCCCACATCCTGCTGGCCCGTGGGCTGCTGGGGTGCCAAGCAAGGGATGGCACGGTGCTGCGTGCGCCCTGCTCTGCGCGAGGAGCTGGGGGGCGCCTGCTCCTCCTCTCCCTCTCCGCAGCCTCCTTCCCGTCCCCCCCTACTCCCCTGGCTCCCTGCCCGCGCCCTCCCCCGTCCTCCGCCTCATTAGGCGCGGCCGCGGCGCGGGGCCCATTAGCGGATCAATTAGCCGAGGTCGCCGGCGGCGCAGTCGTTAAGCACCGGGAGGCGCGGCAGGGAGGGGGGCGCGCAGCCCGCCCCGATCGCGCCCCCGCCTTCCGGGCCTTGGACAGGATGGAGGGGCTGGACGACAGGACCCCCGAGGCAGGGGCAGGAGCTGGGGGGGTCCGGCTGCTGGCGCCCCCGCCCCACTGCCGCCTGGCAGGAAGCTCTGGCTGCTCCTGCGACCCTCGCTCCCACACCCCGGGACCCCCTTGGGAACAGAAATCAGCAAAGTGACTTCACTGGCTCCACATCGCTCTGCCGTCAGCAACCCAGATCTGCCCTTGCCCCCTGGGGGCCTTGAGGGGTTCTGGGTGCCCAAGACCCCAAGGTGCCTTGCTGTCACCATGCTCGTTTTTCTAGATGTGAACAAGCAAAGGGGCAGGCTGGGACACAACAGGACCCCAGGAGGGCACTGGGGCGTCCTGTCCTGGACTGCTGCGGCAGTTTGCTTCTCCAGTGGCCACGGCAGCCAGGTCTGGGACCAAGACCTCCATCTGGGTCTCCCACGTGGTAACAGGGTGCAGGGGACCAGCACCCACTGCCTCTCCAGGGGCCTATAGTGGCCGGAAGCTGAAGTCAGGGGGGCGTCCCAGTTACTGTCTTTACCAGGGACCCTTGATTGCTGAGTATCTGTGTGTTTGTAAACCATGAGGCATATGTGAGCTGTTCACCATGGGGACAGAACATTCCACCGGCTCAGGGAGAGGGGACATAGCCTGGGGGGGTGGCCAAAGCGACCTCACCCACCGCCCCCCCTTTGGCTGGGCCAGCCTTCCAGTTCTTGCTGTGTGGTATTCCACACTGGGGCTACAGCTTTCACTATCAATGGACGTGGTGGTCATTTCCAGCTCAGGGCAGCTGGGACCGACGGCACTGGCCTCCCACACTGGCCAAGGCCTGGCAGAGAATCCTGGAGGTGTACTTCAGGACTGACCTGGGAGGGGGCCGTCTAAGCTGGAGGGGAGCAAGTGGTTCCCCCACGCGGGTGGCTCGTGCAGCGAAGTTCCTGTTTGTTTGTTTTTTTCTTATTTATTGGACAGAGAGAAAGGGCGAGATCTTCTATCCACGGCTCACTCTGCTCCCCAAATGCCCACCACGGCTGACGCCAGAAGCCGGGAGTTCCCTCTGGGTCTCCCTGTGAGCCCGCCACTGCTGCCTCCCTTGGCATGCGTCGGCAGGAGCCGGATGGGAAGCGGCACAGCTGGGATGGTGACAGACGTCTGGGCCTAGGAGGTGCAGGAGGGACGGCTTGCAGGCCCGTTCACGAAGACTTTAAGATCCTGGCCTGGTGGCAAGAGCGTAGGCAAACCCTAGGCTCTCTGACTTAACCCACTGGTGCCCCTGTGCCAAGCTGGGCAGACAGGGGAGACAGCTGTGGAGAGAAACCCTGGGAGGTGACCGCCATGGCTGGGCCCCTGCTGGGGTCCCCGCCAGCCACGTGGACAGCCAGATGGATGCAGTGGGCACCTGTAAGGGCTGGGCAGGGGTGGGAAGACTCACCTAACCCACAGAGAACGTAAAGGGGGACCCGGTGTGGCAGCCTAGTGGCCCCACTTCCCATCCAGCTCCCTGCCTGTGGCCTAGGGGAAGCAGTGGAGGACGGCCCAAAACCTTGGGACCCTGCACCTGCGTGGGAGACCCGGAAGAAGCACTGGGCTCCTGGTTCCAGATCAGCTCAGCTCTGGCCCTTGTGGCCACTTGGGGAGTGAGCCAGCAGATGGAGGATCTGCCTCTCTGTCTCTCCTCCCTGTAAATCTGATTTTCCAATAAAAAACAAACAGAACCTGGTCAAACCTAGCTGTGTGTCTTGGGCCTGAGAGGGGGTTACCTCCCCAGCCGCACCTTGAGACGCACAGGCCCAGCTTCCCCCAGTAGAGGCAGGCCAGGTGGGGCCTGCATTTTCTTAAAAACGTCGGTCTTTTTTCGCATCTTCTAACAGAGCAGGTGAGCCGGAAGAGGAGGAGCCGGAAGCGAAAGCCAAGACGAACTCAGTACCCTCATCTTTATTGGGGGAGGGGGAGGGAGGCTGGGTCACCCACCCCCACCCTGGCTTCTCTCAGCTAAGCTCGGCCCCTCCCGCCCCCGCTTTCCCCGGAGGGGGACCCGCGTGGAGGAGGTGAGTGGGCAGGGGCGTGGAGGGAGAGGAGGGCGTGGCGGGGAGGGGTGGCTGGCCTCGTGTTGCATGCAGTGCCAGGGTGGGAGGTTGGTGAGGGCCAGGCGGTCGCCCGTGGGCAAGAAGCGGGCAATGCGTGGCTCCCACGGGCCTGGTCCCCCACCTGCCCCCTCTGCGGCTTAAGCGGGTGTCACCTCTTTGGGCTGCAAGGGAAAGAGGAGGAGGAGGGAGGCCGGGACTGGGGGGTGTATGTTGTGTGTGTGTGTGTGTGTGTGTGAGGGGAGACAGGAGAGCAAAGCCAGAGGGGCGGCACACGGGCGGGGAGGACCCCGAGTGGACACTGGGGCCGGACACACTGCCTGGGCTTCTCCCTGCGCCCCGGCCTCGGCCGCCCGCTAATCCGACTTCTCCCCGTCGTCGTCCTGGTGGGTGTCCCCGTCATGTCCGTTCTTGTCCTCCTTGGAGAGGTGGGCCTGCGAGCCCAGCGCCGACAGTGACAGGAGGCCGGTGCCCGCGCTCACGGCGGGCAGTGCCGGCGGCTGCAGCCCCACGGGCAGGGGCGTCAGGGGCAGGGCCAGGGCCTGCAGCTGCGACAACTGGTGAGCTTGAAGCTGCTGCTGCAGGCGGCACACAGGCAGGACTCAGAGGCCTTGCCCAGCCAGCCCTGGGCCCAGGCCCCACCCACACCCAGGCAGCCCCATTCCCCACTCACACACCCGGGCAGCCCCGTCTCCCTGTCCAGTGCCCCTCCACGTCGCTGGCCGTTCCCAGCCCCCGTCCCCCCCGTGTCCCTGTCCTAGCCAGCTCCCGCACACCTACCCTGATAATGGAGTTCAGCTCAGGGGCGGTCACTTGCTTAGCCCTCTCAATGGCACCCAGCACCTGCTGCTGGTGCTGGTGGGAGGGAGAGAGAGAGGGGTCAGAGGGTGCCCCCTGCTGCTGGGGCGAGCAAGGGACCCCCCCCACTGCAAAAGCCAGATGCAGGTGGAGCGAGAACCCCGCAGTGGCTCTCCACCGCACACTCCTTGGGTCCCCCAAGCTCCCCCAAAGCCTGGAACGCATCCTCATCTTCCGTTTCTGCCTCGGCTGTTAGGAAGCCACCCCGAGGTTCCAGAGCTAACCTGTCCTCACACTACGACCCTGGCGTGTGGCCACACGTGTCTGCACACACATGTGCTTGTGTGCGCACCTCTGCTCGGGTCACACCTGCCCCCCCAGTGAGCCTGCTCCTGGGGAGCACCCAGGCGCACACCCCAGCAACCTGGAGGGCCTCTACCATCCCCTGCTGGCAGCCCCTGGGCAGACCTTACCTCCTGGGAGAGGTAGGGCAGGACCTGGGCACAAATCCCATTCAGCCGCTTCACGATTTCAGCCTGGAAGAGCAGAATGGGCAGCTCAGGGAGTGGGGCCGGGTAGGGGCAAGGCCAGGGCTGGGGGCACACATCCACCTGTAAGGGGCAGAGCCTGCAACCACCTGCATAGGGCGGAGCTGGGGGCGGGGCGCAAGTCACCTGTAAGGGGAGGAGCTAGGGGCAGGACACACACAGTCACCTGTAAGGGGCGGAGCCTGCAACCACCTGCATGGGGCGGGGCTAGGGGCGGGGCACACAGCCACCTATAAGGGGCAGAGCTAGGGGCGGGGTGCACAGCCACCTGGAAGGGGCGGAGCTAGGGGCGGGGTGCACAGCCACCTGGAAGGGGCGGAGCTAGGGGCGGGGTGCACAGCCGCCTGTGAGGGGCGGAGCTAGGGGCGGGGTGCACAGCCACCTGCAGGGGCTGTGCAGGGGTGGGTGTGTGGGTGTGTGCCTGAGGCCACCTGCCCCCCAGCACCTACCTGCTTGTGCATCTCGATATTCAGGCCGTAGGACATCTCGTAGTACTGTGGGAGGGTGGGGGACAGTACAAGGAGAGGGAGGTGGGGCGGGGACCCCAGGGGAGCTGACCCGCAGGGACAAAGACAGGGAGAGGAGGGCCCAGCTCCGCCCCCCACCCGCTCGCCCGCCCCGGCATTCCTGGACTTCTAATCTTTGTCTGTGGGTGGGCCCAGACGGCTGGCCGCCAGCCCCTGGGGAACTGGGCCTCCCGGGGGGAGGAAGCCAAGAGGGTAAACAAACCTGGGGCCCTCTGCTGACCCGCCCCCCACCCTCTGCAGGGCCTTCGGCTTGGGTCTCCCTCCACCCCTGCCAGCTCAGGACCCAGTGGCAGAGGCCCAGGCAGGGGACTCCAGGCAGCAGGAGCTGGGGTGCAGCAGCGGGGGGGACCCAGGGGCGGTTACCATCACGTAGTGGCGCTGCATTTCTGACTTCTCGCTGGCCAGTTTGTCACATTCCAGCTTTAGGCTGAGCAGGCACAAGGCAGGAGGGAAGGGGTTGTGCGTACAGGCAAAGGCAGGCAGGGGTATCCCCACCCTGACCCCTGGAGGGCAAACACGGGGCACCCCTAAGATGCTGGTGAGGCCTCAGGCTGCCTGTCATTTGCAGTTGGGAGGGGGGATCCCCAACAATGCCATCTTCCTGTAGCTGGGCAGGATCCCAAGGTCGGGGAGCATAGAGCCCTGACACCACACACCCCCTCAAGGGTGGCAGCAAGCAAGGGGGGGGGAGTCGCTCAGGTGGGCACCCTGTACCTGTGGGTCCTTGTGTGCCCCAGCAGGAATCAGAGTGTGGGGGGGTATCCCAGCTAGGGGTTCTCGGGACCCCATGGTGCAGACCCCACCTGACACAGCCTGCTCCCAGACCTGGCCCAAAGGCAGCAGGGACCAGCCCAGGGCTGTGACTGCCTGTGGATCCAGTCCCTTTGCACACCTGACAGGAGGCTAGAAGGGTTCAGGGCTCAGGAGTGGACCCCAAAAGCTGGGTGTTGGTTGAAAACAGTCCCCCAATAAAACAAGCATGGACACAACAGGTTTCTATAAGGCTGTTTTCCCTGGGGTGGTCGTCAGGCCAAAGGGGGCAGCTGCGGGCTCCACCACAAACCTCCCAGCCACGAGCCCCAGGCTGCTCTCCCACCCCAACCCTGCTGGGTACATTGGCAGGTTTCAGACCTTCCTGCCCTCTGACCCCAGAGGTGGACAAAATGTATCCATCTAGGGCTGTGGGAGTGCAGGGGGCAGGCTCATGGGGTGCAGGGAGCAGGCTTGGGGTGCAGGGGGCAGGCTCGTGGGGTGCAGGGGGCAGGCTTGGGGGTGCAGGGAGCAGGCTTGAGGTTGCAGGAGGCAGGCTGTGGGAGTGCAGGGGGCAGGCTCATGGGGTGCAGGGAGCAGGCTTGGGGTGCAGGGGGCAGGCTCGTGGGGTGCAGGGAGCAGGCTTGGGGTGCAGGGGGCAGGCTTGGGGGTGCAGGGAGCAGGCTTGAGGTTGCAGGAGGCAGGCTGTGGGAGTGCAGGGGGCAGGCTCGTGGGGTGCAGGGAGCAGGCTTGGGGTGCAGGGGGCAGGCTCGTGGGGTGCAGGGAGCAGGCTTGGGGTTGCAGGAGGCAGGCTGTGGGGGTGCAGGGGGCAGGCTTGAGGGTGCAGGGGGCAGGCTGTGGGGATGCAGGGGCAGGCTTGGGGTGCAGGGGGCAGGCTGTGGGGGTGCAGGGGGCAGGCTGTGGGGGTGCAGGGGGCAGGCTTGGGGGTGCAGGGGGCAGGCTTGGGGGTGCAGGGGGCAGGATTGGAGGTGCAGGGGGCAGCCCAGTGGTTGGGTCTCCATGTTCCCATCTGTGTAATGGGGCCCCACGTGGGTTCAGCGGGCGTCCCGCAGTGGGGGTGCTCCAGGTGGGGACCCCCAGCCCCCAGCTCACCTGTGATACTGTGCCTGCAGCAGCTGGAACTCATCTTTGATGCGGTCACATGAGTCCGACGTAGTGAATTTGAGCTGCTGGGGTAGGTGCGAGGAGCCCTGTGAGAAGGGAGCGTGCGGCCAAGGTTAGGGGTCAAGGCCAGCAGGGGGAGGGGGCGGGGCGCCCCTTCCTAGTCCAGGGGGCAGCTTGCTGTGGAGCGCCCCCCATCACCCCACTTCCTGGGTCCTGTTTACAGGCGCCTGGCACGGCCCACAGGCTCGCTTCCTGCCATCACTCTCCCAGGGGAAGCCGAGGGGGGACAGGGGGAGCCTGGAGCTGCCCCCCAAGCTGGAGGGGAAGCCTTGGGGGACCCGCCCTCGGCAGAGGGGAGGGGCGGGGAGACTGGCCCAGCAGAGCCCTGTTCCCAAGTTGGGGGGGGGGCGGGTGGCGAAGTCTTCTGGCAAAGAAGGGCCTATCCCAGAGTCCGAAGCCTTGAAGGGGGGTTCGCCCGCCCCAGATCCCCAGCGCCCCTCCCTCTGGGCCACGCTCTTCCGGGAGGGGGTGCGCTTCGGCTCGCCGTCCCCCCTCCCTCCAACAGGCCGCTTCCCCCACCCCCCAAACCAAGCAACCCCAAGCTAGACTCCCTGAGCGCCCCAGGCCCGAGGCCAAGGCCGTCCCAGGCCCAGCCTGGCTCGGTGGGGGGGGGGAAGGGGCACGCCAAGGCCGGGAACGGGGACAGGGGGGTCGGACAGTGGGTAAGCTGGAGAGGCTGGGGAGCCCCGGAGGGAGGGGTGCGCTCCAATCGGCGATCCTGGGGGAGGAAAGGGGGTGCGCTGGGCCCCGGGGCCTGGGAGCCAGGGGGTGGGGGGCGCCGGGCCGAGCCGGGGGGGCCCCCCCCCCCGCTTACCGAATGCCTGCTTTGTGGAAACATCATGTCCGTCGCGGCGGGGGGCGCGGGCTGTGCCCCGGCTGTGCGCCCCGGCTCGGGCTGCGCGGGGCGCGGGGCGGCCGCGCCTTTGTCCCGGCGCCTCCCGCGCCCGGCCTCGCCCGCTTCCTGCGCCCCCCTCCCCGCGCGCCCGGCCCCGGCGCGCCCCGGGCCCCCGCTTCCTGCGCGCCCCTCCCGCCCCTCCCCGCGCCCCCGGCCGCCGCTGCTATTGTCTAATGGCGGCGACGCCGGCCGTGGCCGCCGCTCGGCTCTGCGGAGACGCTGGGCTCCACCTGCCGCCGCCGCCGCCGCCGCCGCCCGAGCCCCGTGCGCGCCGCCGAGGGGGGCGCGCGCGCCCGGGGAGGCCCTGCGGATCCCCACCCCGGCCCGCCTCCCCAGGGCCGGCCCCCCGCCGCCGTGACCTTGGGGCACCCCCCGGGGCCGGCCTTGCCGGATGCGCCTCGGGGGGTCCCTCTCTCCAACCCCACGACGCGGGTACGGGGGAGGGATGGGAGGGGGTAGCGTGTCTACACCGCCTGCCGTGTCATGGCCGCGCGCCACGGACGCGCCGTGTGACCTTGGCTCGGTGCTTCTCGGTTTCCTGCCGTGTGCAGTGGGGTGGGGGTGGGGGGCAGCGGGCGCTCCGCCATTCCACCACCGCGCAAACACACACAGAGTGGGCGCCTACTGTGTGCCAGGCCCCAACTCCGCCACTTCCCTGCTGGGAATGCCCCAAGACAGACACAGGAGCACCAGAGGGCCCGCTGGCCACCACCGTGGACCCCCGGGTGTGTGCGCGTGAGCGAGCCAGGCCAGAGGGGCTGCCCGAGGACGGAGCCTGGTGAGAACGTCCATCTCTGGAGCGCTTGTGGCCACTTGGGGAGCACCCTGAGTGACCCGAGCAGCTGTCAGCAAGACAAACACCCCCCCTACATCGCCTCCACAGCCAGCACTGCGCCTACCAAAGCCAGGAGCCTCTTCCACACGGGTGCAGGTGCCCCTGGAGGCCTTGGGCCGTCCTCCACTGCTGTCCCAGGCCACAAGCAGGGAGCTGGATGGGAAGCTGGGCTACCGGGATTCAAACCGACATTCTCACAAGCGATGCTGGCACCTTGGGCTGGCTGAATCCCCCTGAGCGCCGTCCCTTCACCCTCCCCTCCACGTGGCAGGTTGTTGTAAATTGCTTGACGTTCTGGAGGGGCCACAGCTTGTAGCAGTCACCCCAGCCTGGGGCCCTGGTGGCCTTTCCCTGGGGGTGAGGGGGCAGGAGGGCTAGAGCTGACCCCCATTCCGGTTGTGGGGGGGATGCTGAGCTGTGACCCCAAACAGCAAAGCAGCAAGCGGGGACCGGCACGGCACCCCATGTCAGGGTGCGTGTTCCAGTCCCACTCGGTCCTGCACATTTGAACCCTGCGTGAAATAAGAATAATGATGCTAACCCAGTTAGTGTGTGGGGGTCGCTACAACCTTGAAGGGCCAGCGGACTTGTCTGTTCTGAGTTTGAAAAAATATATAAAGTTTTATTCCACTGAAAGGCACAATTTGAAGGAGAGGCTCTTCTGTCGGCTGGTTCCCTCCCCAAGTGGCCTCAAAGGCCACTGAGCTGAGCAGATCCAAAGCAAGGAGCCTGGAGCCTCCTCCGGGTCTCCACATGGGTGCAGAGTCCCAAGACTTTGGGCCGTCCCCCACTGCTTTCCCAGGGCATAAGCAGGGAGCTGGATGGGAAGCGGGGCAGCCGGGATACGAACCGGCGCCCCTATGGGATCCCAGTGTGTGAAAGGCAAGGACTTTAACTGCTACACCATCACGCCGGGTCCCTAGCAATGTCTTAAAGACGAGAGAATGCGGGATGGGATGGCTGGGCCAGGGACAGATCTGGGTCTGGGTTCACTGTGCATGCCGCCCTCGGGGGTGACAGGATGGCAGAGCCAGGCAGCAGGAGGCCCTGGGTGCTGTACACAAGGCCTGGCTTTGTCCTGGCAGTTTTAGGGCGAGGGTTTCCCCAGTCTCCGTCCCTCTCTGATGGGGCCAGGCTCCACGTGAGTCGTGACAGCCACGTCACAGTTCCCAGGCATGGCTAGCATCGAGCGCTGGGCGGCAGGACGGCCCCCTGGCTGACGCCCCCCCTACACCACGCTGGGAAGGAACGGGTCCCTTGGAACACCGGCGAGGGACTGTGCCACGCCCATCCCCGACCCCGCGTGCCCACCACCTCCCTGTCTTCCTGTCCCTAGAGGCTACGGGGGTCAGGCAGGGGCCATCGGGCAGCCGGGGTCCAGCAGGCCTCTCACAGTAACAAATGAGCATGGAGATCCCAGGCCCCGGGGGCAGAGCTGGGCGCTACTGCCAGGTAATGGATGAGGCTGCCGGGCCATTCATCAGAGGCCGGGAGGAAACAGGTGGCCGTGGTACGCTGGGGGGACCTCCCTCGGCCAGGCCTGCAGGACGATGTGGGGCGGGGGCTGCTGGCCCGGCCTCCTGGGGCTGTGCACCGTGTGTGTGTGTGTGTGTGTGTGTGTGTGTGTGTGTGTGTGTGTGTGTGTGTTTACAGCCCAACCCCTGGTCCCGAGGAGTCGTCATTCATTCATTTCTCAGATGAGCGTGCATGGAGCACTTGCTGTATACCGGGCTACTGGGCACGGGCAGGCCAGGGGACATCACAGCTGTGACCGAGGTGACAGCAGCGTTACTTGCACAGCTGAGAAAATGAAAATCAGGGTGGGGTGGGGACCCACACTATGCATCGCAGGCACCGGGATCCCATGGGGGGGCACCGGTTCTAATCCCGGCTGCTCCGCTTCCCATCTAGCTCCCTGCCTGTGGCCTGGGAAAGCAGTGGAGGACGGTCCAAAGCCTTGGGACCCTGCACCCGCGTGGGAGACCCAGAAGAGGCTCCTGGCTCCTGGCTTTGGGTCAGCTCAGTCACTATATGTATGTGTATATATGTATATATATATAAATAAAAATATATTTATTTATTATTTCACTTCATTTTGAAGGCAGAGGGAGAGAGAGAAAGCTCTTCCACCCTGTGGCTCACTCCCCAGCCCTGGGCTGAAGCCAGGTGCCCCCCATGGGCTTCCCACGTGGGCAGCGGGGCCCCGGGCGCCTGGGCCTTGCCGGGTGCTTCTTGGTGGGGAATGGGGGACACAGCAGCAGGAGCAGCCACCCCGGGGGGACCCAGCCCAGCAAACACCGCTCCCCGCCTTCCAATGAATGTAACGTTGGCCTAGAGATGTGTATATATGGAAATAAATGCAAATATGCCCTGGGCCCTGAGACACATGACCCCACGTGGACACGGGAGGATTTTGGAAGTCCTGGGGTCACTTTGTCTTCAGACCTGGACTGTCCCATGCAGCCCATGGGGGGAAAACTTGGATTCCAGGTTAAAATTCAGTTGCATACACTTCAGCCCCAAGGGCCAGGTGTTCTATGGAGAGCAGTGGACCTGAACATTCCAGAACCTTCTCGAACGTTCTAGAACGGGGCAGCTACTCAGTCCTAAGGGATCCTTTCTCAATGACCTGGGCGCCGTTTCTAGGGACATCGGAGGTTGACAGATCTGGGGGTGCACCTGCTGTGGAGTAAGATGGGGCCTGCGGGTCCCTCCCGAAGAGGGCAACGCGCCCCAATGTCTGTATTACCCGGGCAGGGGCTTCTGTCCGGCTGTGGTAGCCCCAAGCACACAGAGCCCGCGCTGCCAGGGCTGAGCGGTCACAGGCGGCCCCTCTGTACTGGACGACACCCCTGCACCTTCGGGGCTCCCCACCCCATCCGTGCTGCAGTTCCAGCACAGTCCACGCGAGGGCAGCGTCTTCCAGCACCTGCACCCCAGGAGGAGCTGGGGTGAGCCGGCCAGGCAGGGTGGCTGCCACTGCAGGGGACCCCTGCATCTATCCCCTCCCTGCGCGGGGGGCCTTGGGGCGCACAGTGAGCCCGGCTTCTGTCTAGATCCACTGCCCAGCGCCCAGCAGTCAGGGGTGCCACCTACTCCTTGTCCCCAGACACGGCCCAGCGTGCTCCCCTCAACCGCCCAGGGCAGGGTCACCCAGGACAGAGCTGGCATTCTTAGGAATCGTCTCCTCACACATTCCATTCAGAAATGGGAGGCACTTCCACTCTTAAAAAAAAATGCATAGCCCTGGCGCAGTGGCTCATTGGCTAATCCTCCTGTCACACACGTGGGGATCCCACAAGGGTACCAGTTCAAGTCCCGGCAGCCCCACTTCCCATCCAGCTCCCTGCTTGTGGCCTGGGAAAGCAGTGGAGGACGGCCCAAAGCCTTGGGACCCTGCACCCGTGGGGAACACCCGGAAGAGGCTCCTGGCTCCTGGCTTCAGATTGGTTCAGCTCTGGCCGTGGTGGTCACTTGGGGAGTGAACCAGCAGGCGGAAGATCTTCCTCTCTGTCTCTCCTCCTCTCTGTATATCTGACTTTGCAATCAAAATAAACAAATCTTTAAGTGATAAATAAAGGTAAAATTGTCTTACTTGGCTGACACAGCCCTCTGTCATGTTCCGTGACCCAAGCTTTGACCCCTAAGTTTTTCCTGCACCTGTTGCATTTCTCTAAGCTCTTTTTTTTTCATTCTATCTAAGAGAATTCGGGCTATGCTTGCCCTCCTCCATGCCCACAGGCAGGCAGGGCTGGGCCAGGCTGAAGCCAGAAGCCAGGAGTGCCATCCAGCCGGGCACTGGCTGATGGCTGGCTCGGCCGTGGAGCCAGGCCTCAGGTCCCGGGGAACCCAGCCTGCCCCACAGCTAAACGGGCCACATGGAGACTTCCACCAAGAAATTCGAGTCCCGGCTCCTGCCTCAGCGTCCTGGGGGGCAGCAGCGACACCGCGGGTGCGTGGGTCGGTGCTGCCCATGGGAGGCCCCAGGGCACTCCTGGCTCCGGGTCTCACAGCCGTGGCGGCCACCTGGGAGCCAACCAGGGGCTGGAGATCTCTTATTTCTTCTGTTTCTCTAACAGTGATATTTTAAAAAGTTATTTATTTTTATTGGCAAGTCAGACATACAGGGAGAAGGAGAGACAGGAAGATCTTCTGTCCCCTGGTTCACTCCCCAAGTGATCGCAATGGCCAAAGCTGAGCCAATCCAAAATCAGGAGCCAGGAGCCTCTTCTGGGTCTCCCACGCGGGTGCAGGGTCCCAAGGCTTTGGGCCGTCCTCCACTGCTTTCCCAGGCCACAGGCAGGGAGCTGGGTGGGAAGTGGAGCCTCTGGGACTCGAACTGGTGCCCATATGGGATCCTGGCAGTTGCAAGGTGAGGACTCAGCCACTAGGCTACCGCACCGGGCCTTGTAATGATGATTTTTTTAATGTAACTCTCTTCTGTCTAGGGAGCAGCTCAGGGTGGGAGGTCAGAAAGGAGGAAGGGTGGTGGATAATCCTGTTCCTGGAGAGAAGGGCTGGGCCTGTGGGTGCCTGGGGGTGGGGTGGGCTGTGACAACTCCAGTGGCACCTGCCCTGGGCCCTGCAGCCTTGGTTCAGTGTCCGGGGCGACCTGGTGTCCCTCGGAGGAACCCGTCCGCCTGCCCGCCTGCTCTGCCTTGCACCTGGGCAGGTGTGTCCCAGTCCTGGCCTGTTAGAGCCGGCGGCAGCCGTGGAGCTGGGGGTCCCCGTGGGCCGCCAGGGCCCTCACCCAGGAAAGCACAGGGCGTGCTTGCACTTTTCTCCCTGTGTATCTTCATGTAAAGGGCACTGGCAGGAAAGGCAATTGAAAGATGAATTCGTTTCGCTGTAAACTTTTTAAAAAGATTTCTTTTAAATTTATTCTTTTTTTAAAAAAATTGATTTATTTTTTACTGGAAAGGCAGAGTCACACAGAGAAAAATCTTTCATACTCTGCTTCACTCCCCAAATGGCCACAGTGGCCGGAACTGAGCCAATCCGAAGCCAGGAGCCAGGAACCTCCTCTGGGTCTCCCACACGGGTGCAGGATCCCAAGGCTTTGGGCCGTCCTCCACTGCTTTCTCAGGCCACAGGCGGGGAGCTGGATGGGAAGTGGAGCCTCTGGGACTAGAACTGGCACCCAGATAGGATCCTGGTGTGTGCAAGGCGAGTATTTAGCCAATGCGCTGGGCCCTGATGTAAGCTTTTCTTTAAAAATCATCAATTTAGGGCCCCATGTGGTAGCCTAGCAGCTAAAGTCCTCGCCTTGTACCCGCCTTGGTTCCATATGGGCACTGGTTTGTGTCCTGGCTGCTCCACTTCCCATCCAGCTCCCTGCCTGTGGCCTGGGAAAGCAGTGGAGGACGGCCCAAATGCTGGAGACCCTGCATCCGCATGGGAGACCCGGAAGAGGTTCCTGGCTCCTGGTTTCAGATGGGTTCAGCTCAGTAGCTGTTGCAATCACTTGGAGAGTGAACCAGAAGATGGAAGATCTTCCTCTCTGTCTTTTCTCCTCTCTGTATATGTCTGACTTTCTAATTAAAAGAGAGAGAGATGCCATTTAGAAAAAAAAAAAAATCCATCTGAAAGACAGACAGAGAGGGAGAGAGATCTTCCACCTGCTGGACCCCTTTTCAGATGCTTGCACTGTGAGGCCAGGCGGGAGCCAGGAGCTCCGTCTGGGTCTCCCACATGGGTGCAGGTGCCCAGCGCCTTGAGCCCTCACAGGGTGGGCGTCAGCAGGCAGCTGGGTGGGGAGTGGAGCAGTTGGGGAGCCCCACGCCGGGCAGGGCCCTGGTGTGCCAGTTGGAGCCGGCCGGGTGGTGCTCACCCCAAGCTGACCCCGTACTGCCTCCCTCGTGGCCTTGGACCCTTCCTAAGTCTCGGCTCCTCCAGATCCAGGGGGCCAAGGCCATGATCCAGGGAGGAGCCCCCCTATCCCCCAAGGCCACTAGGCCCCGGGTGGCCCAGACTTTGTCCTTCTGGGTGGGGCAGCTAGCGTCTGTCAGCTCCTGGCCGGGCTCCAGGGCTGCCCCCGTTTCCCACCGCAGCCGGCTGCTGGGCGGCGAGCAGACACCCGCCCCTGTCTTTCTGCACCTGTACAAGGCCCAGACGCAGCCTGGGGTGGGAAGGCAAGGGTGTCTTGGGGTTCCTCTCACAAGGCCTGTGGCACCGGTTCAAGTCCCGGCTGCTCCCCTTCCCATGCAGCTTCCTGCCTGTGGCCTGGGGGAGGCAGTGGAGGATGATGGCCCTTGGGCGCCTTGGGACCCTGCACCCGCGTGGGAGACCCTCCCTGCCGCTGCATAGCTTCTGTCTTCCCAATCTATAATCAATTTATCGCTTGTCTGTTGCTGATGGGCAGGAGATCTTCTTGGCTTACAGCTCCCCTCGTGTATTTGTGCTGTGTCGCCAAGGTGCGACTTTGGGGTCCCCCGTCCTGGCTGGGAGTGTCAAAGTAGCGTGCTGTCCTACCCTCATCAAGTAATTAATGGAGACTTTGACCGCGTCTCCCCAGGCCCTTATCTGTGCAGGAAGGAGGGCTGGGCAGCAGGATGGGTAGGCACCCACGTCGGGGGAGCCAGGGCCTGGGGCAGGGCAGGGCAGGGCAGGGCAGGGCTGGGCTGGCCGTCAGTCCTGCATGCCTAGCAGCATGTTCCTTCTCTGGATCAGAACATGCTGAGTGAGCACCTAGGGCAGCGGGGTGCCACGTGTCCTTCCCCAAGGACGTGGGGTCACGTCGGGGAACATGGTAGAGCAGCAGGCCATAGGTACTTTGTTGCAATGTCCCAATGCCTGCCCTAAGCGAAGCCAGCCAAATCGGGTGCATGCGTGCATGCGTGCCGTGGGCCCGGTGCACGTCCACACATGGACAGAGATGACCACACGCGGTGCCACCATCGTGCCTGACCCAGGCCTGGCTTCCAGAGTTGGTCCTTGGCTCCTCCACGGCCATGGAGCGGGCCAGGCTGTAGCTGGTGTGGACAGGTGGCACAGCAGGGGCCTCGGGCCCGCTGGCCAGCAGCTCTTCCAGCAAGGAGTGGCCTTCCGCGCCTGCTCCGTGCACACAGGCTTCCCAGGAAACCCTGAACTGCTGCCCGCCGCCCCCTCTTCCCTGCCTGGGGAGTGGGAGGACCCGAGCGGAGCCGAGCGGAGCCGAGCGCACCCGAACCGAGCGCGCCCGAGCCGAGCCGAGTGCACCCGAGCGGAGCCGAGCAGAGAGGAGGCGAGCCAAACCGAGACAAGCCGAGCCAAGCGCTCCGAGCCGAGTGCACCCGAGCCGACCCGAGCGCATCCGAAGTCGCTGCCCCGAGTCCGCCACGCTCCCACAATCCCCGGCGGCCCCGCCCCGGAGCCCCGCGCTGCGCAGGCCCCGCCCTCGGCCCGCGCGCTCCTCCCATTGGCCGCGCCGCCTGTCCGTCCGCCGCGGGCTCGGTCGTCCGGCGCTGGCGCTCGGTGGCGGCGGCGGCGGCGGGGACGCGGGTTCGAGCGCGGGCGGCGGCGGACGGCGGCAGGCGCGGCCGGGCGGCGGCCGGAGGGGCGGCGGACGCGGCCGGGCGCAGGGCCGAAGCGGAGGCCGAGAGCCCCCGGCGGGCGGACGGCCGCGACGATGACGCTGGAGTCCATGATGGCGTGCTGCCTGAGCGACGAGGTGAAGGAGTCCAAGCGCATCAACGCCGAGATCGAGAAGCAGCTGCGGCGGGACAAACGCGACGCGCGGCGCGAACTCAAGCTGCTGCTGCTGGGTGAGCGCTGGCCGGGGGCGGCGGGGCCCTGCGGTGGTCAGCCTGGGGCCGTGGGCAGCCCGGGGCCTTGCAGCGGTCAGCCCGGGGCCGTGGTCAGCCTGAGGTCCTGCAGTGGTCAGCCCGGGGCCGTGGGCAGCCCAGGGCCTTGCAGCGGTCAGCCCGGGGCCGTGGTCAGCCTGAGGTCCTACAGCGGTCAGCCCGGTGCCGTGGTCAGCCTGAGGCCCTGCAGTGGTCAGCCCGGTGCCGTGGCCAGCCTGAGGTCCTGCAGTGGGCAGCCTGGTGCCATAGCCAGCCCGGTGCCATGGGCAGCCTGAGGCCCTGCAGTGGGCAGCCCGGTGCTGTGGTCAGCCCGGGGCCGTGGGCAGCCCGGTGCCGTGGCCAGTCTGAGGCCATGCAGTGGTCAGCCCGGTGCCATGGCCAGCCTGAGGTCCTGAAGTGGTCAGCCCGGTGCCGTGGGCAGCCTGAGGTCCTGCAGTGGGCAGCCTGGTGCTGTGGCCAGCCTGAGGCCATGCAGTGGTCAGCCCGGTGCCATGGCCAGCCTGAGGCCCTGCAGTGGTCAGCCCGGGGCCGTGGCAGGCCTGAGGCCCTGCAGTGGTCAGCCCGGTGCCATGGCCAGCCTGAGGCCATGCAGTGGTCAGCCCGGGGCCGTGGTCAGCCTGAGGCCCTGCAGTGGTCAGCCTGGTGCCATGGTCAGCCTGAGGCCCTGCAGTGGTCAGCCCGGGGCCGTGGCCAGCCTGAGGCCCTGTAGTGGTTAGCCCGAGGCTGTAGGCAGCCTGGGGCTGCAGGACACTGGCTATGGTCAGCTTGAACCGTGCAGTGGTCAGCCCAGGGCTGTGGTTAGCCCAGGGCAGCAAGACACTGGCCACTTGGGGCAGCTTGGCAGTGGCAGTGGGGTCGTGTCAGCCTGGGGCAGCAGGGCCATAGCCGTGGGCAGCCGGTGGGTTCTGGGTTGTGGGCAGCCCAGGGCAGCATGGCAGTGGCCGTGGGCAGCCGGTGATGGCGGGGTCGTGGGCAGCCCAGGGCAGCCATGGGCAACCCTCTCCTTCATGCCCATGGGGTTCCCTCTGCTCCAGCCACTGACAGGCTTATTCCTCCCTGAGCCGTTACCTGAGGGGTCACCTCATCTGAATCCTCAGTGGTCAGTCCAGCCCTGCTGCCCTCCAGGCCGGGCCAGTGGTCCGTCTCACCCATACATGCCGGGTAGCCCCAGAGCTAGCCAGCTGCTGCCCACTCGGCCCGGCCAGGTCCCTCGCCTGCTGGGGTTCTTGTCTAGCCCAGCGCCCTCCCCTCGCATGCTGCTCCCCGATCTGGCTCCCTGCCCCTCCTGGAGGGGGTTCACAGGGATGTTATCACCCCAAATAAGAACCCCACCAGCGTTTATACAACAGAGACCCCCCAGCCGTGGAGGGTGAGGAGGGGTGCAGGCCACCGTGTGTGTCGGGCCAGCAGGGTGCCCTGTCTGAGGGCAGGGTAGTGGGCCTGGCCAGCCTGTGGGGAGCATGTTGCCAGAGCTCAACCCTGCAGTAGAGAGGAGCCCGGCACCCAGGGGTGCATGTGGTGGGGGCCGCAGCACCCGCCTGGCCCTGTGTGGCTCCACCCCCGCAGCCTCCACTGCCCACGCCCAGCCTCCTGTGGATTTGAGATGGACCCAGGGTCAAGGCCGTGGGCCTGGCGCTGATAGGGGCCCGCCTGGGCCCCTCGTGCCTGGGGCGTGTGTGTGTGTGTGTGTGTGTGTCTGTGTGTGCACGCTGTGGAGTGGCCCAATGGAACAGTAAGCTGGGGAGCCTGTCCCCAAGTAGGGTGTGTGCAGGTGCCAGGCGCGGTCCCATGGCCCCAGGAGAGCAGGCGTGGACATGGGGCTCCTACGGGGCCCAGCAGCCTCGGGTCTGGATGGAGGAATCTGTGCCCCGGGAGTGGGGGGGCTGCAGCCCCCTGGCCCCCAGAACCCTCAGGATGTGCAGGCATGGGGGCACGCAGGGCTGTGAGGGCGGGGGAAGCCTCAGGCCTGTTCCCCACAAAGTTTGCCCCAGGAGAGCAGGCAGCTGCTGAACCCACCTCCTGTGTTCCCCATGGCCTGTGCCAGGGCAGCTGACCCTGGGCAGGGTGTAGGTTTCCACTAGACTGCCTCTGGGGGCTCGGTTGTCCCCTAGTCCCTCTCCTTCAGGGGGCACCTGCTAGCGCTGTGGGCATCAAGGCCGGTCTGGGCACTGCAGGCCAGTGGAGCAGTGCGCCCATGTCCACCATGCCCACCCAACCCACACCGGCACCTGTCATGATGGCCTCAAGGCTCCTGGGCTCTCTGGGGAGGCAGAATTATGGCTTTTTCCTTTTTGTTTTTTCTTCAAAAGATTTATTCATTTTCACTGGAAAGGCAGATTCGTAGAAACAGATCTCTGTCCCCTGGTTCACTCCCCAAGTGGCTGCAATGGCCGGAGTTGAGCCAATTTGAAGCCAGGAGGCAGGAACCTCTTCTGGGTCACCACACAGGTGCAGGGTCCCAAGGCTTTGGGCCATCCTCCACTGCTTTCCCAGGCCACAGGCAGGGAGCTGGATGGGAAGTGGAGCAGCCAGGACTTGAACCTGCATCCACAAGGAATGTCACACTTGGGGTGGAGAATTAGCCAGTTGAGCTATTGCACCAGCTCCTCCTGTTGGTTTTTAAAAATATATTTGAGGAGAGATCTTCCATGCTCTGAGTCCCTCCTCAAACGTGTGCCCAGTCAGAAGGCAGGAGCCGGGGGAGCTGTGTTGGGCATTCAGGCATGCAGGGGTCCAAGCCCTCGGGCTCCCCCAGACAGGGGTCAGCATCACGCCCTGGCCCACTGAGCCTCAGAACTTCCATCTGTGGGCCCGCTGTGGGGGTGATGTGTGTGTGTGTGTGTGTGTGTGTGTGTGTGTGTGTGTGTGTGTGTGTGAGGAGCTCAGATTTGGGGTGTCCTGTCTGCCGTGCCACTGCACCCCTGTCACTGAGTGTTCAGAGAGCCTGTGTGTGGCTGCACGCTGATACTCCGGTGGCCAGCAGGAGTGGGAACTCGGTGTCCTCGCTCCTGAGCCACAGGGCCAGGCCCTGTTCCCTTTGCCCCGCCGTGGCGGAAGGCCCTGGCCTGGGGAGGCTGCAGGCTCCCATGGGCCTGCCTGGCCACTGCTCCCCAGCGCTGCCCATTGGTTTGCCTGTGATTGGAGAACCCCCGACCCTGGGTTGCCAGCCCAGGAGGCCCGCGTCGGGCCGGGCCTGCTAAATAAAGCGGGGTGGTGGCTCGCTCTGGAGGCTTCCTGTCCGGCCCGTGCTGGCCGGGAAGAGGGCAGGATTTGGCGTGGTATGGGCGGCAGGCAGCCCCGTGGGGAAGGGGTGGGGCGGGGACCGTGGGAGCAGGAAGTGGCCCTTTGTGGCCTGGGCGGCTCTGGACCCCCTGGCGGCCCCTGGCCCAGGCCTCTGCCCCGCCCCTGTTCCAGCTGAGCCTGCAGTGGCCATGGAGGAGCCCAGCACCACGCTTTCCTGGCCCCGTGCTCCCAACTCCGGCTGCTGCGGTTACTGCCGACGAAGCACTTCCCCTGTGATGTTGAGCCGTGGGAAGTTTCACTTGCTGATTTCTATGGGGGCCCCACGGTGGAAGGGGGTGCCCTGTGCCCTTCCCTGTGGATGGAGGGTTTCCTGAGGTGCCCCAACCTCAGGATGGGGATTTATGCCTTTGGGTACCCGGCTGTGTGGTCTCCCGGGCGCAGCTGTGGCCAGGAGGCCCCAGGGCAGTGTCACCAGCTCTGGTCATTTATGAGGCTCATGCTATCATCCAATCCACACACTCTTCCCGCCGCGCTGCCTGGCCCTTCAGGGCTGTGCCCAGTCCCCGGCCGTGCATGGTGAGGCTGGGTGGGCTGTGGATCCAGTGCAGGTGCTATTTCAGAGGCCCCTCAGGAGCTGTATGGCTGCAGGTCTGCTCTTGGCATGCCCTGCCCACGTGCCCATGAGTGCTGTGTGTCCATCGAACCCGGGCACCTGGGTCCTGTGGGTGCATGGTGCAGTGGAAAGAGTATGGTGGACATTTGGCCTGGCCACCTCGCGGCATGCCCTGGGCACTTCCTGGTGCCCCTCACCCCCTGGATGCTCTCATTGTGGGCCCTGGGTGAGCCAGGCAGGTGTTCCTACCCATATCTCGGGGCTACAGGGCACCCCCAGTGTGGGGATAAAGGAGTGTGGGCTCCGGGAGGCGGATTCAACCCTGAACTCTCTGCCCTTTGCTCCTGGGGGTCTGCTGGCTCCTGTGTCCACACCCCCTTCTGTGTCTTCCTGGGGAACTGGGTCCATGATGAGTGGCCGTGGGTGGGGGCCGGTTCTGTAAAGAGGACCAGATCGGCTGCTTCTGCAGAGGGGCCACAGGGGACTGCCTGTGACACAGGAGGGCCTTAGGTGGCGTGGGGCCCGCCTGTGACATGGTATAGGGGGTTCTGGGTGGTGTGGGGCCCGCCTGTGACACAGGAGGGGCTCTGGGTGGTGTGGGGCCCGCCTGTGACACAGGAGGGGCTCTGGGTGGTGTGGGGACCGCCTGTGACATGGTATAGGGGGTTCTGGGTGGTGTGGGGTCCGCCTATGACACAGGAGGGGCTCTGGGTGGTGTGGGGACCGCCTGTGACACAGGAGGGGCTCTGGGTGATGTGGGGACCGCCTGTGACACAGGAGGGGATCTGGGTGGTGTGGGGTCCGCCCTGTGACACAGGAGGGGCTCTGGGTGGTGTGGGGACTGCCTGTGACACAGGAGGGGCTCTGGGTGATGTGGGGACCGCCTGTGACACAGGAGGGGCTTGGGTGGCGTGGGGACCGCCTGTGACACAGGAGGGGCTCTGGGTGGTGTGGGGTCCGCCTGTGACACAGGAGGGGCTGTGGGGACCGCCTGTGACACAGGAGGGGCTCTGGGTGATGTGGGGTCCGCCTGTGACACAGGAGGGGCTGTGGGGACCTCTCTCCCTCCATCTCCCGTGACGGGTGCAGGACGGTTCCCAGCTCTGCCTCCGTAATCTAAGTCCTGGGTGAGGGTGAGGGCTCTGACTGGGGACAGCCCACCCCAAGGCCCCCTCTTCACGGTGTCTCCTGGGGCCAGTAGGCGGCCATGGGACCAGCTGTCTGGCACCTGTTGGTTCCTGGTGCCTGGAGAGACAGAGTGGCCATGTCCATCTCTTTCCCCCACCAAGTCCCGGACCCACACGGATGAGGCAGAGCTGTGTAGGTGCCCACCTGCTAAGAACCCAGAGCCCCTCTGAGCCCAGCCACTGCAGGTCTAGGGTGCCCAGGCATGAGAAGCCACTCGCCAGTCTTGTTGCTGGGTGACCGTGGTGGAGAGCCCTGGGGGCTGTAGGGACTGGGCAGGGCCAAGAAATGCTAGGTTGGTGTAGGTGTGCTGTGTGACCACAGGGCATGACCAGCCCAGGCACTGCCCACAGCCTCATCTTGGGGCCTGGCATGGCTGAGTGCCCTGGGGCAGCAGGAGCCCCGAAAGTGGAGGCCGTGGCCCAGCACTCTGCTTCCTGACTGGCCGCTCTGTGCCCACGGGCACCTCCTCCCCCTGGATGCCCATCGCATGGCAGGGAGCAGGCGTGAGGGCAGCAGGTGTGGTGAGCTGGTGGGGACCAGGGCAGGGCTCGGGCCCGGGAGCCCCCCCCCCGTGCCTGGGCTCACGCCTGTGCCCGCCTGTGCCCCTCCTGCCCCAGGCACGGGCGAGAGCGGCAAGAGCACGTTCATCAAGCAGATGCGTATCATCCACGGCGCCGGCTACTCGGAGGAGGACAAGCGCGGCTTCACGCGCCTCGTCTACCAGAACATCTTCACGGCCATGCAGGCCATGATCCGCGCCATGGAGACGCTGAGGATCCTGTACAAGTACGAGCAGAACAAGGTGAGCGCGGCTGCACGGCCCCGGGACGCGGGCACAGTGACGCGGCCCCCTCCACCCCTGCCCCTGGGGGACCTCGAGGCCCCTCCTGACCCTGGAGTTCCCCGTGCTGGGCAGTCTGTGGAGCTCACGCTGGGTGCTCAGTGTGAGCACTCCCCGAGCACGCGTGTCTGAGCTGTGTGATGCCCTGTGCGGAGGGACCCATGGTGACCCCTCCCCGGATAGCATGCCGAGTTCTGCCCTCCTGTTGGCTGCTGCGACTGAGTGTGTGCAGATTGTGTCTGTGGACAGGGATGTGTGTGTGTGTGTGTGGACAGGGGTGTGTGTGTGGATGGGTGTGTGTGTTTGTGTGGATCGTGTCTGTGGACAGAGGTGTGTGTGTGTGGGCACAGGGCTGTGTGCGGGCTGGTGAACGTCCATCCCGTGCCGTCCGGGCTCCGTCTGCCATCCCGGGTGGTGCTGCTGCCCCTGGGCAGGGCCTGGTTGCTGCCCGGGTCTTGGCACAGAGCTGCTGTGTCCGCTTTGGTGGCAGTCAGCAGGCGCTCTGCGGGTGACAGCACTGCCTGTGTCGAGTCCCCGCTCCTCAGCTTCCGGTCGGCTTCCTGAAGGCTCCGTGCCGAGCTGGAGCTGTGGCTCGTGCGGAGGGCTCAGCTGGCATGCCGGGGGAAGCTGAGGAGAAGCGTGTGGAGCAAGCTCTCGCCTGGCAGCGGGGCTGGACATGGCATGGGACTCCAGTCCCACAGCTGCCCACGTGGACTCGGCCGAGTCCGTGCCGTGCAGTGGGCCGCAGGGTCCTTGCTGGCGGGCGTTGAAGATTGGCTTGTTTTGATTCGAGAGAGTTCCCTCTGTAGGAGAGACAGACAGAGAAGTCTCCCATGTGCTGGCTCACTCCTCAGACGCCCACATAACCAGGAGCTCCATCCGGGCCTCCCACGTGGGTGCAGGAGCTGTCCTCCGTGTCCCTCCTGGGCCATCAGGTAGCTGGATGGGAAGTGGAGCAGCGGGGAGCTGAGCCAGCCCCTTGCCTGGGGGATGCCAGAGGCTTAGCGAGCTCTGCCAGGTCGCCAGTCCCGTCCCCCTCACTTGGACTTGGAGAAGAATGAGTTATAGTTTGTTCCTGCTGGTGCCTCCCCGCCAGCAGGTGCAAGGGCCGCCCCACCCCGCCTCTCCCTGGCACACCCTCAGCCCGGTACCCCGTGAGCCCCCCTGTGAGCCCACGGCCTCTCGGTCCGCCCCCCCCCCCCACGCAGGCCAACGCGCTGCTGATCAGAGAGGTGGACGTGGAGAAGGTGACCACATTTGAACAGCAGCACGTGCAGGCCATCAAGACGCTGTGGGAGGACCCCGGCATCCAGGAGTGCTACGACCGACGGCGCGAGTACCAGCTCTCGGACTCGGCCAAGTAGTGAGTGCCCGGTCCCGCCCGCGCCGCTGCCCGCTGAGCCCACCCCACTGCCCTCCCTGGCGGGCAGCCCACTGAGCCTGCCCTGCTGCCCACAGCTACCTGAGTGACGTGGACCGCATCGCCACCTCGGGCTACCTGCCCACCCAGCAGGACGTGCTACGGGTCCGCGTGCCCACCACGGGCATCATCGAGTACCCCTTCGACCTGGAGAACATTATCTTCAGGTGCCCGCGGCCGGGGCTGGGGGATCCCGGCTGGGAGGGAGGGGCCGAGGCCGTGGGCCTGGGGGGTGTCAGTGTGGGCTCCACGTGACGCTGCGCCCGTGTCGGCAGAGGCAGCAGGATCAACAGCTCGGGCTAGGAGTCGCTGGCAAGAGCGGCAGAGCCGGCTCCTTCCCAGGCCCCAGCCGCTTCCACTCAGCCCCGGGTGCCAGTGCCCAGGTCCCGACCAGGGAGAGAGCCTGTCCGCTCCTGGTGGCCGCACGCCGGCCAGCTGTCCTGGCAGACCCCTTGCCAAGTGGGTGCCTGCCCCGGGTTCCATGGTAGCCACCCCAGCCCTCCCATGCTGGTTGGTGCTGATGCTGGCGGGGAGGCAGTGGCCGTTTCCCCAGCCTCCTGTGGGCTCAGTGAAAGCTGGCATCCCCTCAGGGCAGGGTGGTGTGGCTGGCACCGTTTGCTGGTCTTTCAGCCTTCTTGGCCTGTGGTCCGAGGCCATAGGGCGCTGGCCAGGTGGCCCTGCTGGAGGGCTCCAAGGGCAGGGTCCCAGCAGCCAGGCAGCGGGAGTGTCTGTGCAGTGGTGCCCGGTGCTGCAGGCGGCTGCTGGGGCAGGGCACAGGCCCTCTGCGGTGTGGTGGGCACAGACCCCCGGAAGCCAGCACTCCTGGGGACGGCCCTCCCGTGCTGAGCGGGGGGTGCCCTTTTGCAGGATGGTGGACGTGGGCGGGCAGCGCTCCGAGCGGAGAAAGTGGATCCACTGCTTCGAGAACGTCACGTCCATCATGTTCCTCGTGGCCCTAAGCGAGTACGACCAGGTCCTGGTGGAGTCGGACAATGAGGTGGGCGCAGGGGCCCCCGGGGGCGTGCCGGGCAGGGCGCCTGGACCCCAGGCCCCGTCCCAGCCGCTGTCCGCCCCCCCCAGAACCGCATGGAGGAGAGCAAGGCCCTGTTCCGCACCATCATCACCTACCCCTGGTTCCAGAACTCCTCCGTCATCCTCTTCCTCAACAAGAAGGACCTGCTGGAGGACAAGATCCTCCACTCACACCTGGTCGACTACTTCCCCGAGTTCGACGGTGAGCAGGGCGGGGCGAGCAACGGTGTGTGTTGCGGGGCAGGGAGGGGGCGGGCAGGGAAGGGTGGGACAGGTAGGGCAGGGGCAGGTGGGGCAGGAAGCATACGGGGCAGGGGGCTGCTGGGGCAGGGCAGAGCAGGGCAGCAGGGCAGGAGGCATATGGGGCAGGGTATGGTAGGGGGCATGCGGGGCAGTGGGCAGAGCAGGGCAGCAGGGCATGGTAGGGCAGAGCAGGGCAGGGTAGGGCAGAGCAGGGCAGCAGGGCAGGAGGTATGCATGGTAGGGGGCAGACAGGGCAGCAGGGTAGGGCAGGGGGCAAGCAGGGCAGGTGGGGCAGGGAACTGCTGGGTCGGGCAGAGCAGGGCAGCAGGCAGGGGCAGGCGGGGGCAGATGGGGCTGGTGGGGCAGGGCAGAGCAGGGCAGCAGGGTAGGGGGCAGCAGGGTAGGGCAGAGCAGGGCAACAGGGCAGGAGGCATATGGGGCAGGGTATGATAGGGGGCATGCAGGGCAGGGGGCAGAGCAGGGCAGCAGGGCAGGAGGTATGCGTGGTAGGGGGCAGCAGGGCAGCAGGGTAGGGCAGGGCAGGGGCAGGCAGGGCAGGGGCAGGCAGGGCACCCCGGGTGCCTCACACCCGCCTGCCTTCCCCAGGGCCACAGCGGGACGCGCAGGCGGCCCGGGAATTCATCCTCAAGATGTTCGTGGACCTGAACCCCGACAGCGACAAGATCATCTACTCGCACTTCACGTGCGCCACGGACACGGAGAACATCCGCTTCGTGTTCGCCGCCGTCAAGGACACCATCCTGCAGCTCAACCTCAAGGAGTACAACCTGGTGTGAGGCCGCCGGACCCCACGGGGCTAGGGGCGCCCGCCGGCCACCCGGACACGGAACCCCCCCCGCCTGGGGCTGCACCCCCAGCCCCGCGCCCACTCCCGGACCCCCCAAGGGGGCAAGAGGCGCCCGCCGCCTGCCCTGGGAAGTGCCTACATTTTTTTTTTTTTTTTAATTTTTATTTGTTCTCTTTTTCCGGGGAAACAAAGGCAGCCTGGCCGTGCAGCGTTGCGGGCACCCCAGGTTCCGGGCGTGGGGGGTGGGCAGTACTTTTCCTCGTGGCGTGACCAATGTGGGGCTGGTGGGGATCACGGAGGCTTCTTAGGTGTGTCCTGGAGAAGCACGGGGACCCCATGGCTCTTAGGCTAAGGGCCAGTCCCCTGGGGTACCCCTGTACCCCCGAGGCCTGAGCCAGGGCGGGGGGGGGTGGTTCCCTGGGGCACCCCTGTGTCCCTGTACCCCCAGGTCTAGGCCAGGGCAGGGGGCACCCCAGGATTTTGAGCACTACAATGCCTCCTTGCTCTGGGGGCTCAAGTTTTCTTTGCACAGTCACAGGCAAAAATGCCAAGTGGCGCTGCCCAACAATTGACTCAAAAAGATCCCAGCCTGGGGTCATCGGCGCCCCCTTCCCACAGCCCCGGTGGGGGCAGCGGCGCTCGGGCGGGGGGGGGGGGCCTCTGTGCCAAGCATCCGCCCCCCGGTGGCGGGGAGCGGCAGGTGCTGCTGGTGGGGCGGGGGTTGGTGGTCCCACCTGCATGGCCAAGGAGGCTTCTGGGATGGCTGTACCGGCAGCTCGGAGGCACCCAGCTCGCCAGTGGCCTCTGAGATAGGGGCGACCAGCACCCATGTGGGCCAAGCTAAGTGCATGTGCCAACGCCGCCCACGGGGTGGGGAGTAGGGCGCCTCCCAGGAGCCGTGTGCCCCAGGGCGGCCAGGCCCCTTGTGCAGTGCCCCCACTGGCGGCTGTGTCCGGGGCGCAGCCAGGCGGCACCTATTTAAAAGTACCCCGTGCGACGCTCCTTTTAATAAACCTTTTGTCCTCGGAGACGCATGTGCTGTCTGTCAGGTGCCGAGGGGCCCTCGCCCAGCGCTGCCTGGCGCCCACTGACTTTTCATATCTTTCTCCTGAAATGAATTCTGTTTTAAATTGGAATAAATTGTGTTCCTAAACTCTGTGGCCTTCTTCCGTGGTGGACTTCCCGTTCCTGGGCCTCAGCAGCTGCGCAGCCCTGGGGTGGCTGTCCCCCCCCCGCTTCCCAGCTCGTGGTCTCCCTCCCCACGCACACGCAGAAATCGTGGCATCTCCTAGCCACCTGCTAGCCCACCCGTGCACGTCTAGGACAGGGCCGAGCCACAGACAGGCAGAGTTTCCGTCCGCTGGCTCACTGCCTGAATGACGGACCCGGGGCTAGAACCAGGGACGTAGCCCACTGCGCCATAGCCATTTCTTACTGCAGGCCTTAGCAGTAAGTTCCTTGAGTACGCTAGAGGCACACTTGGAGGGACAGATAAACTTCCCCTCACAACTCCACTCCCCAAATGGTTCCAACAACCCTGGGTTGGGCCAGGTAGGAGCCAGGAGCTTCTTCCTGGTCTCCCACACGGGTGCAGGGTCCCAAGGCTCTGGGCCGTCCTTGACTGCTTTCCCAGGCCACAGGCGGGGAGCTGGATGGGAAGTGGAGCAGCTGGGACTCAAGCCGGCAAAGCAGTGCCCCTGTGGGATGTGGCTCAGCGGGAAGCAGCCTCCTTGTCTGTGCATCTCTATAAAACTGGCTCCACTTTCCAACCTGGAGCTCTGTTAAGGTTAGGTTCCCCCATCCCCAGATGGCTTCTTGCCTGGGACCAAGGACCCCCAGGCTGTCAGCATCCTCTGGGAATATTTGCCTGCATCCGTTTTCTGCACCCACATACCCCTTCCTGAGGTGTCCCAGAACCTGGGTGCCTGCTGGAGCCCCACTCCTGATCACCACCTAGGATGGGGTCCCCGCACCCGCCAGTGTCAGGGTCTGCATGCCACCTGTGTGTGGACCCCGTGAGCAATGTGGACGGGCTGCTGACCCCGGGGTGGTGCCGAGGCGTGGCAGGACTGGGCCCAGGCTGGCAGAGGTAAGGGGGTGGAGAGCCCCGGGGAACCCCCTGAAGCTGAGGTGGAAGGCGGTGTCCTGCCACCAGCATCCAGCAGGTGTCGCCCGAGGCAGCGCCTTGATCTGACCCTAAGGCTCGAACCCTGCGCGCGTGTGCACTCCCTGGGAAGGGGGGTCCCTAGGGCTCCACCAGCTGAGAGACCCCTCCTGGGTATTGGGGTACCCAGAATTGAGACTGACCTCCCGAGCTGTGTGAGTGGCGGTGCTGGAAGGGAGTGTCATGAGCATGGGTGGTATAAGATGGGGGCAGCCCAGGGGTGACCCTGGTGACCCTGAGATGCTGAAGCGGAGAGGGAGGAATCTTGCCGTAACATCATGGCCACTACAGTGACTGGACCGGGCAGGTGTGTGACCGGAAGGCAGGACCAGTGTGACAGGTCCCCAGGAGAGGCAGGAGAAAGGGGCACGTTGCAAATTCTATTTTAAGAAGTTGTGATACTTCAGGGTCCCCAGTGGTCTTATACCCCAATACTGTCTGCCTTTAGCCCCCCAACACCCAGCTGGAGGCCAGGCAGGCACCCCACCCGCTCACCCCAATAACCCCGCCCCGGTGCACTTCCCACGTGCTGCTATGAATCAGCATTGTCTGTGGGGAAGCCACACATGCTAACCAGACAAGCGGGGGCACACCCTCTCTGCAAAACCTCAAAGCGCCAGCCGCAGGGCTCCCCCACCCCCAACGGTAGGAGGTTGATCCAGAACTTTCTAGAACTTTCTAACTTCCAAGTTCCCATGGGCTCATTCACTCTTCAGATATGCAGAGCTGAGCGAGGCCAAAGCCAGCAGCTCCATCTGGGTCTCTCCCGTGGGTGGCAGGGCCAGGGACCTGCCCTGGTGTGAACCAGCAGGGAGCCGGGGTCAGGAGCTGGAAGCGGGACTTGAACCCCGGGTCCCAGGCGGTGGGCCCATGAGGACTTCAGCACTGGCTCACTCACAAATGGTCCTGTGAGGTTGGTCACGTGTGTGACTGACTAGTGACCCCAACCCCACAGGATATACAGCCGGCGCTGGCTAAGTGCCCCCTCCTGGAAGCCGCAGTGATGTTGGGATCTGGGGAGCTGGGTGTCATCCCCCGCCCACCCCGGGGTGTGGCAGAGGAGGCAGCCCCGCGGTGGCGTCACCTCTAGGGCAGAATGAGGAAGGAGGCCGGGCAAGCCCCGCACGACCAGTGTGCGTGCAGGCCAGCTTCCGCCCCACCCCACTTCATCCAGGGGCCCCGCCTCACCCCTCCCGGGCACCCTGGGACCTGCCAGGCCCGGTCTGGGCAGGTCGGGGCGGTGGGGTGTTGGGGGAGTCGGCTCCCCTAGTGCCTTCCTGCACCCGAGGGGGGTAGCAGCGGGGTCCCCCACGGGGTTATGCCACCCGGCATGGCCTACACCCTGAGCTGGCGTTGCTGCTGGTGCCTGACGGAGGAGGAGAAGGCAGCGGCCCGCGTGGACCAGAAGATCAACAAGTTATTGTTGGAGCACAAGAGGCAGGTGCGAGGCGAGCTGAAGCTGCTGCTGCTGGGTGAGTTGGTGGGCACCCAAACTGCAGATGTCATCACTGAGACCCTGCGGAGCCAGCAGGGCCCCTGTGTGCGAGGGGCAGGCAGGGGCACAGGCAAACCCAGCCCGTCCTACCTGCTTGGATCACTGCGAGCCTAGGCCCGCGTGGGAGGGACACGGCAGCTGCCCAGGGCCCAGGCCACGCTCTGCTGCTACAAGGGGCAGGGGAGGGGGATCCGGCCAGGGTTGGCTGTGGGTAGGCTTTTGCCGACGTGAGGAGCTGCTGCGTGAGCCCCGGGGCCCCAGGCGTGAGCTCACCCTGCACCCAGGCAGACAACATAAGGGAATGCGGTCATTTCCGCGGCAGGAAGGGCCAGGAGGGAACAGCCCTGCTGGGGCGGGCCGGCTCACCGCCCTGCGTGTTTCTGTGGCTGGAAGATGAATCTTGCATGCCTGCTTCATTCACCGAGCACCCACATCAACAGCCGGGGCTGGGGTGTGCCGTGCACACGCAGGAGGCGGCAGGGAGAGCTGGGGGCTCCCTAGGGAGCTTCCCCATGGGTGGCAAAGGCTCCCGGGCATGGAGCTGCCACCTGCCAGGACTGGCAGGACTGCCCCTCGTCCCGCCCCGACCCAACCTCACAGGTCCTCATTTCCTGGGAGACACGGGGTCATATCGGACCCGGCTACCACCTTTAGGAGTCCCAGCCTTGCTTCCCATCCAGCTCCCTGCTTGTGGCCTGGGAGAGCAGTGGAGGACGACCCAAAGCCTTGGGACCCTGCACCCGTGTGGGAGATCCGGAAGAGGCTCCGGGCTCCTGGCTGGCCATTTACGGGAGCCCTCTCTCTTTCTCAATCACTCTTTCCAGTAAGTCTCTCATAGAGAAGGCCCGCCCACTCTGGTCCCAGGCCCGGTACCTGCAAGCAGCCGCCCTGCAGCTCTCCCAGGAGCTGCAGCCAGATTGCGGGCACCAGGCATATCATTGTGAAACCTTTTAAGCTATCTCCTCTTTTATATTCATTTCTCTACATTAAAGATACACAGGATCTTCCATCTGCTGGGTCACGCCCACAGATGCCCACAGGAGCCAAGGCTGAACCTGTCTAAAGGCAAGAGCTCTACTCGCCTCCCCGACTTGGGTGCAAGGCCCCCGGCTCTGGGACCGTCCACTGCCCCCCACACACACCGGGTGCATGGGCAGGGGGCTGGATGGGAAGTGGAGTGGCCGGGATTCAACCCCTGCGCATCCAGCACAGCACACGGGGTGGAGGGCGTCTGGCTGGCAGGACAAACACCCACCCGTCGCTCAGGGACCACTTGCAGGCAGGAAGCGCCGGCCGCACACGGCCTTCCCGCCTCCCATGGCCCTCAGCCCCCTTCCTTCCTCCTACGGCGGTTCCGTTTTCATGCCTTTTTAAAAAGACTTATTTACTTTTATTGGAAAGTCAGATTTACAGAGAGAAGGAGAGACAGAGAGGAAGATCTTCCATCCATTGCAGCCACAACGGCTGGAGCTGAGTTGATCCAAAGCCAGGAGTCAGGAACCTCTTCCGGGTCTTCCACACAGGTGCAGGATCCCAAGGCTTTGGGCCGTCCTCCACTGCTTTCCCAGGCCACAGGCAGGGAGCTGGATGGGAAGTGGAGCAGCTGGGATGTGAACCGGTACCCTTACGGGATGCCGGCGCCATGGCTGTGGTTTAACTTGCTATGCCAGCTCTCCTTTTGTCCCTGGCCACAGTGGTGAGGGGCTTGTTGCCTGCTGTCCCCCTCCGTTTTCTTGGGCTCCTTGCACCAGCTGCTGCCCACCGTCTGTGGTCATAGCCTCCCTGTGTCACCCTGTGTGTGGCTTCGCCTAGGGAGTGTGCCCCGGCCACCCTGGCTGCCGTGGAGCCCGCCCCAGCTCCCTCCTGCACCCACACGGCCTGTCGCTGCTTGCGTGGCCTGCCTGGTCACCCAGCGGACGACACGCATGTGTCTCTACCCCCACGGACCCTGGCGTGAGCATGTGGGGACCTGGGCCCAGCAGGTACTCAGCCAAAGCTTTGTGAACAATGACGGAGTGACTGGACGAGGGTCCCTGTCCTGACCACCCGGCATGGGAAGCCCTCCTGACGGGGCCATGAGGGCGAGGGTGCCACTAGCCTGCCAACACCCTGGCCCCATCACCTGGAAAATGGGAACTGAATCCAGAAGTTGCTTTTTCCTGCTCTGTTTGAGGAAGGTGCAGAGAGTGCTGGGGAGCTGGGGGGCAGGGAGGGGTCCCAGCAAGGCCATAGGGGGCTAAAGGTAGCCCCCATATGGAGTTTCTGGCCCAGCTGCCTGCTGGTGTGCACCCAGGAATCGGCAGTTAAAGGCCCAGGTGGTTGGAGTCTCCGAACCCCCAGGGAGATCCCAATGGGGCTCCTGGCTTCCGCCTTCCATGTGGCCCAGCGCTGGCTGCGGTGGCATTTAGGGAGTGAACCATCTGATGAAAGATCTCTCTCTCTCATTTTTCCATTTAAATATATGAAGCAACCAAGGGCGGCTAGGACCAGCCAAGCCCCTAGCCCTGACCCATGGCTGCCCAGGCGGGCCCCAGGTTCCCATCATGGGCAAGGTGCTGACCCACACGATGCCCAGGGGCCTGGCACGTTGCCCCCGGCTCCTCCCTGGCAGCTGCCTGGCAGGCCCTACTTCCCCCTAGGCCCTTGGGACAGAAGCAACCACTTCCCAATGTCTGGACTGCACGCCCCTCGTGGCATCTTTCTGCCGCCGGCCGGGACCCCTGGTGTCACTGAGTCTAGCTCATTTGGCCATGCCCAGGCCTGTGAGTGACAGGACACGGCAGCCTGCTCACAGTGTGACATCGCCATGGCCCGGCTGCCTCATTTTGCACCCCTCGGCTGGACCTGAGGCCTGAGAGCTGGGGTCCACAGACCACACTCCTTTTTTGTTTTGTAAAAAAACATCTTCCGCCTACTGCTTCACTCCTTAAGTGGCTGCAGCAGCAGCCGGAGCTGAGCTGATCCGAAGCCAGGAGCCTGGAGCTTCTTCTGGGTCTCCCCCGTGGGTGCAGGGTCCCAAGGCCTTGGGCCGTCCTCCACTGCTTTCCCAGGCCACAGGCAGGGAGCCAGGCGCCTAGGTCGTATGCTCTGACTGCTTGGGGGTCCCCGTCCCCCACCAGCTCTCTTTGGGGTAGAACCTGCAGGTCCTAATTTTGCTGCGTGAGAAGCTGCCCAGGGTGTGTCCAGGGGAGCCAAGCGGGGCGTTGGGAGAGCTGAGAGGCCCATGTGGAGTGTCACTGTGGAAACCGCATGAGGAAGTCCAGACACACGGAGGGAAGAGAGGTACAGCTTGCCATGTGGTGGCACATAGTTCTCAAAATACAGGGTGTGGGCCCAGCTCAGTAGCCTAGCGGCTAAAATCCTCACTTTGCACGCGCTAGGATCCCATATGGGCACCGGTTCTAATCCCAGCTGCTCCACTTCCCATCCAGCTCCCTGCCTGTGGCCTGGGAAAGCAGTGGAGGACGGCCCAAAGCCTTGGGATCCTGCACCCGCGTGGGAGACCCAGAAGAGGTTGCTGGATCAGCTCCGGCTCAGCTCAGCTCCGGCCATTGTGGCCACTTGGGAGTGAACCAGCAGACAGAAGATCTTCCTCTCTGTCTCTCCCTCTCTCTGTAAATCTGAATTTCCAATAAAAGTAAATAAATCTTAAAAAAAAAAAAAAATACAGGAGGGCGTGGGTCTGGGGCTGGCAGGGTGGGTTAAGCCTCCAGCTGCAGCACCGGCATCCCATGTGGCCGCTGGTTTGAGTCCCGACTGCTCCACCTCCAATCCAGCTCCCTGCCCATGCGCCTGGGAGATGGCCCTGCCTCCCGCCCCTGCCTCTCACTCTACCCCGGGAGACCAGGATGGAGCCTGCTGGGACCTGGCATCCCGCTGGAACCACACCGGTCGGTTGTCCTGGGCTGCCCACCTGTCGGTGCGTGGGCGACAAAAGCAGCAAGAGCGGGTGAGAGCCGGGAAGTTGGCCGTGAGAGCCGCTGGCAATGGAGGGGGGCAGACAGGCCACAGCAATCGCCGCAGGTGCACAGGCACGGGACAGGCGACTGGGTCATAGAAACCCCTGGTCACGGTCATGACACAGCGCACACGCACCCCCACGCACCCCCAGCGGGACGCGCCCCCAGCGGGAAGCACCCCCAGCGGGAAGCGCCCCCAGCGGGAAGCGCCCATGGGCTCTGGAATGCACAGTTGCATCCACGCATCCATGCATCACGTCACGCACCTACAGAGAATATGTCCGCCTTTGGTGGAACTTTTTATTATTATTGGAAAGGCAGATCAGGTTTGAGAGACAGAGAGGAAGAGCTTTCACCTGCTGGTTCACTCCCCACGTGGCCACCATGGCCAGAGCTGAGCCAATCCAAAGCCAGGAGCCTGGAGCCTCTTCCGGGTCTCCCACATGGGTGCAGGGACTAGGCAGGACTGGTCCCCACAGGCTGTCCTGGTGGGGCAGGGCATCCCAAGCAGGTGCGTGAGTCTTCCTGTCCCCCAAAGGCAGCAGCAGCGGGCCAGGGATGGGGGCAGGCCCTAGGCACCCCTGGCCCAGACCCGCTTCTCTGCTGCCCTGCAGTCCCTCGCAGGAGGGGGGGTTTATGCAGCCAAGGTTGGGGGGTCCCCCTGGCTGACTCCTCCTGCACCCTCACCCCAGGGGGAGACACAGGCCGTCCTACGCTCCCGCTCTCCGGCTCCTGGCTGGCCCCACGCCAGGGTGCCCACACCTCCCTTTGCTGGGGGCGGTCTGCAGAGGCAGGCTCAGGGCTCTGATGTCTGAGAGCTGACTCCCCAGAGCCCCCCCCCCAGCTGAGTGCCCCCCACGCCAGGCCTGGTGGGCTCTGTCCCCTGAGACCTGGCGGGCTGTGTCCCCTGAGACCTGGTGGGCTGTGTCCCCTGAGACCTGGCGGGCTGTGTCCCCTGAGACCTGGCGGGCTGTGTCCCCTGAGACCTGGCGGGCTGTGTCCCCTGAGACCTAGCGGGCTGTGTCCCCTGAGGCCTGGCAGGTTGTGCCTCCTGAGGCTTGGCGGGCTCTGTCCCACCCCTCTGATACCAGCTCCCACCGTACCCCTCTGTCCATCTGAACCTCTGGGGGTCAGCTCTGCCCGCTGCATCTTTGCCTGGCAGGCTGGCACCCCCAAAGTTCTTTTGTCTGCTCGGCTCGGGTCACTTGGCCACCCTGAGCCTCCTTCAAGATCTAATTCCCAGTTTGTCCCCACAAGTCATTGCAGAAGATGAAAGAGCCCCAGGCCCCACGTGACCTGCCCTGGGCTGGGGTCCACATGCTGTACAGACGGGGCAGGGTCTGCTCCCAGCAAGGCAGGGGGCACGGGCCTGTGCTCCCAGCAGGGTGGGGGTCTCAGGTCTGTGCCCAGCGGGGTGGGGGTCTCAGGTCTGTGCTCCCAGCGGGGTGGGGGTCTCGAGTCTGTGCTCCCAGAGGGTGGGGGTCTCGGGTCTGTGCTCCCAGCGGGGTGGGGGTCTCGGGTCTGTGCTCCCAGCAGGGTGGGGGTCTCGGGTCTGTGCTCCCACGGTGCAAGCCTGAGGGGTCACCCGGCCCGCACTTCCAGGGCCCGGCGAGAGCGGCAAGAGCACATTCATCAAGCAGATGCGCATCATCCACGGCGCCGGCTACTCGGAGGAGGAGCGCAAGGCCTTCCGGCCGCTCATCTACCAGAACATCTTCGTGTCGGTGCAGGCCCTGCTGGACGCCATGGGGCGGCTGCACATCCCGTTCAGCAGGGCCGACAGCCAGGTGGGCGGGGCCGACAGCCAGGTGGGCGGGGCCGGGAGTCGGGTGGGCGGGGCCAGCCGGGCCGGGAGCCAGGGGCGTGGCCAGCCAGGGTGGGCGGGGTGGAGAGCCAAATGGGGGCGGGCCTGAGAGTCAGTTGGGGCGGGGCCGAGAGCCAGCCGGGGCGGGGTCAGCCAGGGGCGGAGCCAGCAGCGGGGGGGGGAGGAGAGCCGGTGTGGGCGGGGCTTGTGGTCAGGGCGGGGCCAGCCCGAAGCCCCGCCCTCCCACCCCTTTCCCTCTGGAATCCCGGTCCTGCGGATCTAAAAACAAAAGTTCTCACTTGTTATGATTGTTACTTGAGAATGTTCTAGGCATTTCCTAAGAAAGAAAGGACTTTCTTGGAGATTTTATTCTGAAGTTTGAGAGACAGTAAAGGAACCGTCCGCTGGCTCACTGCCCAAGCAACCATAATGGCCTGAGCTGAGTTGATCTGAAGCCAGGAGCCAGGAGCCTTTGCTGGGTCTCCCACACAGGTGCAGGGTCCCAAGGCTTTGGGCCGTCCTCCACTGCTTTCCCAGGTCACAGGCAGGGAGCTGGATGGGAAGCGGGGCAGCTGGGACACGAACCGGCGCCCATGTGGCATCCCAGCACACATGGTCACTTGAGCTGACCACCCTGCTCCGAGCTGCCTGGGCAGGAGGCCAGGGAGGCTGGCAGGCAAGGCTGGGCAGGCCGCTCCTGTCCCCCCCCCCAGGCCTCACCCGGTCTGGCCCTGCCCTGTGCTCCCCACAGCAGCACGCCAGGCTGGTCATGAGCCAGGACCCCTACAAAGTGACCGTCTTCGAGAAGCGCCTGGCCACGGCCATGCAGAGCCTGTGGCGGGACGCCGGAGTGCGGGCCTGCTATGAACGCCGGCGTGAGTTCCACCTGCTCGACTCGGCCATGTAGTGAGTGTGGGGGTCTCAGGATTCAAGGGCCGGACAGGGGGCTCTTCCCGGTCCACCCTGTGAATCCAGCAGCACCCCCGTCTGTGCAGCTACCTGTCCCACCTGGAGCGCATCGCGGAGGAGGACTACGTGCCCACGGCGCAGGACGTGCTGCGCAGCCGCCTGCCCACCACGGGCATCAACGAGTACTGCTTCTCAGTGAACAAGACCAACCTGAGGTGAGCAGACACAGAAGGTGCCCGGGGCAGGGCCAGCGCCAAGGCCAGCACCCGAGGAGCCGCAGGCTGGAAGGGATGGCACCGAGGGCTCTGGGGGACAGCACAGGGCAGAGGGTGCCCGGGGCAGGGCCAGCGCCCAGGCCAGCACCCGAGGAGCCGCAGGCTGGAAGGGATGGCACCGAGGGCTCTGGGGGACAGCACAGGGCAGAGGGTGCCCAGGGCAGGGCCAGCGCCCAGACCAGCACCCAGGCCCACCCCCTGGAGCCAGCCGCATCAGGCAGGGGCTGGGCAGGTGGACGCTGGGGTTCTGGAATGCAGGGTGCAGCAGCGCTCAAGGGGAGGCCTGCCAGGGAAGGCATCGCAGCTGGTGGTAGGCGACGCTGTTACCCAGCTGGGAGTGTGGACAGTGGAGCCAGGGTGAGGGCAGGAGTGTGGTGCTGGAGCCAGACACAGGGGTACCTGGGGATGCAGTGCGGGCGAGGGGCCGGTCCATGGGCGGGGCGAGCGGAGGAAATGAGACAGGGTGGTTGTTAGTGACCCAGTTTCTTACACGAGTAGACAGGAGGAGAGGGGGTGCAGGCTGCTGCTGTGTTGTGGGGTGTGAGTGAACCTGAATTAACTGCCTACCCCACCACAGCGGGAAGGAGGGTGCACCTGCCGGTGAGCAGAGAGGAAAGCTGAGCGTTAGAACTGGCAGCACCCCAGGGTGGGCCTGCTGTGGGCCACCGTGCCCTCACCTCAGCCTTCCCATCCTGGGAGCCCAGCCCCCCTCAGCCCTGCACCCAGCCCCCCTGCACTCCAGCCCCCCTGCACTCCAACCCTCCTCAGCCCTGCATCCAGCACCCCTGCACTCCAGCCCTCCTCAGCCCTGCATCCAGCCCCCTCAGCCCTGCACCCAGCCCCCATCAGCCCTGCACCCAGCACCCCTGCACTCCAGCCCCCCTCAGCCCTGCACCCAGCCCCCATCAGCCCTGAACCCCACCCTCCCTCAGTCCTGCACCCCAGCCGCCCCCCTCAGCTCTCAACCTCAGCCTTCCCATCCTGGGACCCCTGCCCCCCTTAGCCCTGCAGCTCAGCTTCACTCAGCCCTGCACCCCAGCCCCCCTCAGCCTTGCATCGAGCCTCCCCAGCACCCGGAGGCCTGGACGACCTTCCACCGTGGGGTACGGGCCAGCAGCCCAGGGTGTGTGCTCCTGTGTGTACAGTGTCTGCCGTCCTCCCTGGCACAGCCCGCATGCAGCCCGGGGTCCCCGTGAGCTCCGAGCTCCGAGTGGGCCCCGGTCCCCGTGAGCTCTGAGTGGGCCCTGGTCCCCGTGAGTTCTGAGTGGGCCCTGGTCCTCGTGAGCTCCGAGCTCTGAGTGGGCCCTGGTCCCCATGAGCTCCGAGTGGGCCCCGGTCCCCGTGAGCTCCGAGTGGGCCCCGGTCCCCGTGAGCTCTGAACGGGCCCTGGTCCCCGTGAGCTCTGAGTGGGCCCCGGTCCCCGTGAGCTCCGAGTGGGCCCCGGTCCCCGTGAGCTCTGAACGGGCCCTGGTCCCCACGCAGGATCGTGGACGTGGGTGGACAGAAGTCGGAGCGCAAGAAGTGGATCCATTGCTTTGAGAACGTGATCGCCCTCATCTACCTGGCCTCGCTGAGCGAGTACGACCAGTGCCTGGAGGAGAACGACAAGGAGGTGAGAGTGGGGCGGGGCCTGAGGGAGGGCGGGGCCGGGGCAAGGGGCGGGGCCTGGAGGAGACAGACCAGGCGGGTGGGGGCGGGGCCAGGAGGGAGGGCGGGGCCTGCAGAACAACCAGGTGATGGTGGGGCGGGGCCTGAGGGAGGGCGGGGCCTGGAGAACGACCAGGAGCTGAGGATGGAGGCGTGGTCTGGAGCAGAGGGTGGGGCCGGGTCAAGGGGTGGGGTCTTGAGGAGAGGGCGTGGCCTGAAGTGGAGGACTGGGCCGAAAGGGAGAGGCGGGGCCTGGAGGAGGGGAGGGCGGGCAGGAAGTGTGGGCGGGGCCGGAAGGGGAGGACGTGTAGTGGGCGTGGCCTCGGCTGAGGGGGGGGGTCCCTTCTCCACGGGCTGTGTGTGTGTGTGTGTGTGTGTCTGTCTGTCTGTCTGCACTGAGCTGGCCCCTCCGTCCCAGAACCGTATGAAGGAGAGCCTGGCCCTGTTTGGCACCATCCTGGAGCTGCCGTGGTTCCAGAGCACCTCCATCATCCTCTTCCTCAACAAGACAGACATGCTGCAGGACAAGATCGCCACCTCCCACCTGGCCACCTACTTCCCCAGCTTCCGAGGTGAGTGCTTCCAGAATGTTCCATGCCCTCGGCCCCTGCACCGCCCCAGCTCCCTGAGCCTCAGGCTTCCCCACTGTCTCTGGGGCTAACACCCCCTAGCACCTGTCCCCCGCCCCCCCGCCTCCTACTCCCTGGACCACTCCAGGTCCTGTGGGCTCCTGGGAGCACCTGCCCTGATGCCCTGGTTAATTCGGGCAGCACCCTGTGTGACCCAAGCAGGGTTCTTGAGCCCTCCCACCCTGCACCCCACTTCCCCACTCAGGCCCCAAGCAGGACGTGGAGGCCGCCAAGAGGTTTATCCTGGACATGTACACCAGCATGTACGTGGGCTGTGCCACCGGCCAGCGCTCACGCCGCCTGTTCAGCCACTACACGTGTGCCACGGACACACAGAACATCCGTACGGTGTTCAAGGACGTGCGTGACTCCGTGCTGGCACGCTACCTGGATGAAATCAACCTGCTGTGACAGCCAGGGACCCCACCCTGTGCACCGCCAGGGTCGTCCCAGTGGACTCTGGGTGCTCCGCATGGCCAGCGTGGCCAGCAGGAGGGCAAGGCCCCCTCTGAATCTGTATTTATTTCCCCCCTCGGCATGGCCCCTGCCGGATACACGTTTAAGAACAACATTGGGGAGTTGGCGCGGTGGCCTGGTGGCTAAAGTCCTCGCCTTGCACGCCAGGGATTCTCTATGGGCACTGGTTCTAATCCCGGCAGCCCCACTTCCCATCCAGCTCCCTGCTTGTGGCCCGGGAAAGCAGTCAAGGAGGGCTCAAAGCCTTGGGGACCCTGCACCTGCATGGGAGACCCAGAAAGAAGCTCCTGGCTTTGGATTGGCTCAGCTCCGGCTCTTGTGGTCGCCTGGGGCGTGAACCACTGGACAGAAGATCTTCCTTCCTCTTTGTCTCTCCTCCTCTCTGTATATCTGACTTTTCAATAAAAATAAAATCTTAAAAAAAAATAAAACAAACGACATTGTGGGCTATGACACGGGGTGTCCTGTTTGCCCCCTGCTGATGCCCCTGCTGGGCGACTGGCCCCGGCCAGGTGTGTGCAGTGAGAAGCGGGCGCTCCCCACTGGGAGCTGCTGTACCCCACCATTTGGGCAGTGACCCTGCCGGGCTCCCTGGCCGTTTAACCTGGTGGCAGCAAGCAGTGCCTGCTGGACGACACACGTTGGGCACCTGCTGCCGGCTGGGCTTGGCTTGGGAAGCGGTGGGGGGGCTCAGGGTGCCCACGGGGTGACAGTTCAAGATTCATTCCCTGTAGGGTCCCCCTCCTTAACAGGAAGTGATAGACCAGTAGGAGGGACCCAGTGTGCAGGCCAGGCAGAGCAGGTGGCCAGCCGCCTACCTGGGGACAGCTTCGTCTGCACATGAGAGCCGCTGGCCAGCATGTCCATGAGGGCGAGGGTCACCACCTGGCCTGAACCCAGGGGAGTTGTGGGGGGTGCTTGCCAGCAGGGAGGGGGACGCCGGTGGCCGCTGGCCGCCTGCAGCCACCAACAGGAAACACCTATAATTCTGCTTTTCCGCGTATCCCCTTGGCTGGCCCTGGACTCCCGTGGCAGATGCACCTGCTCTCTGCCCTCCTGCATCCACCCCGGGGGTTCCTGCCCCTCTTCTCTGCACTTTCTCACCTCCAGTCAGGGCTGCATTCCGGGGTCCCTGGGGACAGAGTCGGAGTGTGAACCCCAAGACTGGGGCCCCTCTCTCTGTTCCTGGGAGGGTCCTTTCCTGCCAGGAACCCCAGGACCCCTTCCTGGTCCTGCTCGGAGCCTGGGGCAGCTTCACCTCCTCCAGGAAGCCTCCCAGGTTCTTCCAGCCTCCCTGGGAGGGGAAGCACCCCGGGTGGTGGTGGGGGGGGGTCTGGCCCCTCAAGGAATGAATGATTGAGTGAATGAATGAATGCGCCTGGTCCCTTGCTCTCCGCGCCCAGAGGGGTCCCATGTTGGCGCCCCTTTGCGCCCCCGGGCCCACCAGGACAAGGACACCGGCTGCAGACCCCAAGTCCCACAAGGACCCCCACACGCGCGCCCTCGATGGACAGAGTACCCCAACACTGCGCCGGCCTCGGGGGGCTCCGAGGAGACCCCGACACTGCGCCGGCCTCGGGGGGCTCCGAGGAGACCCCGACACTGCGCCGGTCTCGGGGGGCTCCGAGGGGACCCCGACATTCCTCTCGCCAGTCTGAACTCCCCTCCCTGCTCCTTCCAAGTCCCCTCAGCAGCTGCAGAAACTTCTACGAGGACTACAACTCCCACGAGCCCCTGTGCCCGGGCGACTACAGCTCCCAGCAAACAGCGCGCTCGAGCCCCACTTCCCAGTCCTCCCCCACTTCCGGCCCCCGGCCGGCGGACTACGAGTCCCAGGCGGCAGCGCGGCTCGGGCGCTGCCCGCGGCGCCCGCAGGACCCCGGCGTGCGGAGGGGCTGCCCGGCGCGCGCCTGCAGGACCCCGGCGGCCGTGCACGCCGAGCCGAGCGCCCGGTCGCCGTGCCCGGTTCCCCCGCCGACCACGATGCTGGAGGAAGCGGGCGAGGTGCTGGAGAACGTGCTCCGGGCGTCGTGTCTGCCGCTCGGCTTCATCGTCTTCCTGCCGGCCGTGCTGCTGCTCGTGGCGCCGCCGCTGCCCGCGGCCGACGCGGCGCACGAGTTCACCGTGTACCGCATGCAGCAGTATGACCTGCAGGGCCAGCCGTACGGTGCGTGTCGGGGGGGACCCCAGCCCGGGACCGATCCCGGGACCCCGCGGACCCAGAACCCAGAGCCCCTGGACCCCCGGGACCCAGAACCCCTGGACCCTGAGACCCCCGGGACCCTGATCCCCCGAGCCCCTGAGACCCCCGGGACCCTGAGACCCCCGGGACCCAGAACCCCTGGACCCTGAGACCCCGAGCCCCTGATCCCCCGAGCCCCTGATCCCCCGAGCCCCTGAGACCCCCGGGACCCAGAACCCCTGGACCCTGATCCCCCGGGACCCTGAGACCCCCGGGACCCAGAACCCCCGGACCCCGAGACCCCCAGGACCCCCCAGTTCCCCCTGGATCCCCAATCCCCAGGACCCCAACCCATGCCTGGTCCCCCACGTCACCAGGTACATGCCTGGTCCCCCCAGGTCCTCCGTGTCCACTCCCACCTCCCGTCCCTAGCTGCTGTCCACTGGCAGCCGGTGTCCCCACTCCTAGGCCCGGGGTAGATGCTGTGGCCCGTCCCTGGTCAGCTGGTCACTCATAAGCTCGTCCCTGGTTAGCCTGTCCCTGGTCATCCAGTCCCTGGTCAGCCGGGCCATGGTCAGCCCGGCCATGGTCATCCAGTCCCTGGTCAGCCCGGCCCTGGTCAGCCCGGCCATGGTCATCCAGTCCCTGGTCAACCCGGCCATGGTCAGCTGGTCACTCATAAGCCCGTCCCTGGTCCCGGCTTCCTGCACACGGACCCCATTTCCCACCCCGACGGCCAGCCACTCAGCTGGGCAAAGCTGCGCCTGCATGCGGTCGCCCAGGTGGCTGTCGGGTGTGGCTGACCCCGAGTCCCTGACCCTGAGTCCCCGTCTGACCCCGAGTCCCTGGCTTACCCTGAACCCCCTGGCTGACCCTTAGCTCCTGGTTGACCCCGAGTCCCCGACCCTGAGTCCCTTGGCTGACCCTGAGGCCCCATCTGACCCCGAGTCCCTGGCTGACCCCACTGCCCTGACCCCAAGTCCCTGGCTTACCCTGAACCCCCTTGCTGACCCTTAGCTCCTGGTTGACCCCGAGTCCCTGGCTGACCCCGAGCCCTTGGCTGACCCCGAGTCCCTTGTTGACCCCAAGCCCCTGACCCTTAGCCCCTGGCTGACCCCGCTGACCTGATCCCGAGTCCCTAGCTGACCCTGAACCCCCTGGCTGACCCTTAGCCTCTGGCTGACCCCGAGTCCCTGGCTGACCCTTGGCCCCTGGCTGACCCCGCTGCCCTGACCCTGGCCGCCCCTCCCCAGGCACGCGGAATGCCGTGCTCAACACCGAGGCGCGCACCGTGGACGCGGCCGTGCTGAGCCGCCGCTGCGTCCTCATGCGCCTGCTGGACTTCTCGTACGAGCGCTACCAGAAGGCGCTGCGGCAGTCGGCGGGCGCCGTGGTCATCATCCTACCGCGCGCCATGGCGGCCGTGCCGCAGGACGTGGTGCGGGTGAGGGGGCGGGGCCTGCGGGGTGGGCGGGGCCGGTGTGGGGGCAGGGCCTGCGGGGTGGGAGGAGCACTGAGGGGGCGGGGTCATGGCGGACGTGGTGCAGGTGAGGGGGCGGGGCCGGTGGGTGGCTGGGGAGGAGCCATTACTTGGTGGGTTGGACCAGGGAAGAGTCAGCGTGGTGGGCGTGGCCATAGCAGGTGTGTCATGGTGTAGGAGGAGCCAGTGCTTGGTGGGCGGTGCCAGAGAGCCTGCCCGTCACCCCGCCCTGCCCTTGTGTCCTGCAGCAATTCATGGCGGTGGAGCCCGAGATGCTGGCCATGGAGACCGTGGTGCCCGTGTACTTCGCCGTGGAGGACGACGCCCTGCTGTCCATCTACGAGCAGACGCAGGCCGCCTCGGCATCCCAGGGCTCGGCCTCGGCCGCGGAAGGTGGGTGCCGGGGATGCAGCACCCTGAGCCAGGCTGGGGCAGGAGGGGCCGCGTCGGTGGGCGTCGGGGTGGAGGGCTTCCAGAAGGTGGGGTGCCCAGGGTGCAGCACTCCGAGCCGGGCTGGGGCAGGAGGGGCCGCGTCGGTGGGCGTCGGGGTGGAGGGCTTCCAGGAAGTTCTGTGCCTTGGTCGGTGGGGTGACCCCCACCCTGGGGTCCCCATGACCGAGACTGCATCCCCTACCAGTGCTGCTGCACACGGCCACGGCCAACGGCTTCCAGATGGTCACGAGTGGGCTGCAGAGCAAGGCCCTGAGCGACTGGCTCATCACCAGCGTGGAGGTGAGCACTATGCCCGGGCACCCCATCCACCCCTGCCCCACCTGCCTTGCCCTGCCCTGCGCGCCCCATGCCCCCTGCCCTGCCACCCCACACTCCCTGCCCTGCCACCCCACACCCCCTGCCCTGCCCTGGACGCCCCATGCCCCCTGCCGTGCCATCCCACACCCCCTGCCCTGCCCTGCCATCTCACACCCCCTGCCCTGCCACCCCACACCCCCTGCCCTGCCCTGCCATCTCACACCCCCTGCCCTGCCACCCCATACTCCCTGCCCTGCCCTGCCACCCCACACCCCCTGCCCTGGCTCCCTGCCCCAGCCCCAGTTCCCCTGACCCGCCTCCTCCTCCTCAGGGACGGCTGACAGGCCTGGGCGGAGACGATCTGCCGACCATCGTCCTGGTGGCACACTACGACGCCTTCGGAGTGGCCCCCGTACGTCGGCCCTCCTGTCCCTGGGACCCCGTGGGGTGGCCGGGTCAGGGGTGGCCCCATTCCCACCTTGGGCAGAGGCCCTGGGGCCGGCTGTGCCCTGTGCCTGCTGACCGGCGCCCGGCCCCCCGCCCCGCAGTGGCTGTCGCTCGGTGCAGACTCCAATGGGAGCGGCGTCTCTGTGCTGCTGGAGCTGGCGCGCCTCTTCTCTCGCCTCTACACCTACAAGCGCACGCACGCTGCGTGAGTGTCCCGAGTGTGGCCGCCTTGCACCCGGGCTTCGGGACCCCCTTGCTGCACGTGCAGGCTGGGGGCGTCCCTGCTTCCGGGAAGGTGGGGGTCGCCCAGGGGCAGCCCAGGTCCTGCGCGTCCTTGGACAGGCCGGTGACCACTGACCCCACTTTCCCCTCCCCTGCGCAGGTACAACCTGCTGTTCTTCGCTTCCGGAGGGGGCAAGTTTAACTACCAGGGCACCAAGCGCTGGCTGGAGGACAACCTGGACCACACGGGTGAGGCGGGCGGGAAATGAGGGGATGGGAGGAGCTTGGCTCTCGCCCCGCCCCCAGGGCCCTGGCCCCGCCCCAGCAGCCCCACGCACTCTGGTCACGCCCCTCACCTCTGTTTCCACCCACGCTGGCCCCGCCCTTGTGTCCTGGCTCCACCCTCGGGTCCTGGCCTTGCCCACAAAGGCCACGCCCTCCTCGCCACGCCCCCATCCTGGCCCCGCCCCTGAGCCCGCCCACCTGCCGCCCGCAGACTCCAGCCTGCTGCAGGACAACGTGGCCTTCGTGCTGTGCCTGGACACGCTGGGCCGCGGCAGCAGCCTGCACCTGCACGTGTCCAAGCCGCCACGCGAGGGGACGCTGCAGCACGCCTTCCTGCGAGAGCTGCAGACGGTGGGCGCCGGGAGAGGGGGTGTCCCCGGGGGTGCGCTGGCCCCTGATCCCTGACCCCTGACCCTGAGCGAGCCCTGACCCGACCCCCGCAGGTGGCCGCCCACCAGTTCCCAGAGGTGCGCTTCTCCATGGTGCACAAGAAGATCAACCTGGCGGACGACGTGCTGGCATGGGAGCATGAACGCTTTGCCATCCGCCGCCTGCCGGCCTTCACCCTGTCCCACCTGGAGAGCCACCGCGACGGGCAGCGCAGTAGCATCATGGACCTGCGGTGAGCGGGCGACGGGCCAGGGCCTGGAGGGTGGCCAGGTGACCAGGAACTGGACCCAGGGTGGGTGCCGCAGCCCCCAGAGCTCACCCCACCACCCTAAGCGTCAAGCCCCCCCGAGTTCACCAGCTGCTCTCCCCAATCAGGTCCCGGGTCGACTCCAAGACCCTGACCCGTAACACGCGCATCGTGGCTGAGGCCCTGACCCGTGTCATCTACAACCTGACGGAGAAGGTGCGCCCGGCCCTGGCTGTCCCCCATCCCCTGCCCACCCCGCCAAGCGCGTCCCCCACATCCCCCCTCCCTGCCCGCCCTGTCCCCAGCTGGCCTGCAACCCCATCCCTGCTCTCTCCCCAGGGCACACCCCCCGACATGCCTGTATTCACGGAGCAGATGGTGAGGCCTGGAGGGGTCAGGGGCTGGAGGGGGGTGCCTTCTGGTGGGCGGGGCAGGGGTGGGGCAGGAGGCGGGGCCAGGCGGTGACAGCCGCCCACCCTGCAGCAGGTGCAGCGGGAGCAGCTGGACTCGGTCATGGACTGGCTCACCAGTCAGCCACGGGCCGCCCAGCTGCTGGACAAGGACGGTACGTTCCTCAGCACGCTGGGCCACTACCTGGGCCGCTACCTGAAGGACGTGAAGCAGCACCACGTGAAGGCTGACAAGCGGTGAGGCCACCGGGCCCTGCGCCCCACAGCCCTTCTGGACTGTTCACCTGCTCCCAGCCCATTAGCCACAGCCCTTCTGGACTGTCCCACCTGCTCCCAGCCCGTTAGCCCACAGCCCTTCTGGACTGTTCCATTAGCTCCCAGCCCGTTACCCCACAGCCCTTCTGGACTGTTCACCTGCTCCCAGCCCGTTACCCCACAGCCCTTCTGGACTGTTCACCTGCTCCCAGCCCATTACCCCACAGCCCTTCTGGACTGTTCCGTCTGCTCCCAGCCTGTTACCCCACAGTCCTTCTGGACTGTTCCATCAGCTCCCAGCCCATTAGCCACAGCCCTTCTGGACTGTTCCGTCTGCTCCCAGCCCGTTACCCCACAGCCCTTCTGGACTGTTCCGTCTGCTCCCAGCCCGTTAGCCACAGCCCTTCTGGACTGTTCCGTCTGCTCCCACTGGTGTTGGGAGAAAAGCAGCCAGCAGGCAGGTGCTCCAGTGAGAACCAGGAGGGGCTCTCGCGCCCTCCCAGGTGTTCTGCCTCCTCGGGGGGCCCGACTCCAGGGGACCAAGGTGGGGGAGAGCTCGGAGTCCCCCAACTCCCCAGCAGCCCCCATGTCTCCCCAGGGACCCCGAGTTCGTCTTCTACGACCAGCTGAAACAGGTGATGAACGCATACAGGTAGGTGCCCTGGGGTGCTGGTCGCGTGCGGGGCTGCCCTGCTGGGAACCCGGCCGGGGTGCCTGTCCTGCCCTGACCCCGACGCGCCACAACCTCACAGGGTCAAGCCGGCCATCTTCGACCTGCTGCTGGCCGTGTGCATTAGCGCCTACCTCGGGCTGGCCTACACGGCGGTCCAGGTGAGTGGACCAAGGCTGAGCGGGCTGTAGCCTCATGGCACCCCTTCACGGCACCCCTCTTCATGGCACCCACTCCTCATGGCACCCCTTCCTCATGGCACCCACTCCTCACGGCACCCCTCCTCATGGCACCCACCCCTCATGGCACCCCTTCCTCACAGCATCCCCTCCTCACCGCACCCTTCCCTGCTCCCTCCTCACATCACCCCTTCCTCACAGCATCCCCTCCTCACCGCACCCTTCCCTGCTCCCTCCTCACATCACCCCTTCCTCACAGCATCCCTCCTCACTCACCCCTTCCCCACCCCCAGCACTTCGACCTCCTCTACAAATCGGTGCAGCGGCTGCTGGTGAAATCTAAGGCTCAGTGAGCGTCACCGCCCGGGCCTCGCTGCCTCCTGCCCAGCCATCGGCCTTGTGAGAGCCGAGCCAGCCAGGGACCCCAGGAACAGCGCCCGGAGGAGCCCCGGCCCCACGGTGACTGGGGATGCCTGTGGACTCTGCAGCCTCGGGCGTGGGCATGACCCGGCCTGTGCCCCAACACCACACCTGCCCACGACCTAGACGGTCATCATTGCTCAGCCCTGCTCCTGTGGGCAAGGAGACGGGGTGACCCCCAGCCCAGCGCCCAGGGTGCCCTGCTCGCCTCTGCTGTGCCCAGGGACCCGCCGGCCCAGCCCACTCCACACCTCTGCACTCCCAGCCTTGCCTGAGCGTGCGGTGGGGGGGTGGCTGCTGGGGAAGGCACGTCCCACTGCCCCCCGAGGAGGGCAGGCGGAAAGGCAGGCCTGGCCCAGGTGGGGGCGCTGACCTCAGGGAAACCCCGGTGTGTGGCGTCCATAGCAATAGAACTGGCAAGGGTGCGCAGCCCCGCAGGTGGGTTCTGGGGTGCCTGGCTCCTTGGCCGGCTGCAGCCTGGGTCCTGTGCAAACCAGTAGGGCTGTCCTGGGACCTCAAGTGCACTGAATGCCCAGGGCAGGGCCACTGCGTGGGAGAACCTCCGGGTTGGCCCGGGAAGGCAGGCCTTGGCTGTTTGGGGGTCCCAGGTGCGTGATGAGAAATAAAGCCATACTGAACGAGTGAGGCCCTTGTTGGGGAGCCCCAGGCTGCGGAAGGCCAGGACGGTACTGGGTCATGGGGACTGCGGGCTCCGGGAGGGTTAGGCCATGGACCACAGGGGCAGCGGGCAGCAGTAACCTCTGAGCTGGGGCCCCAGCAGGCGGGCACGGCCGTGTTCGGCTCAAGGGGGCCATGTTGCCTGTGGTCAGCCTGACCCTGGAGTCTCCCTGTCTGTGGGCAGGGTCCTCAGCTCCTTGGGGGGCTCAGGAGAGATGGGGGTGGCTCCCCTCAAGGCAGGCCGGGCCCCAGGACACCAGGGAGGGCAGACCTGGGGGTTGCTGAGGGCAGAGCTGCACCCGGACTCCAGTCCAGGGGAACAGAGGAGAGCTGCCCCCAACTCCAGTCCCCACAGCACCCCCTGGTGGCTGGGCTGGTCCTGGGAGGAGACAGACTGAGATCCTGAAGGGATCATAACCTGAGGGTTCCAGGGCTGTGTCTCCCCTGCCCAGAAGGGAGCCAGGCCAGCATGTGGGGTGCAGGGCAGGGCTGGGGGCGTCTTCCACCTCGGGTCAGACAGGGGACCTGGAGGAAAGCAGGGAGACCACGCGGGGTAAGCTGTCAGAGCTGGCCCGGGGGGAACAGCCCTAGCACTGATGATGTTACTGGTGGGATGACTCTGCCCTGCACCTCCCACTGAACCTGGGGTACAGCCCTGGCAGGTGCCCTGGCCCTGGCTGGGGCAACTGGATGGCTGGTGGCAGGCTGCCAAAGCAGCCACCTGCTGGGGAATGGTTGGGGGGTATGTCTGCTCCTCCCCCAGACATATGGTCCTGTGGTGCACCCAGACGGCCAGCTACAGCCAGGAGCCCCATCGAGGTCCCTGCGCCTGGGCCGTCCTCCACTGCTCTCCCAGACGCACCAGCAGGAAGTGGAACAGCCAAGACTTGAGCAGGTGCCACGTAGGGTGGAAGGGGGCATCTCCACCCGCTGCACACTCACCCCGCACGCACAGACGTGGGGTGCAGAGGGAGGCTCTGCGTGTACCCAGGCTGCAGTGGGGGGGTCTCTGAATGACAAGGACATACAGGGATCAGCCAGTGCCCCCAAGGCAGCACGGTGCCTGGACACCCCAGCCGTGTGGTCCAGGAGCAGCAGCTGCAAGGACACCCGGGGAGGTGGCGGCCAGTGGCTGTGGTCACTTCCTGAGCAGAGGTCTCCAGCAGGGCCCTGCCAGGGCATGCATGCTGCACATGCGAGTTCAGGACTCAGTGATGTCACACACACAGCAGGGGCCCTGGGCCCTGTGAGGGCCTTCCCCGGTGGTGGGCACACACAGGTGCTCATGAGGACCAACTCCTGTCCTTGCCCCTGCCCCTGCCCTCCCCTTGCCTCTGCCCTGTGGAGTCCCAGATGGCGCCCCTGGCTTCCTTCCGCCTGGCCCCTTGTGGGCAGGCAGGGGAGTGAACCAGTAGAGAGAGAACCCCTGTCTCCCTACTTTGGCTCTGTGTCCTGAGTGACACACTTCCTCTCAAGGGTCCCGGATGTGAGCCCACAAGTCCAGTGGGAGCACGCCGGGGGGACGGAGCTGTGTTCATCCCTGCATTCAGGGTGCTGAGTCCCAGAAACCCAAGGACCTGGGGTGCAACAGGCTGGCTGGACCCCACCAGGCCTAGAGGGGCTGGGGTTTGGGGTGGGTGGGCCTCGCGGGCTTAGGGGGACACTAAGGCCTCTGGAATGTGCTAGAAAGAGCTGTGGGCAGCCTGCTGTGTTCCATTGCCCTGGTAACGGCTGGCGAGCTGCTGCTCCCCAGGGGTGCAGGTCCTGTAGGTGGCTTCCAACAGTAGGTCAGCGGGTCGGGGACCCACGGGTGTCCAAGGCCACAGGACGGATCCCCCAGCCACAAGGCAGCTGACAGAGAGCACTGTCCCCCTCTGGTCTCCTTGGAGACACCGCTGCCCCAGTGCCTGCATCATTCTAGAATTTCTATGAAAAGCAGAGTAGTCTTTCTGGGTCTCCCACATGGATGTGGGGACCCCAGCACTCTGGGCATCCTTCGCAGGTCCCTTCGTGGGGGGAGCTACACTGGAACCCGCACTGTGACAGGCCGTGGCAGGCTGAAGGCGGGACCTGCGCTTGGACCCTGCCGTAGAAGCTGCGTTTTTGGGGGGACATGGTACTACACCCCATTTGGCCAGGGCACCAGGAGGTTGGTCTATGGGCTGGGGGGGTTCGGCTCCCCACACCCATGCTGTGTAAGCACCCTGGGCACCCTGGGACAAGGGTGGCCAGGCGGCCAGGTGGCTGGGCAGCCTAATGGCCCTGTCTCTTTCCAAGTTCACATTTAATGGAAATGCAGGAAAATGGAAACGTGAGACCAGGGGCCAGTGGCTCAACAGGCTAACCCTGCACCTGCACTCACAGGATACCATATGGAAACTAGTTCAAGTCCTGGCTGCCCCATTTCCCATCCAGCTCCCTGCCTGTAGCCTGGGAAAGCAGTGGAGGACGGCCCAGAGCCTTGGGACCCTGCATCTATGTGGGAGACCCAGAAGAGGCTCCTGGTTTTGGATCAGCTCAGCTCCGGCCATTGCGGTCATTTGGGGAGTGAATCATCGGATGTAAGATCTTCCTCTCTACCTCTCGCCCTCTCTGTATATCTGAATTTCAAATTAAAAAAAAAAATGCCTTTAAAAAGAAAATGAGATGCAACTCGGGGCGGGCACAGCTGTGGATTGCGGACCTTGGGTGTAGCTGCATCTGGGGTGTCCCGGGGGCTTCTGCAGGGGCCCCCGTTATCTGATTTATTTGAGATTCAGAGTCTTCGTTCCCCTGCTTCAAGCCGCAGCTGCTCGCAGCATCCCTAGGCCAGGCCTGGCCGGACCCAGGAGCTGGGAGCTGCAGCCAGCTCTGCCGTGTGGGTGGCAGGACCCAGGCTGCTACCTTCCAGGGTGGGCGTCCATGGGCAGGGAGCACCCAGCCCCGAGAGCTGTCTGTGTCCATGCTGGAAGAAGCTGTGAGGAGGCCTGTGGGACGACAGCAGGGCCAGTTGAGGGGGTGCAGTGAGGGGGTAAGCCAACGGAGCAGCCATGAGCCTTGGGGGAATGATGGGGTCAGGGGAGCTGTGTCATGTCTTTCAGATGGGTGAATGACCAGGGACACAGCCTGCAGCTAGGGGGCTGCACTGTGACGTTGGGGTCCTGTGCAGTGTTGTGCCCAGAGCATCTGCCCGAGGTGTCCCTGCTGCTGCTCATGCCACTGTGGCCACAGGACTGCAGGTTCCAGGGAGCCAGGGTACTGGGGTGTCAGGGTACCAAAGTGCTGGGGTATCAGGGTGCCAGGATTTCAGGGTACTGGAGAGTTGCAATGCTGGGATACGTGCCCAGGGTGTGGGGTTATCGGGGTGCACACCTGGGGTGCCAGGATTCCAGGGTGCTGGGGTACCAAGATGCCAAGATTCCAGGGTGTGCAGCAGGGGAGCGGTGATATTGGGATGCAGGGGTGCTTGGGTGCCTATACTGGGGTGCATGGGAGGGCTAGGATGCAGTGGAGCTGGGGTGCGCACCCAGGGAGTCAGGGAGAGCTGGGATGTCATGGAGCAGGGGTGCAGTGGAGCTGGGATGTGGTCGAGTTGGGGTGTGCACCCAGGGAGTCGGGGAGCTGGGGTGCAGTGGTCCAAGGATGCGTGGGGAGCTGGGGTGCATTCCCAGAGAGCCAAGAAGCTGTGGTATTGGATAGCCCAGGTGCCATGGACCTGAAGTGCATGCCTGGGGTACCGGCATGTGGGCAAGCTGGGGTATGCGTCGGGCAGCCAGATGCCGGAATGTTGGGGAACTGGGGTGCATGCTCAGGGTGTGGTGGTGTCAGGGTGTCGGAGAGCCCGGGTGCTGGGCTGCTGTGGAACTGGGATACATGCCCAGAGAGCCAGGGAGCTGGGGTATTGGGGTACCAGGGTGTCAGGGAACTGGGGTGTACACCTGGGTTACTGGGGTATCAGGGTGCCTGGGTATCAGGTTGCTGTGGAGCTGGGGTATTGGGGTGTTGGGGAGCCCTTGCTGTGGTGCCAGAGTGCCATGGAACTGGGAGCCTGGGTCCCGTGGTTCTGGGGTGTGAGAGAGCTGGGGTGAGCGCTGGGGGTGCCGGGATACTGGGGTATTGGGATGCTGGTGCCAGGGTGTCGAGGTGCCATGGTGCTGGGGTGCCGATGTGCTGTGGAGCTGGGTGCGCGCCTGGGGTACTGGGGTGCCGTGGGGCTGGGTGCGCGCCTGAGGTGCCGGAGTGCTGGGGTGCCGGGGTACCGGGTTGCCAGCGAGCTGGATGCGCGCCTGGGGCACAGGGGTGCTGAGGAGCTGGGTGCGCGCCTGGGGTACCAGGGTTCTGGGGAGCTGGGTGCGCTCCTGGGGAACCGGGTTGCCAGGGAGCTGGGTGCGTGCCTGGGGTGCCGGGGTTCCGTGGAGCTGGGTGCGCCTGGGGTACCGGGGTGTTGGGGTGCAGGGAGCTGAGTGTGCGCCTGGGATAGGGGGGTGCTGGGGTGCCGGGGAGCTGGGTGCGCTCCTGGGGTACCGGGTTGCCAGGGAGCTGGGTGCGCGCCTGGGGTGCCGGGGTGCCGGGGTGCCGTGGAGCTGGATGCGCGCCTGGGGTACCGGGATGCTGTGGAGCTGGGTGCGCACCTGGGGTACCGGGGTGTTAGGGTGCAGGGAGCTGGGTGCGTGCCTGGGATAGCAGGGTGCTGGCGTTCGGGGGAGCTGAGTGCGCGCCTGGGGAGCCGGGGAGCCCGCGTGCGCGGCCGGCAGAGGCCGCTGCCGAGCCGCCTTTGTGGTCCCGCGGGCGGCGGGCGGGCGCGGGGGAGCCGCTCGGTCCCGCGCCCGCCATGGCCCGGCTGACGGAGAGCGAGGCGCGGCGGCAGCAGCTCCTCCCGCCGCGGCCGGCGCCCCTGGGCAGCAGCGGAGGGCCCGAGCCCCCCGGCCGGCCGGCCGGCATGAAGGACCTGGACGCCATCAAGCTGTTTGTGGGGCAGATCCCGCGCAACCTGGACGAGCAGGACCTCAAGCCGCTCTTCGAGCAGTTCGGCCGCATCTACGAGCTCACGGTGCTCAAGGACCCCTACACCGGCATGCACAAAGGTGGGCGCCCGCCCGGCACCCCGGCCTCGTCGTCGGTCGGCGGCCCGGCCAGCCGGGGACATGGACGGACCGACGCCCCCCGGGCGGTGACTACAAAGGGAGAGGCGTGCGGGGCGGGCGAAGGCCGCGGCTGCGCCCCCTCCAGTGGACCCTGGCTGAGGCCAGCAGGACAATGAGCGAGCCTGGAGCAGCCTGGGCTGGGCGGGCGGAGGCGGCAGGCGAGGGGGTGCCCAGCACCCCGGCTCTGGCCATGGCTTCTCCTGCTGGGGTGCGGTGGGCCGTGCTGCCCAGGAGCGGGTGGGGGGCACTGGACGGTGGCTTCGGGGAGGGGGACCCAGGGCTGGACCGGCTGGTGACCCAGTTCACACCCGGCTGACCCCCGGGGCTGCCCCTGCCCAGTGCACTTGCAAGCTGTTTGTTGAATGAATGATCCAGCGCAGGGGTGAGGAGGGGTGATGCCCCCCGCCCTGCGAAGCATGTGGAGGGGGGAGGTGGGGGAGCGGCTCTCCCATCCCCCTTCCCTCCATGGGGCCTGGGAAGCCGCTGGGGTGGGGTGGGGAGGAGGAGCCCAGCTCTGCTGGGGGGCATGCTGCTAGGTGCCTGCTGGTTCTAGAAGGATTCCCCTGGGCCTGGGGGTCGGGTGCCTCAGGAGGGCAGCAGGGGAGCAGGGCCTGGGTCTGTTGGGGGGATCAGACTGCACTTTGGGATGTCCCCAGGAGGGCCACACCCCTGTCAGCCCTCTGCCCCTTGGGCTTGGAGTGGTGGTCTACCCCTCGAGCGAGGCCTGCCAGTGGGGGCTTGGGGGCAACCTCTGGCCCACACGTACCTGGTTGGGTGGCTCCCCCAGGGTGGCCCTGGGAGCCGGGGTGGGGCACACCGCGGGACAGGAACCAGTGCCAGGACAGGCTTCCAGTGCCATCCAGCCCCACCCCGCTGGGGGGCTATTGGGTCTGCCTCCCCACGGGAGCTGAGCTGGGTTTCAGGGCCAGGCACGTGTTGAGGAGATGGAGGCGCCAGCAGGGCGCCCACAGGCACCCATCTCACCTGTCTCCCAGACAGCAGGAGGCAGATGGTGTCTGTGGGCGAGGAGGGGTGTGACAGCTCCCACCCCAGGGGGCGGCCCCCTGAGATGGTGATGAGGAACGGAGGGCTTGAGGAGTTAGAGCAGCCTTCCTGTGACTGAGGGACCTGAAAGGGCAGGGCAGGGCAAAGGGCAGGGCAGGGCAGAGCTGGACAGGGCATGGCAGAGCTGGACAGGGCAGAGCTGGGCAGGGCAGGGCTGGGCAGAGCTGGGCAGGGCAGAGTTGGGCAGAGCTGGGCAGGGCAGGGCAGGGCAGAGCTGGACAGGGCATGGCAGAGCTGGACAGGGCAGAGCTGGGCAGGGCAGGGCTGGGCAGAGCTGGGCAGGGATGGCAGAGCTGGACAGGGCAGAGCTGGGCAGGGCAGGGCTGGGCAGAGCTGGGCAGGGCAGAGTTGGGCAGAGCTGGGCAGGGCAGGGCAGGGCAGGGGAACCCAGCGTAGCTGTGTGGTCTTTGGGGAGATGGAGTCAGGGTGAGCATGGGGCTGCTCGTATCTGTGCCAAGCCTTGACTACGGATGATGGATCCAGGTCCCTGTGCCGCCTGGGCTGGTTCCCCTCCTGCGCCCTCCTCCAGGGACCTCCCTGGGGTGGCAGGATGCTGAGCTGTCCCGGCCAGGGATGCCCGGGTATCCCAGGCAGCCACTGGCCTCCACGCGCAGCCCTGTGGATGGTAATGGCGTTGGAATTTGCATGTTAATGCTAATATTTGTCTTAAAGTGGAGGTTGTGCTGGAGGCTGGGGGTCGGTTTCTATGGGAACAGTAGCTGCCAGCTCAGGGCAGTCGCCAGGGGCCGCTGTGGGCTGCACGGGTCGGGGCAGCAGGGCCTACTGGGCTGATGGGCAGAGCTGCTTCCCCAGAGGCCATTGTTCAACTCTGAACCGCCATCCACGGGGACCTGTCAGAGAGAGAGTGTGGGGAGGGTCCTACCCACGACCTGCCCCCATGCCCACAGCAGCTAGGGCTGGCCAGGTGGGAACCAGGAGCGCCACCCTGGGCAGAGCAGCTGCGCCTGGCTCAGGGTCTGAACTGAGGACCTGATGTGCCAGCCCCTGCCTCTCACTCAGGCAGGGGACAGGCAGCATCTACCAGGGGTCGGCCCAGGGCGGGAAGCGAGGTGCGGGGGCTGCGTGGTCATCTACACATGTGACCCCGTGTATTAACCACCGGCTGGGTACCAGGCTCAGCTTTAGACCTGGGGGTGGGGTCCCAGCGCTGCTTTCCCAGGCGGCAGGGGTGAGGGTCCCTCCCTGGTCCTGGGGTGTGTGTGTGGGTGGGGGCAGTTCCCAGGGGCTTCTTTAAAGGGGACATGGGACCTTTCACTTTTTTACTCCTGTCCCTGGCCAGTGAGGCCTGACCTTGGAGGTCACCCTGTAGGGTCCCCCAATCTATCCATTCAGCCAGTGCACTCTCAGAAAACATCCCAAGCCCCTCCTGGCTGAGCCCGCCTCTGAGGGGGGACCAAGAGCAGAGGGAGGGTGAGCCGGTAGCGGGTGGGTGGGGCAACACCTCAGGCTGCAGGGGCAAACCAGAGAACCCCAACACGACAGCTGGGAGAGACGAGGGCAGAGGAGCTGTGGGCAGGGGTGTGGCTGGACGACATTGTCCTGCCGAGCTTCTGGTTGCCCTGAGGACACAGGGCTGGGGTGGGGGGCAGTGCCCCTTGCTCTGCTCAGGGCTCCAATCCCTTCACCCCACAAACTCAGGTCTTGGGGCAGAGGGCAGAGGCTGGCTTAGCTTCAGCCTTGAGAGCCACCTGCTTCCTCCCAAACCATGGACGTAGCTGGCATCCTGGCGACTGACACCTGCTGGTGTCAGTGCTGGGGGTGAAGGTGTGGGCAAGGCTGGCCTCTCCAAGACTGGGAGACCCCAGCAACCCTGGGGGTGTAACTGCAGCTGGCAGAGGTTCACCCATCTCTTCTCCTCCCATGTCTGTGTGCCTTATTCGCTGTGGCTGCCCCGGGCAGCTGGGCCAGAAGGGCAGCGATCAGCACCGAGGACAGCGGCCCCAGCCCCGGCTGGCCCCTCGGGCAGCTGCAGGGGCGCTCGTGGGCTGTGCGGAATGACCAGGGGGTGTGTGTCCCACTCCCCCAAGGGGCTGCTGGGCCCCATGGGCCATGGGGGCCACAAGGGGAGGGACACGGATGGCCATTGGTGACCCCTTCCCTGCCGGTTGTCAGGAGGCGTGTGTGTTTTCCTGTGTTATGTAGCAATCACAGTCTCAGTTTCCCCAGCGTGGGTGGGCAGTCCCCTTCCTGGGTGTGGCCACTTCCACTGGGCAGTGGCTGCATCTGCGCTGGGCCCCTCTGGCAGCATCCTCTCCCCTCTGCCAGCGTCGCTGCCCCTGTCCTATCACATCCCTCACCCCTTCACCCCCTCACTCCCTGGCCCCCTCACTCCCTGTCACCCTCACTCCCTGGCCCCCTCGCTCCCTGGCCCCCCGCCTGGCCTCGCTCCCTCACTGGACAGCATCCCTGGCCGTCCTGGCCCTCACTGCCCTCCCCTCTGCCCTCAGGCTGCGCCTTCCTCACCTACTGCGCCCGTGACTCGGCCATCAAAGCGCAGACGGCGCTGCACGAGCAGAAGACCCTGCCCGGGGTGAGTGGGGAAGAGGGCGGGGTCAGGGGCGGGGCCTGTCGCTGGTGGAGGGCGGGGCCGCAGAGGGGCAGGGCAATGGGCTGGGTGAGGACTCTGGGCTGAGCAGGTGCGACCCCAGGTCCTGACCTGCAGGGAGGGTAGACACTGAGGCCCCCTGAGCAGGGCAGGGAGGGTGGACGTGGGGAGGCAGAGTGACTGGAGCCAAGGGACAGGCAGGGGATGGGCAGGGGACAGGCTGAGGATGGGCAGGGGTCGGACAGGGGATGGGCAAGGGACAGGTAGGGGACAGGCAGGCTGTGGGCAGTGTGGACCCCGTCCAGGGCAGAGACGGGACAGGCAGGGGACGGGCAAGCTGCTCAGCTGGCACCTTTGGTGGAGGGGCCCGGCATTTGCTACTGGGCTCTGCAGGGTTGGGACAGAGGATGGTCTCCCAGGGTGATTGGTGCCATCCATCCCTGGGAGGGGCTGGGAGCCACAGCGTGGCTGCCGGCTTCCCCCATGGGGCGCCCACAGGGCAGGGTGTGGAGCAAGGGCGTGAACGAGGCCACTGCTGAGGGTGACAAGCAGGGGCTTGATCTCAGGGCCTGGGGGAACCAGCTTGGTGCTGACTTGGGAGGGTCCAGGCAGCTGGCTGGGGGCAGGGCAGGGCAGCTGCAAGCCTCAGGCTGTGAACAGGCCCGCTGCCTGGGCCCTCTGTGTCCAGGGGCTGGACGCTACTCCCTCTGGGTGGATCCCGAGCTGGGTGGGAGATCTGTCAGGAGGAGGGCAGGTGGACAGATCAGAACAGCGACAACCACACGCCCCCACCCCCAGGGCCCTGCCTGCCTGCCTCGCCAGGCCGCCGTGGCCCCTGTAGGCTGAGAGGACGCCACAACGGCTCTTCCCTGTCAGCCCTGAGCGTCCTCTGTCCTCTCCCTGCAGATTATCCTGAGGCCATCCCATTGATGAGATGCCATCCACGCCCATCTTCACCTGTGCTCATTCACCACCCAGCTGCCTGTGTGACCACTCCCCTACCGACCGCTCTGCCCACCCATCTACTCACCAACCCACCCACCCACCCATCCATCCACCCACCCACTTGTCCATCCACCCACCCACCCACTTGTCCATCCATCCACCTACCCATCCATCCACCCACCCACCCATCCACCCACCCATCCACCCACCCACCCATCCATCCACTCACCTAACCATCGACCCACCCATCCATCCATCCATCCATCCACTGCCGTTTTTCCAGCCACCAAATGTCATCACCATTTCTGACTGAGCAACTTGGCAGACCCAACAGGGCTCCGACTGGCCTGACATCGCGCTGGACCAGCTCTTCCTGCAGCTCTGGGCATCACCACCCTGGCCCCTCTTCGCATTGCCCCATAGCCTGTGCCCTCCCCCACACCATGGCACTATAGGGCTCCATGCTTGTCACATCCCTTCTCGGCCTCTGAGCGCCCTGAGCCCCAATCCCAGCCCCACCCTCTGGAGTGACATGGCTCCCGCCAGCCAGCACATCACCTCCTTCCTCTGCCCAGACTAGAGGGAAGAGTTCAGGAGGCAAGGGGAGTGTGGATGCCCACTTGTGGGGAGGACCACCCCTTAACATGGGTCTCTGGCTGCCTCTCCCTGGACCCTGAGGGCACATGCCCGACACCAGCACCCAAGGGCTTGTTTTTCCTACCTGGGAGATCCAGCCAGGGTGAGGGGACAGGGGGCAGAGGCTGGGTGGCAGTTCATGCATGCCACCCGGGGCTGGAGATGAGCTTAGTGGTATCCAAAGATCTCAGGTTAGGATGGGTCAGCTGTCACTAGTCGGGGCAGCCCTGTCTCCCAGGGAGTGCTGGGCAGAGCCTGTGCCCGTGCGGGGCTCATGGTGGGGAGTGGGTAGGGGCTCTGCACCTTGCAGTGTCCAGCACAGCCCCACCCCAGGGCCCGCGATGCGAGCAGCAGGGCCTGGACTTAGCAGAGGGAGCACTTGAAGAACATTCCAGAACTCGGCTGCCTTAGCTTGGGAGCCACATGTTGTTACCTAGCGTCATGTGGGGGCAGGCGTGGGAAGACAAGAAGGCAGCAGCAGGTCAACTCAGCTCCCCACGCACCCGGAACCTTCCCATCTCGGCATGCAGCCGCACAGAGTCACGGCAATGCCGTCTGTGACATTCCGGCTTGCTCGGAATGCTGAATGCAGCATGCAGCCACTGCCAGAAACAAGTCCCGCCCCCACCCATGCATACCCAGGAGGCGGCAGGGACGGTCGGGATGCTCGGGCCCCCCGCACACACGGGAGACCCCAGCATGGAGTCCCTGGCTCCTGGCCCTGTCCTGGCTCAGCCCTGGCTGCTGTGGGCATCCGGGCAGGGAGCCCGTTGCATGCAAGGTCTAGCAGGCTCTGTCAAATAAATAAAACGTACATTAGATGTAAATGAATAATATTAACAATAGAGAAAGTGCTGTTATGTACCCAAGCTGTTCTTTCCATTTTTTCTTTGTTTGAAAGGCAGATCAGGAGAAAGAGGGAGAGACAGAGAGAGAGCGGGGTTTCGCCCGCTGGTTCACTCCTTACATGTCTGCAGCAGCCAGGGCTGGGCCCGGCAGAAGCCAGGAGCTCCATCGGGGTCACCCCAAGGTTGGCAGGGCCCAGCATGTGGGTCAGCTCCTTTCTCAGCCGCATCCCTGGCAGGGAGTCGGGTCAGAAACGGAGCAGCCAGGCCTCGAACCAGTGGCTTGTTTTGGCTTCCCAGACCACACAGCTCCGGGGCAGCACGTCAGAGGTCACAACTTATGGCCAGACTGGGTACCCTCGATGCTTCAGCCAGGACAAGAGTCAGCTGGGGTCAGGTCAGTCAGGGCAGGGCTATCTGGGGCAGGGTCAGTCGGGGCAGTGTCAGGCAGGGCAGGGTCAGCTGGGGCCAGCTCAGCCGGGGTCAGGTCAGCCAAGGCAGGGGTCAGCCAGAGCAGGGCTACCTGGGGCAGGGGTCAACCTGGGCAGGGCCAGCTGGGGCAGGACCAGGGCCATGGTGTACCCAGCCCTCTCCAAGTTGACACCCCATGCTGGGGAGAAGCTCCCAGCTCCGTGAAGCGGCCCGTGAGCCCATTGACCAGGCTAGTGGGTGCACGGATGGAGCCCAGGTAACTCCGTAACATTCTGCATTGCACGTGGAGAGAGCACTACCGCGTGGGCATGGGACTGGTGGGCACATTCCTGGACAATGCGGACCTGCGTGTTACCACAGTGACTCAACTCTGATTCAGAATGTTCTAGGCTGGGGTCAGCTGTGTGTTAGCACTGTCCTGGATGGAATGTTCTAGACTGGGGCCCTGTTGCCATACTGGACAGTGCTGGTCTTGGGGCTCCGGCTGTGGGAGCCATGCAGCTCCCGGCCATTCTGCACCCAGCTCTGGGTCCTCTCATACGGTCAGGTCCTAGAGCCAGAGACAGCCCAGTCTGTAGCCGCTGGGCTCTGTGCATGTCTTTAATGAACCTGCCCGACCCAGCTGACCTGCCCTGCAGCCACTGACATGCCCCATGCATGCACGGTGCTGGGCCCCTGAGGTGGTGCCCTGTGGTGACGTCATCATCCCAGTGATGTCACGGCCGTGTCGCTCCAGGCACCTTACAATGCTCTCGCCACCATAGACCCACACACCAATGCCCCTTCACGCCTGTTACCCTCGTGGGTGGCCTGTGGCCGCAGCACCGTGGGAACACAGGGTCCCTCCAGGATGGGGCTCCAGATCCCTGCCAGCTCAGGCCCTCTTTCTCTCTGTGAGCTGTTGCCCAGCCCTCACTTAGGTGCCCAGTTCACCATCCCCTGGCAGTCCTTGGTAGCCACATCCAACAGCTGTGCCAGCCCGGCTGACTGATGCCAGCTCACTGGGCTGGGGAACAGGAGAGGGTGCTGTGTTTGGCTCAGTGACGCGGAGGGTGACCAAAGCTACCCAGCCCTGCCTGTTGGGGGGGCCTTTCCTCGGCGTGTCTATCCCAGTCTTCTGCAAGCAGGGGTGCTTAGAGGGGCCCCGATCCAAGGCCCAGGCAGCCGGCTCTGCGAGTGGTGCTTGGGATGGTAGAAGCAGGTGCAGCCACCAAGCTGGGGCTGGGGTGCCCATGTTCCCTGCCAGGGGTCTGGGTCCCATGCCTGCTGTGTTTCTCATATAGTTCCTTGCTCATGCACACCTGGGGGCAACAGGGGAAGGTTCTAAATTGGAGCCCTGCACCCACATGGGAGGCCCAGAGGGAGCTCCTGGCCCCTGGGCCTTAGGCCCCGGCCCAGCCACGCAGATGCCTGGGGCACAAAGCGGTGAGTGAGAGGTGCCAGCCTGCCTCTCCAGTGGGTTCTGTGTATGTAACTTACCCCTCTTGACGGGGTAAGCAGGCACCCTGGTAGCAGTGTTGGGGGTGCCTGGGAGGTCCAAAGGGGCCCTCTTGCTCCTGGCTGCTGGCTCAGCTGCCTCGGCCCAGGTTCCACCAGCGGTCAGGGTCAGCAGTGGTGACCAAGCAGGGAGCAGGGCTGGGCCCTCAGGGTGCTCTGTGTGTCCCCTCCCCTCTTCTTCCTATCCGACCCTCCTGGTGGCTGAGTGTGACAATGGCAGGTGTCAGTGGGGGATGCCATTTAATCAAACTGCAGCCTTCTGGAATCGCGTCCTAAACTGACTATCACAGAATACAAGCAGGGCCATGCGGGGCCTGGGAATCCAGCTCGCCGTGGCCTAGGCACCAGCTGGGCTGTGACCCCTGCCCGGGCCGCCTGCTGATCATCTGAGGTAGACGCTGTGGCCTGGCTGGGACACCCTGTCCTCCAGCCTGCACAGGGAGGTCCCTGAGGGGACACTCCACATGAGGCTGCAGAGCTTGGCCCAGCTGGGGCCTCACGGTGCCCAGGTCATAGGATTTGACCTCCATGGGCCTGTTTGCTCATCTGTGAAATGGAACAGCCCAGGCATGTCCTCAGGGCTGGACCCTTGGGGTCCACATGGACACGGCCGAGCTGTCAGGGTCACTTGTGCCCACAGCAGCTCAGTCAGCCTGGCTTCCTGGGCTCCTGGGGTGTGCACACCGAGCTGGGCTCCTGGCGGGCAGAAAGGCTCATTACTGGTCGTGGGGGCGTGCAGAGCCGGGGTGGGGGTGCTGGCAGGGGGCTGGACTGGGCAAGTGGGCCGCGTCAGGGAGAGGCTGTGAAGTCACCCCTTTTAGAAGGCTCCGTGGCTGGAAGGGCAGCAGGGCCCTCAGGTTGTCCTCCGCTCACAGGGTGGCCCCGGCTCAGATGGGAGATGAGTCGGCTGGGGACATAGGAGCGCTCCAATATAGCGCCCCATTCCCCCCCCCCCCGAACTCCTACCCCTACTGCAGAGCCCTCAGCGGATGTCTCCATCTGGGCCAACCCCAGAGATACTTCTGGCTTGCGGCCCATCTGCCCCCCAGCGTGCCCATCCTGGGAGCCCTCCTCTTGGCCGGCCCCCCTAGGAGCACCCCTGTCTGGCAGGCAGTGTCCTGGCTACTGGGGCGCACCGCAAATGTTGCTGAATAAATGTGCAGGGGAAGGAGGGAGGGGGCCCGCGAAGCTGGGGGAGAGAGGCAGGGCCTCGCAGGGACCTCGGCGGGACAGATGGAGAGAGGGAGCCGGAAGGAGGTGGGCAGGGCCAGATGGGCGGGCTGGGGGAGGGCCGGCTCCCTGCCTGGTGCGGCGCAGGGCGCGGGGCCCGGCGTGCGTGCGGCGTGCGCGCCCGGGCGGTGCTGGCGGCACGTGGGTGCCAGCCTGGTGCGCGTCTCCAGGCCGGTGGGTAAGGCGGGCGCCGGGCCGCGGGGTGGGCAGGGCAGGCCTGGGGTGGCAGGTGCAGGGCGCACAGGAGGGGGGGCTGTCCCGCCAGGGCTCTGAGAGGAACGGGGCACCAGGAGACCCCCTGGCCACGGCCGCCGCTGCCGGGCTGCTTCGGGAGGTGGGAAGGGGCTTGCCTTCTCCCAGTGCAGGCCCAGCGGCCAGCTGGGGGAGCAAGGCCCTCTCTGACCCCCCACGAGAATGAGAGCAGAGTGTGGGGGGCACCGACTCCGGCCCCCCACGACCGCCCACTCGCCCTCCCTCCCGGGGCCCATCCATCTCCACGAGATTATATTTAAATATCTCTTTTGTGCGAGGCAGGAGCTGGGCTCGCCCCTAAGAGGCGGTTTCCATGGCAACAACAATTGCCGGCTTCCGTGTGGTGAATCAGTGTTGCCGTGGCAACCCCATCCTCTTCTGCCCAAGGTGCTGGGAGGGGGGAGGTGAGGGCCAGCGGAGGCGGGGTGGGAGGGGTGCGGGGAGCCGGGTGCGGGGTGCGGGCAGGTGCCTCCCAGCTCCCCGCCCAGGAGCTGGTCCTAGCCGTGAGAGAGCTTCCCTCCTCCCTCCAGCCAGTGGGGTGTGGTGCTCAGGTGGAGGGGTCCTGGCGGGAGGGCAGTGCATGGGAGCGGGGAGGGGGTGAGCCCGCTGCAGGGCTGCAGGTGGCCGGGACCTCTGAGGGTGTGGCTGGGCAGGGGGGAGGGTGCGTGGTGGACAGAGGCCTCCCTGGTGCTGGGGCTGCCAAGCCTGAGCTGATTCTGGGACCCACACTCAGAAACGGGGAGGAGGGAGAAGGAGGCGGATGGGGGAGGGCTCGGGGTTGACCTGGGCTGGGGTCTGGGGAACTAACAGAGGCAAGACAGGGTGCTCAGTGAGAGGGATGGCCCTTCCCGTGGGAGGTCTGAATCGGCATCCAGGAGCACACCTCCCGAGCCCTCTCCAGCCTTGAGCTTAGCATCTGTGGGATGGGTGACTGTGAGGCGTGCTGGCACACCGGAGACTCGGAGCCTGGGCCCCGGGCACGTCGGCTGCTTCCTCCTGGTCCTCGCTGGTCAGCGGCTGCCTGGAACTGCTCCAGACCCCCCACCCCCACCCCCCGGCCGTGTGTGTATGTATGTGGGAGGGGTGACGGGTGACAGCACAGCTGACCAAGCAGGAGGTGGACATGTCCAGAGGGGCTATTCGAGGGGCCCCCGCCAGGGGGCGTGTCAGCTGGGTTTTGCAGGAAGAGTAGAAATTTACTCCCGGGTCTCCCATGGCTGCCCGGCAGGCTCCATGTTCGCTCGGACACAGGCCTGGGCAGTGCACGCAGGGCCGGCACGCAGTGGGGCAGCAATTCGGGGGCAGTGCCCCCAGCAAGGCTGGTTTTTGGGGTCAGGGGTGCAGTGCAGGCTGGGTGCTAGGGCATGGTAGTCACCCCACCTGGGGCCCAGCTGGGAGTTGGCATGTCAGACCCCACCTGGCTGTGCCTGTCGGCATGCTCCGTGGTTCGGTCAGTTCCAGGTGGGCTCCTGGTGGATGGGGCCCTGCCCATCTGCCCGTCTCAGGGTTCCTGGGGAGCCCTCCCAAGGCTTTCAGCACACGCCATGGGCCGTGGTTCCCAGGCCGCGGTGTTGGGATGAGGCAGTGGGCGCCGCTCTTGGCAGGAGCTGGAGTCCCGTGCCACCCATGAGGACCCACCGTCCTGCTGAGGCTGTGTCACGTGGGGGAGGCAGGGGCTTCCTGGAGGAAGGGGTAGTCCTGTTGGGTTTTGAGGGCTGGATAGGAGTGTGCGCTGGGGTTGACAGTGTGGGTGGGCCGGGGTGGCTGACTCTACGGCTCTCCTGCAGATGGCCCGTCCGATCCAGGTGAAGCCTGCCGACAGCGAGAGCCGCGGAGGTAGTTGTCATCGCTTCGGGGCGTCTCTCTGAGCTGGGGGGACAGAAGTCACATCTGTCCTGCCCTGCATGTGGGGGGAGGGCTCCCTACTGTGCAACCCAGGGGCCTTGGGCTAGGCACAGGTGGCTGCTGGCCGGGGCAGGGGATGCCCCGGGGTTAGGGGAGGCAGGGATCTCCCTGGCTTGGGTTGGGAGTGCGGGGCAGGGCTGGCAGGACCCCCGTGCGTATGTAGGAGTCCGGAAGGCCGCCTGGGCTGGGAGCCACCTGCACTTCTTCCGTGGCTGGTGGAGGGGCTTGGCAGCGGCAGCCCCAGCTCTGTCCTTCCCTCTGGCTGTCTCTCTTTGTCTTGTTTGCCTCCAGTTCCGTTTCCATCTCTCTCTTCTCTCTCCTCCTTTTCTGGTTTCTCTCCGTCTCCCCAGCCTGTGCCCCCCTCCCTCCCACCGCCCTGACTGACAGCTGCTGCTGCGTGGTTTCCATAGTAACCGGCTTGCAAATCCTGGGAGCCCTGGCTGCCACGTCCCTTGGTTACCAGGCAGCCAAGCAATTACCCGCGGGGCAAAGGTGGCCATGGCCTCTGGCCTTGGCCGGGGTGGCGGGGGACAGGTCCCCAAGCTGGCTGGCCAGGAGAGTGCTTGATGGGCACCGTGAGGGTGCCAGGCCCAGCAAGGCAGCCCCTGCTGCTGTGTGAGGGTTGCCATGGGCTGGGGGCGCATCGTGGGAGGGGTCTTGTGCCCGAGACCGTGCACTCCCACGCATGCACGCAGGCATGTGCACAGCCCGGGTACCCCGCATTTCCTGGGAGAGCGGGGAAGCCCCGGACGCGGCTGAGGAGGTGTCTCCACCCCCAGGGGACCGGAAGCTGTTTGTAGGCATGCTGAACAAGCAGCAGTCGGAGGAGGACGTGTTGCGGCTCTTCCAGCCCTTCGGGGTCATCGACGAGTGTACGGTGCTCCGGGGGCCCGACGGCAGCAGCAAAGGTGACGTGTGGGTGCCGGGGTGCGGGGCAGGACGTACAGGCTGGGAGGGCTCCTCAGGGCAAGTGTGTGTGTGTGTCAGGTGGGAAGGGGCTGCAGGGAGAGCTGGGGCTGCTGGGCCAGGCCCCTCAAGCCTGGGCAAGGAGTGCTGGGGACAGGGCCAGTTCCTGGGTGTGAGTGGAGCTGCTGCCCACCAGGCCGGCCCCTGCAGGGTGGGGACTGTGTGTCCCCCTGGCTCTCGTGTCTGGGGATGTCGGCCTGTGGTGCCAGGGGTTGGACCGGCCACCTAGCGCGTGTGTCTCTCCCCACGGGTGTATGTTTTGAAGTTGACATCCAATTGCTGTAAACCCTCATATGCACGCAGTGTTTGGGCTCTTGGCTCTTCCGCAGCCCCCTGCGGCCTCTGTCCTCCCGGGTGCCGTGGCTCTCCCATGGCACAGGAGGACTCTCTCCATCCCTCCCCGGTCGTTGTGCCACGCCTCGCTGCCGGGGCGTCTGGCACACGCTCCCTGACCCTGGCTTGGCTGACCTCTGCTGGCACAACTCGCGGGAGGGAGCTGTCTTGGTCTGTTTGGCCGTCCTGGTGCCTGGGCACGTGTGTCCTGCTGACAGGTTCCCCCAGCTCCCTGCCCCCTCTGCTGTGGTCCTGGGTCACCCCTCACCTCCTGTTCCTCCCCGCCGCAGGCTGTGCCTTTGTGAAGTTTGCCTCCCACACGGAGGCGCAGGCGGCTATCCACGCCCTGCACGGTAGCCAGACCATGCCGGTGAGTGGGCTGCACACAGGCGCAGCCTTGGCTGTGTGAATGTGCTTGTGTGTGACCACATAGGTTAGCATGTGTGTATTAGGTCTGGGTAAGCCTGCGTGTGGGCATGTGTGTGTGGGCGTGCAGGTGCGAGCTTGCCTGGGGGTCCTGGGGACCCCTAGGGGGTGAAGCAGAGACCCAAGTGGCAGTGGGGGAAGGCCCTGTGCCACGGTCCCTGGACAGGAAAGGCCCCATTAGCTTCTGGCTGGCACCCCGAGTCCAGCTCAAAGTTGCACTGGGGTGCCAGCAGGCCTCGTGGGGTGTGAGGTGTCCATCTAGCAGGTACCTTGGCCGCATCAGGGAGGCCACGGCCTGGCTCACCAGGAGAAGCCTGGAGACAGGATGTGGCGATGGCCGGGCCTACCCAAGCTCAGGGAACGGGCTGCCTGTGGCCCCCAGGCCCCACCCTGCTTCAGCTGGAGGGCAGTCTCCCTGCATTCACCCCGTGCACTCCTGACTGAGCCAGGATCCGACACCCTGTCTTGACTCAGCTCTGAGCCCTGAGCCCACCTAGCTCGGCTCCAGGAGTGGGGGACCCTTGGTCAGCCACATGAACCCCGCCCCGCCCCCTGACACAGCTCCCCGAGCCAAGATGGTGCAACTGCACAGCCGTGGCTCCCAGGGGGCCAGGCTGGGAGGGCTGGGGTCCCGCAGCCACCTCCCGCCCCTGCTTCCCGCCTGCTGCTGCCTCCCACAGGGAGCCTCCTCCAGCCTGGTGGTCAAGTTCGCGGACACAGACAAGGAGCGGACCCTGCGGCGTATGCAACAAATGGTGGGCCAGCTGGGCATCCTGGCGCCGTCCCTCACCCTGCCTTTCAGCCCCTACAGTGCCTACGCCCAGGCTGTGAGTGGCCACACGAGCCCCGTCCGCGGGGCTCCAGGGACCAGGTTAGGGGTCTGGCTGGGTCCCCCGCCCCTAGCCCCCTTCCCGCAGAGGCCCCAGCAAGGGTGGCTGACTGCTGCTGACTGCGCCTCCCCCGCCTGGCCCTGCCAGGGAAGCTGGTCCCGTCCACGCCCTGAGCCTCCTGGCTGACCCTGAAGGCTGAGCCTGGATCCCTAGCCTGAGCCTGGATCCCAGGCCGGCCCTCCCCGCTGCCTGAGCCCACTGGCTTGCCCTTCCTCCCCCAGCTCATGCAGCAGCAAACCACGGTCTTGTCCACCTCGGGCAGCTACCTGAGCCCCGGCGTGGCCTTCTCGCCCTGCCACATCCAGCAGATCGGGGCTGTGAGCCTTAACGGGCTGCCTGCCACCCCCATCGCCCCTGCCTCCGGTGAGTGGGTGGCAGGGATGGGACATGGGATGGGCGGAGTACGGGATGGGAGGGCGGGGCCTGGGATGGGAGGGCGGAGCATGGGATGGGAGGGCGGGGCCTGGGATGGGAGGGCGGGGCCTGGGACCCGGTGGAGTAGCTGTTGGAGGCAGGGTTGTGGGAGGGGGCGGGGACAAGGCTGTGGGGGGCGCGGCCCCCGACCCTGGTATCCCCCGACTCGACTCTGGCGCCCTGTGACCCTGGTGCCCCCTTACTCCTATGCCTTCTGACCCCTATGCCCCCTGACCCCAGCACTCCTTGACCCCATGAGCTTGGCACCCCCTGATCCCGCACCCCCTGACTCCGGTGCAGGTCTGCATTCGCCACCCCTGCTCAGCACTGCCGCCATGCCCGGCCTCGTGGCGCCCATCACCAATGGCTTTGCAGGGGTGGTGCCCTTCCCCGGTGGGCACCCGGCCCTGGAGACGGTGTACGCCAACGGCCTCGTGCCCTACCCAGGTAGCTCGGGGTGAGGGAAGGAGGGCGGCAGATTGTACGGTGCATGTGCAGGGGTGGGCAGCAGGCAGCTGGGGCCTTGCTTCAGGAGGGGCGGCTGTCGGCCCCCACTCAGCCCCTTGCTTGCCCCGCAGCTCAGAGTCCCACAGTGGCAGACACCCTTCACCCTGCCTTCTCCGGAGTGCAACAGTACACAGGTACTGGCCCTGCCCTCCAGGGGCTCCCCTGCACCCCCAGGCCCGCCCGCCCCCAGCCCTGCCCTCCAGGGGCTCCCCTGCACCCCCAGGCCCGCCTCCGCCTCTGCACGTGGACTCAGCCCGTATCCCTACCAAGGCCCCTCGGACCCCTTCCTTGGTCTTGTGTCCTGCTGTCCCTGTGGGGGTCACCCGCCTTCACTCCTCCACGCATGTCCCCGCCTCCTCGCACCTTCTTTCCATCCTGGCTCCGCCCTCACAGCCCGCCCCGTCCACAGCCATGTACCCCGCCACGGCCATCACGCCCATCGCGCACAGCGTCCCGCAGCCGCCGCCGGTCCTGCAGCAGCAGCGAGAAGGTGAGGGGCCCGATGCCCCCCTGCCTGGCCTCGCAGGCCCCTGCCCACCCTCACAGCCCACTGCCCACCCTCACAGGCTCCTGCCCACTCTCACAGCCTCCTGCCCACCTTCGCCAGCCCCCTTCCTGGCCTCGCAGCCTGCTGCCCACCCTTTGAGCGTCCCTGCCCAGGGGGCATCGCAGAGCACACCTGGTTTGGGGGAGGGGACAACCATCGCCTCCAGGTTGAGGGTCGGGGGCTTCACTTCCGGGGCGCACAGACAGGGTTACGTGTATCCCCGTTCCGTCCGGTGAGGGCCTGGGTCAGGGAGGCGTGGATGGGCTCCTGACTGCCTGGGCTCGTGGGTTGGGGTGGGCGAGGGGCTGGCAGGCTCAGGCCGTCGGAACACGGGTGTCCAGCACGGGGCCTGTGGGCACTGGGAGGGTCGTGCCAGCGGTGTGGGAGATCCGCCGCCTTGGGCCGTCCTTGCCGCTGGCCCCTATGTTGCCCAGCTACACCCAGCTACAGTAGAAATGTGTGGGTCTGATGCTGGTCCCTCTGTGTCGGGCCTCCCGCTGCCCTGTCTCACTTGATTTGGGGAGCATGATTTTGGGCTGAGCAAGCATGAGCTGCTTCAATGTCCAGTTGGGGTCAGTGACCAGCGATGGAAAAGGCAGAAGCAAGAGGCTAGATGCAACCCAAACCCCTTGTCATTCTCCCAGCTCTGGACACATCGTGGGTCCCATCTGCTTCCCAGAGGGACTGACTGGACAGCTCAGACCGGGTGGGCAGCCAAGGGGTGGCCACCGGGCATGGCCAATGCTGTTGTCACGCTGTGGCCACTCCCGTGTTCCCGGGGCCGTGCTCAAGAGGGGTATAACTCTGGTTATACTGTGCCAGACGCCCTGCGCAGCCCGGGGCAGGGGTTGAAGGATGCTCTGTGACCTTGAAAGCTCAGTGTGGCTCGTGCGTGATGTCACGTCTACACAGCCTGGGGCCGCGGGCTGGCCGGCCTTGGCGAGGGGACAGTCGCCTGTGGCTGAGCGGGTTTGCCTGTGAGCCCCGGCAGCTACACCCTGCTCGCAGGTCCCGGGTGGTCCCGGCTGAAGGTCAGCATGGATGGGCTGGGCCCTGGGGTGTGGAGTCGGATCCCTGTGCCCTGCCCGCCCCTGCCCGTCCCCCCACCCGCAGGGGGCCCCCTCCCCTCCTGGGAGTTTATGTCTGTCTCTCCCACCCGCAGGTCCCGAAGGCTGTAACCTGTTTATCTACCACCTCCCCCAGGAGTTTGGAGACGCGGAGCTGACACAGATGTTCCTGCCATTCGGCAACATCATCTCCTCCAAGGTGTTTATGGACCGGGCTACCCACCAGAGCAAGTGCTTCGGTGAGTGCCGTGGCCCCACCCCTGCGGGGCCAGGACACGCCTCCTTCCACTAGCTCCTCCCCTCCACGGACACGCCTCCTCCCACCAGGCCCCTCCTGCTAGGCTCCTCTCCCTCCTAAGTCCCTCCTCCTCCCTTAGGCCCCTCCTCCTCCTCAGCCCCTCCTCCTGCTAGGCTCCTCCCCCTCCCATAGATCCCTCCTCCTCCTCCCCAGGCCCCTCCCCACCTAGGCCCCTCCCCCTCCCAGGCCCCTCCTCCACCTAGGCTCCTCCTCTCCTGGTCCCTCCTCCTCCCTTAGGCCCCTCCACTCCCCTAGGCTCCTCCCTGGCCCCTCCTGCGGCTAGGTTCCTCCCCCTCCCCCACCTAGGCCCCTCCTCCCCAGGCTCCTCCCCTCCTTGGCCCCTCCTCCTCCCAGGCCCCTCCCCACCTAGGCCCCTCCCCGGCCCCGCCTCCTGCGGCTAGGCTCCTCCCCTCCCCCACCTAGCCCCTCCTCCCCAGGCTCCTCCCCCTCCTAGGCCCCTCCTCTCCCTGGACACGCCTCCCTGCTCTGGGCCCAGCCCGGTTCGTGGGAAGGCAGGTCGGGTGTGAGAGGCCCCCATGTCACCCCATGTCACCCCATGTCACCCCTTGGTTTCTCACACTGAGCTTAAACACCTGCAGGGATTGGAGGTGCAGTTTTCAGGCACCGTGTCCTACTTAAAACCCAAAGCACATTGCATCCTTCTTGTTTGAGAGCGAGTTCCCATGTGCCAGTCCACTTCTGGAATGGGCAGCAGTGGCCGCTGGGCCAGGCCAGGGTCCCTCAGGCCCGGGGTGAGCCAGAGCAGACTGGGGCTGGCCGACCATGCAGGGCAGCCCTTGGGTCCGGTTCCTGGCTGTGTGGTGGGGTGGACAGGGAGGGAGACAGGCCCAGGCAGGGTCCTTGGCCCACATAGCTGCCGGCCCCGCGGTCTCCGCAGGCTTCGTGAGCTTTGACAACCCGGCCAGCGCCCAGACGGCCATCCAGGCCATGAACGGCTTCCAGATTGGCATGAAGAGGCTCAAAGTACAGCTGAAGCGGCCCAAGGACCCGGGACACCCCTACTAACCCCTCCCCAGGGCGGGTCGGACACAGACCCCCCTCAACCCCGGCCCCCTGGAGGGAACGGGAACCAGGGTCCACGGTGTGTGTGTGTGTGTAGAAGCGGGGGGCCAGGCCTGCAGTGCTTTTGAGAGCTGAATCGGACTTGATCTTGAGGCCTGGGGGGGGTTACGATTTCCTTCCGTTACCCACAGACACACGTAGGCTGCCCATCCTGGACCCCGGCACACAGGTGACTGCCACCCAGGGCCCACACTGGGGGCACGGGGACTGACCATGCTGCCTGAGCTCACAGCCACCCCCATGAGCCTCGGCTGTGGAAGGGGCAGGTGGGGCCGGCCCTGGGGACCCTGGCTGAGCTCAGGCCCCACGGGAGCTCCCCGCAGGCCCTGGCCAGCCCCAACCTCCTTCCCTTGCCCCCTAGCACCTGCCGCCTTCAGAGAAGATGAGGGTCCTGGGAGTCCTAATGCCACCCCCCCTCCCCGCCCCATGAAATGTGAAGTCCCCAGCGGGGCCGGGTTGGCCGGGCCACCGTCCTCTGTATATATGCACATAGCCGCCAAGCGAGAGAGACGCTAGATCTATTTTTTGAGTATGAAATCACGGGACCAAACTTTTTCTCCTAACTCCCTTTGAGCACCCTGTGAGCGAGGACCCCCGGGCTGGGGTGTTGGGGGGTGTGTGTGGGAGGGGTCCAGGCTGTTCACTGCCAATGCCAAATACCTGACACACCCCCTCCCTCCCTCCCGGCCCACACCCCTGGAGTCGCTCCAGGCCTGCCCACCCTGCTGTGTCCCTCCATCTTGGCCTTACTCTGCGACCACCAGTCCTTAGCTTCTGCAGGGTTGGGGTGGGGGGGGTGCGGGCCGGGCAGCCCTCCCTGCCCCGCTCTGGGCGGGTCACCACTCTTCTTCCAAGCCTTCTGATCACCAGCCTCGAGTTTAAGGTCGTGTAGCCCAGGTTGCCCGGGCACCCCCTGGGAACACAGTGAATTTAATCTTCATACCTCTGCAGAGAAAAAGAAAAACTTTTTTTTTTTTCTTTCCTTTTTAGTCTTTCTGAGCAGGTATAAAGAAGAAACAGACAAACCAGTGTGGGGGGGTGGGGTGGGGATCAGAGTGGATTCCTCTTTGCCCCGGGAGGGGGTGGGTCCCGTGGGCACCTGTACAAAAGCCCAGCCCACCACACCCACGGCCAAAGCACATACCCGGGCCTCGAACCCACGGAGCCCTAACAGAATAAGCTCAAAAAATTAAAAAAAAAAAAATCTTTCCTTTGTTTCTGCCAAAATGTGTGGACTTGACCTGGAAAAAAAGAAAAAAAAAAAAAAGCCAGCTCACCAGTCTGAGCGTGTGTGCGTCCCACGTGGTCCCTGGCGACCACCCGCTGTACATACCGTCTTACACACCTGCCCCTTCCTCCTCCTCCTCCTCCTCCTCCTCTCCTCCCCCTCCTTCCTCGCTCCCTCGCCCTTCCATCCTCCCCCCCCTCCCCGCCCCATGGTTTGCACACTGAACCCCATTTTCTGCTACCAAGTCACTTCAAGCTCTCACTTGCACACGCACACACACGCCAGGAGAGGGCGCCTGTGGCCGGCGTGTCCAGGGAGCCCCCAAGCGCGGGGCGGGAGGGTAGGGGGTGTCCCCACGGTTCTCCCTGGTCTAAAAAAAAAAAAAAAAAAACCCTCAAAAAGTTTATTTAATAAAAGTCTTACTTGCTATAGGGCCGGCTCTGCCCCTGACTCGTCCTGCTCCCTCAATGAGGGTCCTGGCTGGTGCCATCCTACGGGGGCATGGGTTTGAATCCCGGCCGCTCTGCTTGCCTGGCAGCTCCCTGCCTGTGCGTATACATATATATATAAATATAAATATATATTTGTGGAGGCCTCAGTCCAGCCCAGCAAGCATTTGTTAGACCCCAAATGTGGTGCCAGGCTCTGCACTGGGGAGGTGGTGCCAGCTGGAGTGGGGAAAGGCAGGTGGCTGCTCTCCACTAAAGCTCCCCCATCTGGCCTCTGCACACTGGGCCGGGCCTGGTCACGTGCTGGGAGCACCCCCAGAAAGGCTGGCCAGGGCAGAGACACCCCGATCGGCCAGTACAAGGGCCCTGAGGTGGGAATCACCCAATTGGGAGATCCGAGCTTCCCTTCTATTTTGGCCCGCAGGGCGTGCGTGTACCCAGATCTGCTGGCTGGACACACAGGGGACAAAGCTGGCAGGAGCTCCCGGTCCTGTCCCCAGCGCACCCCCAGCTCAGCAAGCACATCGGGGGCTCGGTGGAGGCACCTTGGGGTGCCTGCCATCCCAGTGGTCTGTCTTGCCAGCAGCACCCGAGGCTGATGTCCACCCAGAGCCCTCAGAGTGCGGGTGGTGGCCAGGAGTTGGGGTACGCAGCCACGGCCTGCACGGGGATCCGCAGGCAGAAGCCGAGGTGGAGCGCTGGTTCGAGTCCCAGCAGCTCCGCTTGCTGTCCAGCTCCCTGCTGGCCCCACGATCTTCCGTGACTTTCCCCCTTCCAGTCAGGGTCATGCTGCTCTCACTGGCGTTTGCCGAGTAGCCCAGGGCTTGCTCTTCTCAGACACTGCTGGCCATGGCGACAGGGGCGGGGCAAGGGCAGGGATGGACTGGACAGGGCAGGGCAGGGCAGAGCTGGGCAGGGCAGAGACTGGCAGGGCAGAGCAGGGCAGGGCAGAGCTGGGCAGGGCAGAGCTGGGCAGGGCAAGGTAGGGCAGGGCAGAGACTGGCAGGGCAGAGCAGGGCAGGGCAGAGCTGGGCAGGGCAGGGCTGGGCAGGGCAGAGCTGGGCAGGGCAGAGCTGGGCCGGGCAGGGCTGGACAGGGCAGGGCAGAGCTGGGCAGGGCAGAGCTGGGCCGGGCAGGGCTGGACAGGGCAGGGCAGGGCTGGACAGGGCAGAGCTGGGCAGGGCAGGGATGGACAGGGCAGAGCTGGGCAGGGCAGGGCAGAACAGAGCTGGGCAGGGCAGAGCAGGGCAGGGTTAGGCAGGGATGGACAGGGCAGAGCAGGGCAGGGCAGGGCTGGACAGGGCAGAGCTGGGCAGGGCAGGGATGGACAGGGCAGAGCTGGGCAGGGCAGGGCAGAACAGAGCTGGGCAGGGCAGAGCAGGGCAGGGTTAGGCAGGGATGGACAGGGCAGAGCAGGGCAGGGCAGGGCTGGACAGGGCAGAGCTGGGCAGGGCAGGGATGGACAGGGCAGAGCTGGGCAGGGCAGGGCAGGGCAGAACAGAGCTGGGCAGGGCAGAGCAGGGCAGGGTTAGGCAGGGATGGACAGGGCAGAGCAGGGCAGGGCAGGGCTGGACAGGGCAGAGCTGGGCAGGGCAGGGATGGACAGGGCAGAGCTGGGCAGGGCAGGGATGGACAGGGCAGAGCTGGGCAGGGCAGGGCAGAACAGAGCTGGGCAGGGCAGAGCAGGGCAGGGTTAGGCAGGGATGGACAGGGCAGAGCAGGGCAGGGCAGGGCAGAACAGAGCTGGGCAGGGCAGAGCAGGGCAGGGTTAGGCAGGGATGGACAGGGCAGAGCAGGGCAGGGCAGAGCAGGGCAGGGTTAGGCAGGGATGGACAGGGCAGAGCAGGGCAGGGCAAGGCAGGGATGGACAGGGTGGGCAGATTCCTTTCTCAGCATCTTTTCTCCCTCCTGTTGTGGTTCTGAGGAAAGTGGGGCAGGAGGAGAGGTGGAAGGATCGACAGCCCGTCTGGAGGGTAAACTGAGGTGTGGGCTGCTGGACGAGGCGCAGCCTGGCCTCCCTCCCCGCCTGTGTGCTGTGAAAACACGTGTTTATACTAGAGAAAAATCGAGATTGTTCCACCCGCTGGGTCGCTCCCGAGGGGCGGGGCCTGGCGCAGCCCCGCCCACAGACGCCAAGCATCACTTACGCACGCCCCTGAGCCCTTACGCACGCACGCACGCACGCACGCACGTAAGCTGTCGCCCACGAGGCTCTCCCGCCATTTTGTACGCAGCCCGTGGCGCCTGCGCACTGCGCCCGCTGTGTCCCGGATCACCCGGGCGACTTCTGGGTCCTCGGGGCGGCTGCAGGCGGAAGTGAGGGGCTCGAGGGTCCCAGATGAGCAGAGGGGTCAGGCCTGTGTTCCCCATGACCCCGGGGTGAGGAGCAGGGTCAGACCCACGTCCCCCATGTCCCGGTATCACCGTGTCCCGGGGTGAGAGGGGCCAGGCCTGTGTTCCTATGTCCCCCTGGATTGAGAGGGGTCAGGCCCGTGTCTCCTATGTCCCTGGGGTGAGGAGAGGGGCCAGGCCGATGTCCTCCATGTCCCCCTGGATTGAGAGGGGTCAGGCCTGTGTCCCCCCATGTCCCCGGGGTGAGGAGAGGGGTCAGGCCCATGTCCCCCGTGTCCCCGGGGTGACGTGAGGGGCCAGGCCGATGTCCCCCGTGTCCCCAGGGTGAGGAGAGGGGCCAGGCTGATGTCCTCCATGTCCCCCTGGATTGAGAGGGGCCAGCCCATGTCCCCCGTGTCCTCGGGGTGATTCGAGGGGCCAGGGCCATGTCCCCCGTGTCCCTAGGATGACGCGAGGGGCCAGGCCCATGTCCCCTGTGTCCCCGGGGTGACGCGAAGGGCCAAGGCCATGTCCCCCGTGTCCCCAAGGTGACGTGAGGGGCCAGGCCCATGTCCCCCGTGTCCCCAGGGTGACGTGAGGGGCCAGGCCGATGTCCCCCATGTCCCCGGGGTGAGGCGAGGGGCCAGGCCCATGTCCCCCGTGTCCCCAGGGTGAGGAGGGGAGCCAGGCCGATGTCCCCCATGTCCCCGGGGTGAGGCGAGGGGCCAGGCCGATGTCCCCCTGGGGAACAGGGCAGCCCTGCAGAGCCCAGAACAGCATGCCCGCTACCCGCTGTGCGGGCTGCTCTGGCCAGGCACGGGCTGTGGGTGGGCGGTGGGGGGCGGCGGCCAGGCCCCGGGGAGCGGGCGGGAGTTCCGGGGGGCGGGCCCCATTGGAGCAGCCACGGCCTCATTCACACACGCGGCTTGGCAGGCGCTGGGTGACTGGGGGTGCGCAGCCTGTGCTGCCTTCCCTGCTCAGCACCTTGCAGCCCTCCATCCCTCCCTGCTCCATACCTCACACCCCTCTGCACCCCGGAGCCAGGCACCCTCCTCTGCCCGAACAGCCCTCCCTCCCTGCTTCGCACCCCACACCCCTCTGCACCCCGGAGCCAGGCACCCTCCCTGCTTCGCACCCCACAGCCAGGCACCCTCCTCTGCCCCCACCCCGGGGCCATGGGCGCCCGCCACCCGTGTCCCAGTCCCCTGGCTCCGCACGCACCACTATCCGGGTGACAAGCCGCCCCGCTCCGGCTGCCCCAGCATGGAGGTGCCCGGGCCCCCCGGAGCCAGCAAGCCCGGGGAGACAGCAGTCAA